GTTTTGCATTCGTTGGAAAGGTCTCGGCCTCCGTGGGGTTTATAGCAAAGAAAATTCAGGAAAAATTATAAAAAAAATCTTCTTTTAATCACCAAACGAAATGTTACATAAAAAGAAGCCATCTGGTGGCGAAACGGAGTTCGCCGGGTTTGCTAGTATTGTTTAATTAACATAATGCTTTTGTAACTGTAAACGAGACGTCGACTCGGTTAATCAGCGGTCGCATCGAAATAGTCTCATATCATATATCACATTCCGTTTACTATGCAAGTGTAGTCCGAAAAGTTTCTTCTGCGTTCTATTTAACCAGACACCTAGTTTGCAATATAATGATGGTGTGATGATGCAATACTGAATGTTTCGATCAACAATACCATTGACCATTGTAGTTAAATGTTTGTAAGTATTAACATTTTTCGATGTTTAGTTTGAAAATAAGAAAAAATAAGGTTACATCAATAAAATAAAACGCCGGGTTGAATATTAACGTTGTGCATTTTTGATATTTTGGAATGGTTAGGGAATAATTTTGCACGAATTGCTTTAATTATCAGTGTAAAAGTACTATCAAGTATGTGGTAGAATACAAAATATATTTATTGCGCTATCGTACACAAACATAACAATTTATACTACATAAAAAAAAGTTTATCTCTCAGAAAAATCAACTTACATGAATCACGTTTAAGCGCACTTAGCGACATCTATTGTAAAAAAATCAACTTACATGAATCACATTTAAGCGCACCTAGCGACATCTATTGTAAAAAAATGCATTTTCTTCGCAATAAAGCTGCCACGTGGACGTCCTAGATAGAGACTTATTGTTATAATACGAAAGTCAACAACCTTTCCAATTTTATTTTGTGTCATGATGCTATCAGCCCACGTGTTTAATCTGACGCGAGTTTAACATTAAAAAGTGTACAACGCCGCTAAAGAAGTTTCACTTCAAAAAAAATTTTAGCAAACAAAATATGTCTGTACGAAAATGTCTATGAATCATTTCCGTCTAGTTCTTACTAGTCATTCATTTGTTTGCACCAAACCCAATTCGTGCAAACAGATGACTAAACGGAAATGAAATACAGAACGCATGTCGTATATTATACATAATTATTTTGATTAGTAGGATCTGGTGAGATAACTCCGTCTAAAGAATTTATTTAGTTTGCCTATAATTAGCACCCAATACATAAACTGCAAATACTTTTGTGTAAATACGTACATAGTAATACAATACGTCAATAGATGTGATGTAACGTACATCAGGGATGATCCTTTGTTTTTGGTAGTCACCATACCGGTATAGATTTAAATGGTTCCGGAACCATTTAAATTTGGACACGATTCGAATCGAACTAAAAAGAATTAAAGTATGTGGTCTGCGGAGGTTGAATAGGCATAACCGTAGTTGGAGAGAGTATCCAGTATATTATGTCATGGGTAGCCATGGCAACGGATAAAAACATTAAGTTGTCACAAATGTCAAGAAAATAAATAAACTAATTTTATGCCTAAAAATAAATAAAATCAGAGAAATAAATAAAATTAAATAAATAACAGAATATAGAGAAATGCCGGTAAGTGTCCAGGAATAGTGATTTTAGTAAGATGGGATTCTGATACCTATTTACGAAATGATGAATAGTGCGTGATATTTTTGAAATTGTTCGTTTCCAGGAATTAATAATGAAAGATAAGAAAGAAAAGTTTATAAATATGTTAATTAACCATGCTAACAGATGACAAAATGTGTGAAATTTAATCTATACTGGTATGGTGACGACCAAAAACAAAGGATCATCCCTGAGGTACGTTACAGTGAATCAATTGTTAAAACGTATTTTTTTCTTATATGAACTGTCTGAACCACAGAACACAGAAAGAGGTTTCTGTGTTCTGTGGTCTGAATTCAATTGTATGGTATATTTTATAGTGGAAATTTTATAGGTGTATGTTTCATTAATAGATCTAGTTAAAAGTGTTATTTCATTGGTCGTTTCCCAAATAAAGATAAAATAAAAAAAAGTAATTTAAAAAAATACAGTAAATATAACCACTTGGTAATGGTCTAAAGTTCGCAATGGGACCAGACAAGTTATTTATTTTTATTTTATGCGATCTTGATATTGCTAATTGCATGTTTTTGCGGCAGCAATAGAATTGGAGCAATAGAAATTTTGTAAGCTTTGAAATTCATTGACGACTCTGAGTAAGGGTACGGCCAGAGTGCACGCAGATTCAGATTCAGACTCAGAAAACAGGCTCGTGAGATGTCAGCTTGAGGAAAGCAGGTGATGGCCACAGTGGGGGCAGATAATACAAGACGCGGACGCGAGCACTGTTGCACTGTGCACTACTTCATAAACTTTTCATCTGTAAAAAGTCGCAATCGAGAGTCATTCAACCAGGCGCGGTCCGAAGGGGGGGGTCACAGGGGACATGACCCCCCCCAAAATCTAAGGTCATTCTTGACATTTGGTACAAAGTAACGTCTTATAGTACAGATAAAGAAAAAATTGCGAAAACCGTGAATTTTTAGTTACATCATATACTAATAAAAAATATTTTTGAAAATTCAGGTGTGTACGGAACCCTCGGTGCGCGAGTTCGACTCGCTCTTGGAAGGTTTTTCTTATTAGTGTGAGTGAGTGACCCCCTCCAAAATTTCGCCTATTGCAAAATTACTTGCGTCAGTTGTTAATATAAATTCCTTACTAAAGTCGGGGTATTTTAAAATTGAAGGAGATATTAATTTTTTTCTTAATTTATCAAATGTTTCTTGTTGTTCTTCTTTCCAAATAAAAGGTATGTCTTTCTTTAGTAACTTAGTTAAAGGCTTAGTTAATTGTGAGAAATTTTCTATAAATTTCCTATAGTATCCTATAAGTCCTAAAAATGATTTGATATCTTTTTGATTCCTTGGTATGGGAAATTGACTAATAACTTTTGTTTTTTCTGGGTCTGGGGAAACGCCTTTATTTGGTATCATGGATAGTTTATGTTTTATGTTTCACTGTTTTAATATTTTTAATGTATAAACTTTGTAAAATTACTAGATTGTTTAGAATTCTCAATTGTTTCAATAATGGAAATGACCCAAACAATGGGAACTGTTGTATTCAAATTTATAATCAATGTATCATGAGAAAAACCGTAGAACCTACAGTACGAATGTCTATAAGGGAAGATAGGGAGGAAGAAGTTGAAATAAGACAACCTTTAAGACAGAAGTCGCCCATATTTGATAAGGCAAAATATAGTTATAATTTAGATAGTTAAGTAACAATAACATATTAATAAAATGAAATAATATAATCTTATATAATCACTAGCTGACCCAGCGAACTTCGTACCGCCCTAAAAAAATAGGGGTTGTCCAGCGGACAAAATTGTGAATCTAAACCATTCTCAGATCCCCTTGAACACACACAAAAAATTTCATCAAAATCGGTCCAGTCGTTTAAGAGAAGTTCAGTGACATACACACTCACAGAAGAATTATATATATAAAGATATAGTAATAAGCATTTTTTATCATTTTTGTATAATTAATTGAATAATAATAAATAAATAATATCATAATTATTTTAATAACAGAATAATAAACAACATTGTATTGTAAGCTTCGTCAAACAATTAAGCAATATTTTATAGAGCAAAACCAGAGCAACAATTGTACCTCAAAACTTAGCACATTAAGCATAAGCATTGTAAACATAAGATAGATAAGTTTGTAAACTTCATTTTGTAATTTCATTAATGTAATTTCTTTATAAGATAGATAGATAAGCTTGTAAATTTTATTCTATAACTTCATTTTGTGTAATTTCTTTTCTTTTGTATTTACCTCATTGTTTTCATTTATGTAATTTCTTGTTTTCATTTATGTAATTTCTTTTGTAAAACAATTCGTACCTCATTGTTTTCTTTAACAGGGGAGGTGTTATATACCATAACTATTACTTTCATATTTCTCCACTTATTGCATCATCATTTGCGCATCACGCCACCATCATACGATCCATACGATCACATGATGTTTTTCTCTAAATTAAATATTAGACCCTTTAACCTGCATCATATTTGCGTATTACATGGCCACCCAAATTTCCACCATAAATTAGTTGATTACTTGACAGCGATCATTAAAGCTCATTATCGCTACCCATTAAGATATTAGAAACCATTAGAACTTCAGATAACCTACGGGTCACTTGATATCATCTTATTCTTTCGCGGAATATTCGCAATTCGGCAACACGTAAGCATTTGTTTACACCTTCCTATAAAAGTCCCAAATCCCTCGGAACCAAGACATTCTACATCAGATCCTCGCCTCAAGCACTCATCAAGACTCATCTACCGGTTCGCGACGCTATTCGTCTTCATATAACACCTTCTCTCCAAACTAGTCTGAGTGTAAGCCAGATCGGCAGAGCAGTAATTAAATAAAATACTCGGAAGCATCAACTGGGTTTTATTTCACGAAGACTCCGGCCAAAGGGTACATAACAAGAGGCTGCGGCGCGCCCTCCGCCCATCGCTCTAGCACGAAGAAATCTGCTTTCTAAGTGGCGCATTCAGTAACTCACCGATACAATACCGCGGTCCGTCTCCGAACGGCATGTAGACTCTGGGGGAAAACTGCGGCGCGCCCGCCGCCCATCGCTCTGGCACGAATAAATCTGCTTTCTGTGGAAGTGTCGCATTCAGTAACTCACCGATACAATACCGCGGTCCGTCTCCGAACGGCATGTAGACTCCGAGCAAAGGCTGCGACGCGCCCTCCGCCCATCGTTCTAGCACAAAGCAATCCGCTTTCTGTGTAAGTGTCGCATTCAGTAATTACCTACCTAGTAACTCACCGATAAAATACCGCGGTCCGTCTCCGAAGGGCATGTAAACTCTGGGCGAAAACTGCGGTGCGCCCTCCGCCCATCGTTCTAGCACGAAGCAATCTGCTTTCTGAGTAAGTGCCGCATTAAGTAACTCACCGATACAATACCGCGGTCCGTCTCCGAAGGGCATGTAGACTCCGGGTGGAGGCGGAGGCGCGCCCTCCGCCCATCGCTCTGGCACGAAGCAATCCGCTTTCTCGAAATACTACAAGCTCAACAATCATAAAAGTCAAAAGTCAAGCGGATTTCCAGCTCACAGAAGACCACAGTAAAATAATATTATGTTTTTTTAAGCATTTAACTGCTAGATGTTTAAATCTAAAGAAAAGTTTACTAGAAAAAAATCCACGCGGACCAGGCAGCGGACGGGACTCGAACCCGCATCCTTCGCTATCCGGGCGAATGCACTGACCATTTCATTTGACATTGTGGGTTACCTACAATGCGAAGAGATGGCGCTGCCTTGCAGCTTAAGGCTAGGAAAATTTCGACGCGGCTAATAGGGCCGTGGTAGCATAATGGTCAGTGTAGGGGATTGGGTCAGAGTAGGCAACGGCGCAGGTTATATTTTGGGTATCGCAAACGTCTAAAGGCTATGGTAGTCGCTTACCATCAGGCGGGCCATTATGCTTGCCAACCTTTTAACATAAGAAAACATCCTCAGCAAACGTGATGTGCGATTCAAACTTATTGGCGGCTGTGATGTTAGTAATACGATACAGTATGAGCTTGCCTAGTATATTTCTGATTATTCGATTCTTTTTTTTATTTAGATTTAGGTTTGTTAGGGACTGTTACAAAGGGTACGCCAGTCCCATTAAGCGTCCCGCCCACGGGCGAGTTATTACCGGAAGATAATATCGGATGCGTTATTACGATATTTTGTCATACTTCTATCGCGTCATTATACCACAACAGTGTGTAACTTCTTAGCAGTTCTCGTACATAATATTCAAAAAACAGATATCGCAACAAAGCATCCGATATTATCGACTGATAATAACCATAACTCAAGGAATTGACATTGTCACAAGAAAATTTGGCTACATCCGATGCAGAAGCTTTCTAAATTATTTTGACAGATCGTGGACTATGACGTATTACGTCTTGTGTTACGTAATTAACCTAATACACTGTTTATAAACAAAAAAGCTATTGTTTTGTTTGTTACTGTACCTGTTCGTCTCTCTGGATGCCTAATGTGGGGAACAGAATGATGGTTCCTTCCTGTATGACGATATCTGTATCCGGTATGACATAGTCTTTGGTGCATATGCGTTGTATGCTCGGGAACGGCGGGTAGAGGCGGAGAATTTCTGCATAACGAAAGTATTACAAATATGTAAATATCGCACATATTTATATTTTCAGCATTTAATTTTCAATCCGGGATTCGAACCCACATCTGAATCCCGTCTGAAACTTAGGCCGAGTGAATTTTTTTTTCTAGTAAAAATTTCTTTAGAAGTAGGTAAATATCAATTAAAATCAAAGAGAGAATCTGCACAAACGCGAACGCACACTAAGGTTTCTGTACCATAGAAAAATATTTAAAGTTAACTAGAACGAGGAATAAAATAACAGGTCGAAAAAAAACACTTTTCATAGATAGAGATGTATATACTATCTATGTTAATTCATATATATTTTTAATATTATTTATTATTTCAATATTTATGTGTATATTTGGCTTTATACCGCCGTTCGCGTTTTTCTTTTTTTTGCCAAAGGTTGACTGGGAGAGAATGCTATTAGCATTAAGTCCGCCTTTTGTACCATTCTATTGTATTTTGGTCAATAAAGTTTAAAATAAATAAATAAATAAATAGAGACTTAATTTTTTCATTTAATATTTCTTATACTTATTGTTATAATAATTATGCGAAAAAAGCCTCAGTTACACACGTTATATGAAGATTTCAGATGTCTACCTATTTCCGTTCAAGAGATGCCTATAGCCCTGTCTGTGACAGACAGACAATCAGCAGATGTATTTCTTAATTGCGAAACGATTCAAATTTTATAGACCACTAGCTGTCCCAGCGAACTTCGTACCGCCTTAAAATAGGGAAAGGTGGTAGAAGAGAAAATTTAGGGTTGTGTGTATTTTTAATAGCACATTATAAAAAAAAATTAGGGGTGTGTAACGTAGTGTTCTATCAATTTCCTGGGATAACATTCCTCCTATCCCATATGAGAACACTACGTTACAATACCCAATAGTTAGAATTTTGGCGCGATGGCGCATTGTAGGTTTCAGAACACTACGTTACAGGTGGACAACCATCATCACTTAAGGATATGAAAAATAGACAGTAGCCGATTCTCAGACCCACGGAATATGCATATAAAATTTCATAAAAATCGGTCGGGCCGTTTCGGAGGGGTATGGTAACTAACATTGTGACACGAGAATCTCTTATCTATTAGACAAGTCCGTCCGTCCGTCCGTCTGTGGTGCTGTTTCAGCGGCCAAACCGTAAGAGATAGATAAAGAGAATGTTTAAGTTATAAGTTAAGAATAGTCTGATAAGACTACAAACCGGATTTGAGTAACGTAGCACTTCCGGTTTTCGAGAAATCACGAATTTCAAACGAAACCACACAAAATCTCCGAATTTCTCAATTAATTTAATACATTTTTTTTTAAATCAGGTTTTGGTGAACATTTGGTTCACTGGTTTGCTAGTTTTCTATATAAGATTATGTTGTATTTTGCATTGCTTATTTTAAAAGTGCGAACCGCGTCTAAGTTTGAATTGACCCTTAGTGTGCGGGTCCGATTCGCATTTTTGGCTGGTTGTTTCTAAAAGAGCCTTGCGTATTTCTTACAGTAACCTTTCCACATAATTCCAAATGGAAGAATCCCTCTGCTACAAATAAAAACAAGTTAATGATTTGTGCCAAAAACGATAGAACAAAAGCGCCGAGATGGGATGTTCCTATGTTCGTTTTTTTCGGCCTTTTCTGCCAAATATATATTAAGTTCAGCCTTTTCGGCTTTCGATAATAGGTCTTTCGGTCTATGTGTTACGCACCTCTATGCAGAGCGAGGGAGTAGATAATCTTTGACCTTTCAGAACAAACTTTCAGATCCTAGGAATTGTATTATTTTTAGCGTAAACTTCACCTCAATGAAGAGTTAAGAAACCTAGAACTATTAATGATTATCTCGTGTTATACAATGAAAGTAGAAGTTAAGCAACTTTCGGTCGCTATGGCTGGTCATAGAATAGGATAGGATTACCAAAAATGTAAGTATCTTGAGATTCCTCCTTCGGAAGGCACTTTAAAACTGCTCGTCCGGCTGCAACGCATCTGCAGATTTTTCCCTGGTCTGACCACTAATAAAATATTTAGTTTTCGTCCGTTTCGTGTTTCATAAGAAAACCTGTTTCCCAGCAGTAGGGATATTAATACATGATGATAAAGATTATTCTTTAAGCCGCTCTAAGATTTACAATAATACAAATACTAGCAGACCCGTCTTACCCAGTGGGCACTTTGGGCAAGTGCCCAGGGCCCCGCGATCGATAGGGGGCCCCCTCAGATCAAATACAAAGTTCCTAATTCCTGTTATATCACCAAACGGAAGTCATAGGGGCCCCTATTATGCCCAGGGCCTCCAATAGGTCAAAGACGGCACTAAATACTAGACATTAATCACAGGTCTCTTGAAATAATTAGGCGAAAACTTTATACTTGAACAGACTGAATTTATCCCTATATTAATTTCAATCACGCGTACATAAATAGAAAGTATTTATCCGTAGGTATATTAATTTCCAGAGCACGTTAAAAGCTGAGACTAGAAAAGGGCAAGGGTTAAATTCCCAACACGCGCAGAGTATCAGCCAGTTATTAGAATTTATCGTATTAGCTCATAAGGTACACATTATGTGGGCGGAAGTGTACTTTTTATCCCACTAAAGGGTTCATGGGGGATTAGAATTCCCACACACCCACGCATGCGAATTTACGAAGATAATATGCATAACATCCCATGAGGCCAAACAATTTGTTCTATGTTGCCATTCAAAGTTAACAGATCGGAATGTACTTTATATTAAATCTGAGCTGAATTTACATCGTAGGTAACAACATCAAGTAATATTTAGCTGACACACGGTACAGAATGTAATCAGGCACTAATTAATGTTCCGTGGGCTCGCGGGCACATTATTCGGCTCCTGTCTGCGCGCAAGAGATTAATGATTGCGTAGATTTATACCTAATCACGCTTGTACATCTTATTTACTTACGTGGCCTACTCTATCAAATTGTAATTTGAATTTCAGTATTTCAGTGTTCGTTGATTTCGTGGCGGCTGATTTGGTTTGGAGTCCTTTCGTATGTTTCGATTGAAATCCATGTATTAATTTAGGTTTTAGTTTCCACTTGTTATTAATCAGAATAACATCACATCAACAGACTTGGTAAATTGTTTTAAACTTTCATGGTCACTAACATTATAGCTAATAACGCCATGTACCTTGTTTTTTATGAGTCTCCGATATTTCGGCACTGTTGCAAGCACCATGAACACGGAGTAACTGAAGTAATTGCGGGTAGATGTTATTGGCAGACATATCGGTCTACCCTCTGACGTCGTCTTCCACTGCGCTCGATACCCCTACCATTGGTCACATTCTCACTATTCCGAGAGAGACTCATAAAAAACAAGGTACATGGTAACAATCCCGTTAATAGCTATAAAGACTTGGTAAAGGTTATCTGACCAGGATCCTCTCTTAGATATGTCATAAACAAAACTAAACCGAATAGAAATACTATAACGAACACAGATTATGACTCACCTTGTATAACCATTTCCATATAAGTCAACTCCTGCAAGGCTTCATAGGTGATCTCGCCGCCATGTCTGGCGGCTACCTCCCGGATCTCCTCCCTCATCTTGTGCTGCACATCTGGACGCTCTGCCAGCTCCAGGAACATGAATGCTAGGGTCGCAGATGTGGTCTCGAACCCACCCAGGAAGATGATGAATGCATTCGCCGCTATCACCATGTCAGCTGCGAAATTGACCAGAAGCTTTGTCAGAAGCACATCATCAACCTATTAAAGACCCGAATGCTGGGGCCTAGGCCTTCCCTATGGTTAGAATAGGGAGATTACGACATCAACCCACCACGTTTGCCCAGTGCGCGACTGCAGATGCAACCGGGTCCAACTGCTTAACGTGCTTTCCGAAGCACAGAGTAGTTCGAAATAGTAATTTAGGTACTCATTTTAATCATTGCGAAACGCACTCTCTTTAGGTATAACTTTGATAGTTGTAAGTTTTATACTTTTTGAGAAAATCTAATCAGAATTCCAACGGAGCATGTGACCCGATTTATTTGCTGTCAAGTGTATTTCTGATATCCGAAATAAAAAGTGGGGCGGCCCTATACCTATGTCACTACGAAACCTTATTTTTTTATACGGACGCTTATAATACGGACATAAAATCAGTATAACAGCTGATGTTTGTGTGATGAATACGAGCATTTGTACTCCAGTCATGGATGTTTAACATGTATTTCTATATAAATATACTTGTATTTGTACTGTACATGTATTCTATCCGTTACCGTACCATCCCATAACTCAAGCCTTACAGTGCTTACTTTGGGGCTAGGCTAATTGGTGTGAGTGTTGGAAATATTTATTTATTTATTTATAACAGTATCGTGCGCTGTCTGTACGCTGGGATTCACCGCTACTTACGCGCTGGATCCATCTGCACCCATCACATCACATCGCCAATTTTTATTTATTACTATAATTTTATTCTTTTTTATTGAATTAAATTTACTAACACTAGATTTGTAAGCATCATTGTTACTAACATTATGGCTGATGCGCTGGATCCATCTGCACACAGCAGCGGTGACTCCTTAATGGTTATTTTTTTTTTATTTATTATTATAATTTTATTCTCTTTTCATTCAATTAAATTTACTAACACTAGATTTGTAAGCGTCATTGTTACTAACATTATGGAGAAATAATCTGAATTAAATGTTATTATAATTGTAGTGCATGACCCATATACAATAGATTAAAAGCCAATTGCAGCGAAGATCTCGTTACTAAACTTAAAACAAGGCCTAAACTTTACGATCTCAAATTTATTCAGAAAGTCAGCTAATATTGTATGGTGTAAGTATCATTTTATAAGCTTCGCTCGGGGCGTTTGTTAAGTTATAGACTCATTTTGCTAAACGTTTCACAGAAGAGCTGTCCGTTATAATAATGCTACTTATAACATAATATTATAATTTGCCTGGAAAGGGCTTTTTTTTAGTTTAGTTTTTTATTTTAGTCCAAAGTCAAATAAAATTACATTACTGCGCGATGTGAAAGAAAAATAATAGATATCGTTACGAATGCGTAGGTGAAAACGAAAGTACTTAAACCTTTTTTTATGTCTTTTATGACTCTTTCGATGTCAGAATTCTGCTTACCGAAAAGGTCTGCATACTTAAAAAATTTAATCGCTGTCATGGAGGTATAAGAATAGAGTGAGGAAGGCGGCTCTAAGGGTATATTCCGTAATATATACCAGTATACTGGCCAGTGCTAATGACGTCATGAATCGACACTATACTGGTGAATTGTTCCGAAATATAGTGGTCAGTGCACTGACGTCATAAATCGACGTAATATTAAAAAATAATGCGAATAAAAAATATTTTTTTATTCACATCATCAATTAAAAGGATTTTTTTTTTGTTCGGATGCCATTATTGTTCTTTAAATAAAAAAAGAAATAAATTTCGAATGCATCTCACGCACGCTCGGTCATACTTCATATTCATTTTCCCGGTAAAAATATGGTAGCATACCAGTACAATATGGCGTCGGATTCATGACGTCATTACCACTGGCCAGTATACTGATGTATATTTCGGAATACACCCTAAAAGTGTCCGCCTAGTAGAAAGAGATAGAAGACGGCTAGCTATCTCTCTCTCTTGTGAGGCATATTATCCAATGGCATCACATCAAAATAGTAAGATGCTTACGGTTGCCAATGCGCATGCGCGATTAGAGAGAGAAAGCTAGCTAGCAGTCTCTTATCTTCTTAATTTTTCTATTAGAGGGACACTACCACTTGTAGTAGAGTGTATATCTCCCCTACTCTATTTTTATACCTCTAGGATCACTGAGGGTGCAGCATGGATTTATTATGAGTGCAAAGGCGATTGAGACCTACCGACGTCATAGCTGTCAATTGAAACCAAATAGGTAGAGTGAGCAAAAAAACAGTATTTATTTAATAAAACTTATTTACTAAGATTAAGTGAGATAAACCTTCAGATTTTTTTAATAAAATTTATTTACTATTAACAGTGTGAGAAAAAAACTTTAATCAGAATTAAGCTCTTCAATCCCGCTCATCTCTGCATTACCGCCGGAGTAGTTATGAATAATCATGCTCATGTCATATACGAACTTGCATCCTTTATGTAAACGAAAGTTTTGAATCGATTTTCTGGATGCAACTTAAAGTGACATTTGGTTGACGATTTAGGTTATCAACTATTCACAGCCACAGCTCAATAAATGAAAAAAAAACAAGAAATACTAAGTATCAATATTTGTTATTGTTTGTTTACAAATGTTTGGTTTTTATTCTAGAATTACCCGAGCGCTAAAATAGGGTTCCAAGATTTTTTTGCAAACCGTACTTTTCAAGCGACTTTTGACAGATGGAGGTCATTGGCTTTCCTATTCTTATTTGAATCACACTAGGTATAAGAACAAACTGACTTTTTCCCATAGAGGTATAAGAATAGAGTGGGGAAGGCGGCTCCAAAAGCGTCCGTCTAGTAGAAAGAGAAAGAAGATGAGAGCCGGCTAGCCTTTCTCTCTCTAATCGCGAATGCGCATTGGATGAAAAACCTACGGATGAATACCGACCAATCACACGACTGCGCAGCGTCACAAGAAAGAGAGATAGCTAGCCGTCCCTCATCTTCTTTCTCTTTCTACTAGACGGACACTTCCACTAGTAGTAGAGTACATATCTCCCCTACTCTATTCTTATAACTCTATGCTTTTTCCATAGAAACTTTGACATTGCCTTTGTCATGTTTTTGTAAATATGTACTTAAAACTCACTAATTTCCACATCTTTCTCGACAGGTTTGGCGCTGGTGTTGCCGTCTTCGTTACGTAACGCCATCATCATGTCAATGAAGTCACCTCGTTTCTCTTGAACCCCTGTAATAAATCGAATTTATCAGGTATCGAGGTATCGACTTACTTCTGGGAATACATCTTAATATGTTGTAAGTATTCCAAGTTTTAAATAATTTGATGACAGAGTGGTAGTGATATGTACACCTGCATGGACCAATTACAGTGCTTAAACTTGGGGCTAGACAAAATTAAAACCGGGTGGTTACATTTTCTAGGGCCTAACGATGATATATTTTTTTATTTAATCTTTATTGCCTTCACAATGCAAGTGGCGGACTTAATACTAGTATGGCATTCTCTACCAGCCAACCGGAAAGAAGGTGATATTACGTTCATAGTAATGAGGTTTAAATCAGTTCTGACTTCCAATCTAACTTCTAAATTTCATTGTTTTCTTGTGCATAGAGTTACATTTATTAGTCGTAGAGTGGACACCTGATTTATATGTACTTAAGTGCTTAACTAATACATATGATCGGTAAGAAAGAAAACATTTTATAAATCTAAATCACATTTATTGAATATTTAACTATGACTCTTTTGATAGTGTTTGTAATTCTTTCGAATAATTTTGTTAGTAGTTTTGAAGTGATCGCTAGATTCAGTTCCATTTTGATGGCATCCAGTTGGATTTGCCTTTTTTGTTCATGAACAATAATTGCGATCCAATCTTGTAGCCAACTTAATCACTCAAAAACCTAATGCGTCCCGAAGACGATCAAGTCGCCTTGTCAAGTCTACATGATTGATAAAGCGAATATTGATCGTTTACTAGAAGCTACGGTCAAGCATAACACAAGCTTGATGACAATTAACAATAATTTTGCGCTTAATGCGCTTGACGTGACTTCATGAGTATTGACAAGTTTTTCTCATTTGCGGCCGCAACGTTGAGGATGAAGGACCTAAACGTGCAATAGCGAAAAGCCTTGACATTGTTACCGAGTTTAATTTTGTCCTAGTATCTCTTTCCTGTATTATGGAAAGTTAAAAATAAGTAGCAGGTATGCCGACAAAAACAAAAGGGCGATTGCATTAGCAAACATAGGTAGCTACCAAAATGGATAACTGAAGACACGCTTAACGTACTCATTTCGCCATATCTAAGCGTTTGTACTCCAATCATGGATGTTAAATATGTATTTCTATATAAATAGACTTGTATATGTATTCTATCCGTACCCTAGTATCCCATAACCATTGGGACTAGGCTAATTGGTGTGAATGTTTGAAATATAATAATAATAAATATTTATATAATATTTAAATAAGGTCCACTTGCATTAAAATAATATTAAAACCTCATTATACTTGTATCACTATTAATTTAGCTTATTATGATCGTTTGTTTTAATTATCAGGTTGAATCAGCTTAGAGAATAAATAGAATAGAATAGAATAGAATAGAATAGAATAGAATAGAATAGAATAGCATAGAATAGAATAGAATAGAATAGCATAGAATAGAATAGCATAGAATAGAATAGCATAGAATAGAATAGCATAGAATAGAATAGCATAGAATAGCATAGAATAGAATAGAATAGAATAGAATAGCATGGAACAGAATAGAATAGAATAGAATAGAATAGAATAGAACAGAATAGAACAGAATAGAACAGAATAGAACAGAATAGAACAGAATAGAACAGAATAGAACAGAATAGAACAGAATAGAACAGAATAGAACAGAATAGAACAGAATAGAACAGAATAGAACAGAATAGAACAGAATATAACAGAATATAACAGAATAGAACAGAATAGAACAGAATAGAACAGAACAGAACAGAATAGAACAGAATAGAACAGAATAGAACAGAATAGAACAGAATAGAATAGAATGGAATAGAATAGAATTGAATAGAATAGAAACATTTTTATTGCTCTCACAGTAATACACAGCTCAATACATAGTACAATGCAAATAGTCTTACCCTTCTCCCTATCTCTGAGCACGCTGGTGACAATATTGTAGAAAAAGTCGTGAGTCTTCTTAGGAATTATCCTCATTCGGAAGAATAGAACAAAAGCTGGCCAAAACTGCCGCATTGTTCTGTAAAACATAAAAAGAAAATAAGGAAAAATATAAGGAAAACTTAAAATCATTAATAAAAAAAAAGCGTGTGCGTATTGGGACGCTCGTCAGAAGTGATAACTGAAACTAATCTAAGCGGGGCCACGGTAATATACAGGGTGTGTCAAAAGTCCGAAATAAAACTTTAGGGTTTGGTTGTATTCCTTGTATAGAATTACCTACGAGACGCCTTTCAGACCACTTTTATTTTCTAATTAAATTAATAAAAATATCGTTTTACACCTGCCTATGACAACCCTATAAATGCGTACGATTACTACTACCTAAACAGACCTCCCTCTCTCCCCCAGGCGCCCCTGCGCCCCGCTCAGATACCTACAAATTTTTATTTCAGAATACATGCCTACAAAGGAGACCCGGCACTTTTCATAGAAAAAATGCTAAACTTGTATACAGTTGAATTTGGTCTCAAAATAAAGCCAAAATTATTTGCTACATAAAACTACTTTTGCCTTATTTTTAGTGAATCGTGGAAAGAAGTTATATAATGATTAATATTTTTTGATATAGAAACCCTCAATCTTCAAGGGACAGAATTTTACTTCAAAATATTACTCGAGTGACTGTAAAAACCATGATTCCTTTGCTTTTTCTAAATAAAAAACCAAATGTCAATTTGACAATCCTAAAATAAAAACAAAAAAATGATTCGCATTTCGCATCCGCTCCCCCGTACTGTGATTGTGAATGTTCTCTGCTGTGATTGCTTTTTTATCCGTTATTTCTCTTGACGACCCGGCTATTTAAAGAGGTTTTATTGACAAACCTACGTATTTGACATTGACAGCTAGCTGCTGATGACAAATATTGCCAGACTACGTTACCCAATTATGAAACACAGATAAAAAGATTAAAAAAGGTTGCCTGTAAAGTCGGTTTTACGGGCGAAGATTTTACGTGACAACGTCTTTTTCTCGGTAGAATATTTATTGATATGAATATAATTAAATTGCACAATAGGAACAAGGAATTGAATGAAAATAAGAATTGCACAAATTTTAACTATAGAAATATATTTTGTTTACTAAAACATTGTACATGTAAACTTAAACTTAACACGAGAGACTCATCGTAACGTTACCGAGCGTTACACTTTTTCATAAGTGACTCCCAGCCGCAACCTAATTTAAGACGTTGTCACGTCAAAAAGTATACAACTTTGGCACATAATGCCGGGTGTCCTTTTATTTCGGAATTCTGTAATACCCTGTATAAATAATATTACCGTGGGGCGGGGCACTGCGAGTTAGAGTGAGGGAGGAGGAGCCTACCTACCCAGCCTTGCCATTGATACGGCAATTACCTACGGTAATATATAAATATACGGCAATTTGAGCTCATAATTTCAGATTATACATACGGAATACGGAAGGTATGTCATTGCCGTATAATAATACTTACTACCTATAAATTTAAATAAATAAAATTAGGTAATACGGCAAAATCATGATTTTTATTTAAAAATACGGCAATCTGATGTATCGAATACGGCAACTCTTTCAAACTTGATGGCAACACTGTGCCTACCGCTGCCTTATGCGTGAGAGGAAGGGAAGCCAGACAGACTGGCGCCGTAACGCGTTACGTAACGAAGCGGTAGTTAAGGCCATAAGTAGTTATCACTTCAAAATGCTTCCCCGGTTGGGGATCGAACTCGAGCGGCCCGCGTATCAGGCGAACTTTTTGCCGCTGAATAATCGAAGAGATTGAGAAGTTCTGAATTTTTTTTCTAATGAGATAAAATTTCATATAAAAATCAGGTTTAACCAGTTGAGTCTAAGAATAATATAATTACGATTATCTGTATATATTTATTTAATAAACAATATAATATAATGTTAAGGATTCAATATATATTGTGAAAAGATGAATATTTAATTTAAGAAGATATAACAATAAAATACAACTAACATTAACAATTTCACATCATAAAACTATAAAATACACTAACTATAAACAAATAAGTCTCTATCTAATTACATAATTACTATATATAAGTAAAATATAAATACTAGAATAATAAAACTAAAACTAAAATTAAAAACCTTAAAAACATAAAAATTAATAACTAAAATATATTATTAAAAGGAGTCCCTTTAGGCAAGGAACCGAAGATACTGGCAGCGTTACCTCTTTGAATGGCTAGACTAATTCTTTGTCCGAGGTAGCTGCCAGCTCTTCGGTCTCCTGTGACGTCGACTAACCTTTTTGCTATTTCCTTAAATAGCCTTAAAGCGCTAGGACCCCACGGACCAAGGGTCTCGACACCGAATGGGACAAAATCATATTCGGAGCCTAGACCCCTGTATTTGCCTGCCTTAGCTTTTTCAGCAGCTTCACAAGCCGCACCAGCTCTGTTGTTGGTTCCATGTAGATGGGAAGGGGCCAGCGTGTCTGAACAGGTTGCATCCCATACTAGCACCCGACCCATCTTCCATGGAATCAAACTCATACCGTCCGGTCTCTTGCCATCGTCTCTTGCAATACCAGTTGGCTCAAGTAGACTTGGCACGTTGACGGTGGCAAGGGACCGGCGTATGATATCGTTAAGTGCGGCGTGTCTCGAGAAGCGGCCTGCACTTTTTTGGCAAGACAGTCCGTGATGTCCTAGCTTGTCGACATCACTGCCACAGGGACATTTATGAGGAGCGCAGACCGGGACCCCAAGCCGTAGACAGGTTGCGATTCGGAGCGTGTCCGGCTCAAGAAATGTTCCTGTATTTGCCGAGGGGTACGCGTGAAGCCAGTAGCCGGCCTCGTGCGCACCCACGGCCAAAAGCCTAGCACGCGCCGAACCTGTACTACAGCTCAAAAGGTTATCATACGTCAATTTACAGTTTATGTCATCCCAGCTCCTCTGTGAATTTGGATAAACTGGAAAATTTTGACCTGGGCATGCAATTAAGAAAGCGTTTCTAGCTTCTTCCAAGCCAGCAATCTCAAAGTTTGAAGGGGATGCCCTTAAAATTTTACTTATGAGATTTGCTGAACTATGGACAGAAGATAGGAAGGCTGGTAAAGCGACACTGGAAATTTTGCGAATCCCTAAACCACCATAACGGATGGGTAGGGATGCTTGGGTCCAAGATTGCTCGTTAAGCTGCATATTAAGAATTGATTCTAAGTTATTTTTGATTAAGCCGTCTACTTGTGCCAAAAGATCTGGATGATTCCAAAAGGAGCAGCAACGGAGGACATACGTTAATTTTGGGACAAAAAGACAGAATTTTAAGATGCAAAGTGCATAATGTGGACTAATTTCAAGGAGACGGTCGGCGGAATTTTGGAATTTATTAATTGAATTATTAAAATATTCAGAAATAGATTCATCAAAAATTGGAGAACCTAAAAGGTAAAGGGAATTTCTGTTAACTATTTTAATATTTGGAGCCAAAATATTAAATTTTTGTTTAACATCATTTAAATTTAAGTCACAGTTATTTATAAAAAGTTCGCATTTGCTAAAATTAAGCTCCAAACCAATGGCTTCAAATTTGTTTTTGATTAAAAAAAGGTCCGAAAACACAGTATCCACATCACCTCCTAGGGTTCCGTCGTCCAAGTACCAAACGTTGAATTTAGAATTTAATTTTTTTATTATCGGATTTATAGCCAAACTAAAAATTGCAGGCCCAAGGGGATCACCCTGTTGACAACCTACTTCCGAGGATAGTTCATTAGAACGATATAACAATTTTGTTGGGTCAGCGTAACTGAGAAGAAGATAATTGTATATTTCCGGTATATGTTGTTTTATTTCCGTCAGCAGGGTATCCCTATTTACCGAATTGAATGCATTTTTGACATCAATTTTGAGCAACACGTCAGGCTGTCCGTAAGTTAGGAAGGAGCGTAAGGCATGGACGGCTGCCTCACACCCTCCTTTTACACCAAAGCCTAACTGTACGGGTTCAAATTCCGAATTTAATTTTGGTAAAATATGTCGAACAGCAATTTTGGAGGCCAGACGTCGTAATGTTGATCCAACAGCAATTGGTCTCACCCCTCCGTCCTTTTTGGTGAGGGCAATGAGGTTCGCGCCGAAAAGAATGGGAACAATTTCTTGATTGACATTACCGGAATACATAAAGTTGATTAAATTAGTGATCGAATTTATAAGTTGCTTTCCTGCATCACCCACAGAATGCGACGTTAAGTCTTTCAAATGTTGGGGTGAGATTCCATCCAAACCTGCAGCCGAACCTGGTTTAAAAGACAAAATGGCATCCGTAACATCTTTGTTTTGAATTTGAAGGCATGCTTGCCCTGCTGTTGGTGGATCGAAAAAATATGGGTTTACTGGAGCTGGGGGATGTTTTGTCCGTAAGGCCTGAAGGGTGTCAGGGGTATCTGGAGATAGCACGTCGTTGGAGAACAAAAGGCGAGCGGCACCTTTGAGATCTCCGTCACAGATTTTATTTTCAATGAGTTTGATGCGATTCCGAGGGGCATTGTGTTTGATTAGAGGTGCGGGAGAAGGCAAGGAGCTTACAGCACAATTATTCTTGATCTTTTGTGTTAAGGATAAATTCAGTTCATTAGTTTTTAAGATATTTAGTGTGCTGTATGAAAATAAAAATAGGTTCTGCCAGTCTTGAGAACAATTACTTATGTAGCATTTCTGAATTAATTGTGATAAATGTGTAGCAACAGTTATTCGAGCTCCTCGAGGGATTCTTTTAACTATGGGTATACTATTTTTCAAATGGCTAAGATATGTGTGGAAAGGAGTTGGATCGTTGGCTACATAAGTAGGCCCACTCGGAATAATGGGATGGATGTCTAAAGGTGAACTATTTTGGCTAATACATTTCCTGTGTATTTTTGTAGTGTGTATTTTGAGGCCTTTCAAAGATTTGAATGATTTGTGGCACTGTGTACATTTACGGGTCGTGTTCGACGTGCCATCACTAGATTGGGTCGCGGACTGCATTCACAAAACTTAAATATATTCACAAAAAAGAATAACTTAAAACAAAATTAAAAAACACAATAAAATAACTTGAAAAATGCACTGAAAATATAAAAATGTCAAAGACAAATATGACAGCTGCTTGTTGTGATAAATAACGCATGCGCCGTTACATAGGTGCGTCACAGGATGGTCTTGGATTGGACACAGTGAAAGAGAAAGACCTAGCGACGCATGTCGTCGCTAGGACAACCGATGGCGGCCTTAGCAACCGCGTCTTCAAATTATCACAAACGGATCAGAAATTTTTAACCACTGAACAGGCACTGTGGTGGAACAACAATAAAATCCCCATGCACACATATGAAAAACAACTTGATTTACTTTTATATGCAGGTTTGCGCCGTCAGTAAATTAAAATGGCTTAGAAATTAATATTTTAAGTGACCTGAGCCTGCATGTCATATGGTTTTTTTTTTTTTTTTTAGTTCTGAATTTGTAATAACAATTGAAAATTTAATGCGACATGCTTAAGCCTTTTTTAAAATCTTTATATGTTCTAGAAAATATGTATGGTTCGTTGTTTTATCTTGCTGGCATAAAACAACTTCCTCTTCATTTAGCTATCCTTTACCGCAAAGTTTGTATGGAAGAGATCGCTTAAAATGATAAGGCCGCCTTTGCCCACATAATGTTATTGTTTTCTTTTTTTTGTATTCTTTTGTGTTGCACACACAACAAAGAATTTATATATCTATCTTAAGCCAGGCGCAAAATATATGGCGATGTAATAAATGTTCCACTTTAAGAGCGTGCGTTGCATTAAGCGGAGCACGGAGCAGGCGTCACCGCTCGTCGTTTTTGTTTCATGTTATTTCATAGAGTAGCGTTGTGTGAGGCGGGGCTCCTGGACCGCTCTGTCACGGTAATATGATCTATACAGTATTGTGTCTCGGCCCTGTCCTTGATATAACTGCCTACGGCCGAGCGGGACGCAAACATGCGGTAGGGCTGCCCGCCTTCGGTATTTTAATTTCATCTACATAATTGAATTTCTTTCTAGTTTTGTGATTGTAAATATTTTATTTTATATGTAAAAAAAATGTTGTGAATGAATTAGGAAGTGAGAGAGGACGCCCGCGCTGTGAACCGCTTCAGGCAGCGCACGCTCTTAAATGTTTCAAGATGTTTGACTCAAAAGTTAATAACGGAATGTAACGTAATGATTGATGATTACCGCTGCCTGTGTTTTAAAGATTAACTCCAATACGTATAAAAATGACATTAAAGAATCTAAATTTTATTACTTATTAAAAGTATGATTATTTGTATTGATGATAATAGGTATTTACCCTTGAAATTGCCGTGCTGCCGTAATGGTTATTTCAAATACATTTTTTTCTCATAAAAATATATTATAATATTAAAAATAAAAATAATAAATATGTGGAATTATTTTGAAAATAAGTCAATGGTAAGCATTCCTTTTTCACTGCATTTGTACGGTTTACGTCATCATGGGTACGTTATAAATTCAATAAGCTATCACTACGTTGATAAAAATGCATTGATTGCATGGGTAATTACTTTGATTAATAAAAATATAAGAGGGCGTTAACTTATTTCACATTAAGTTAAAGACCCTAATATGAGTTGTCACTCAAAAAACAATGAATAGTAATTACGAAAAATGAAAAAATAACGTGGCCGAAAAATTATATTTTTTCGATGTTTTTTGCTCGGCACAAACCTACGCCCGTAGCCCGTCTAGCGTTCGCGGTGCCGGCGCCGCACTGTTGCCGCACCGCGCGTTTTGTATGAAAAAAAGGATCGTCCGTACGCTGTACGACAAACGCACCGCTTCGGCACCGCAGCAGGCCGTCAAGAAACGCATAATTTGAAAGAGCCCTTACTAATAGTTTGTGGCGGACAACGGGATCGATCAGGATCAGAATTGATTTATTGCTGTATAAATAATTGTATGTAACTCACTTTTCGAAGATGTTATACAATGACATTTCGTAGAATGCATGCAGAGCCTCAGCAAACGGATCGTGCTCGTTGTCCATGACATTGCTCTTCAGTCCGAACGCACAAGGCACAATCGCGTCAGCAGTAAAGCCTCCAACCAGCTTCTCACCGTCCACTATCGTACTGGCATTATCAACCTTATATCCATCAGAATACGAGTTGTTATTCTCTTCGGCGTTTGTTTTTGTTTTGTTTTCTTTAATTTTGACAGCGTCTTCATTTAAACAACGTTTTACAACGCGCTTCAAAAACTCTTCAGCTGTGTTGTCGATGAGTGGGAACATTCCTCTTAGCTTATTAGGTCTGAAAGACACAACATACCATATACTTAGTGTTACCAGGTATCCCAATTTGCGCTGAGACGTCCCGATTTTTAGGGGTCTGGGGGCGCGTCCCGATTTGTACCAGTATCAGGACGCTAAATGTCCCGATTAATACCAGATCGGGGCGCTAAATGACCCGATTAATGAAAACTAAAATTTAGGTAATTAATTTAATATTATACTTGCACTAGAAGTTTAAAACGCAATAAATAAAACCCAGACTTACAAAACCCCTTGTTTTTTATTTACTGTCCCGATCTGCAACCCTAAATCCCGATTTTTCTGACCTCGTGTACCGATTTAAAACAAATCGGACCTGACAACATTACATATACTCTACCTTTTGTCCCTACGTATTCTCGGGTTCATCAAGTCATTTTGTTTTATAGTCCGGTCAATCTAGACATATAACGGTACATAACTTTACATCAAACTAGAAGTGAGTAAAATTGTTCAAAACATAATTAAAAATAACATATCAAAATTCCCCATACTTCTGAAAACCACTTACTAATGGTTTTCTCGCAAGTGTGTTGAAAAACGTTGTATGATATTCGGGCGGATTGGTATTACAAACTCGTGTCTATAGTAAGCATACATTCGTCTAGTCGTTTGTAACAAACCAACTTACCGCAATAATATCAGAAATAACTATTTAATCATAATCTATACATATAATAAAATGGTAGGAAAGTCAAAAATGTACATTGAATATTTTTTTAAAAGAATACTTGGGGTGTGATCTACAATCGATACCTAAGTCAAAAATATAGTTTTTAGAATTTTTGTCTGATTGTCTGTATGTATGTCCGGGATAATGATGATGATTATGACAAGAATAATCATTACATGCAATATGTGATCGATCACCTGTTATTAAGAACTAGCAAACCAGTGAACCAAATGTTCACCAAAACCTGATTTAAAAAAAAATGTATTTAATTAATTGAGAACTTCGGAGATTTTGTGTGGTTTCGTTTGAAATTCGTGATTTCTCGAAAACCGGAAGTGCTACGTTACTCAAATCCGGTTTGTAGTCTTATCAGACTATTCTTCTTATAACTTAAAAATTCTCTTTATCTATCTCTTACGGTTTGGCCGCTGAAACAGCACCACAGACAGACGGACGGACGGACGGACTTGTCTAATAGATAAGAGATGTTCATAAATTACTTAGGCTTACAACACTTACGAGAAAATGGGAGATATTTTCGCCCTGAGTCGTTTCCACCGGGAGCCCCTCAGGTACAGCACGGAGCCCGCTAGCGGGTCCACGTCCTCCCTGAAGAAGAAGCCGCGGTCCACGAAATGCTGGAAGTCGTTGACACACATCCGCTTGATCAGCGAGGGGTCCCGGACTACTAACGTGCGCTGGTAGAACTGGTGGGTGCCTGGAATAGATTTTATTGAAAATTTAAAAAGTATACGAGATTATATTTGTTTCTTAGGTTTTCACGCACATCACTCATTAAATAAAACTAGTTTTTACGGGTTAATGCACGAAACTTTATTTATTTATGACGTTTCGTAGCCTTTACAGGCTTCGTCGTCAGAATAAAACTTTTATTTAATTTGTCGAGCTACCTTCGAAAGACTTGTCTTTCGTGTCTTTCGAAGGTAGCTCGACAAAAGACTTGTCTTTCGTGTCTTTCGAAGGTAGCTCGACAAATTAAATAATAGTTTTATTCTGACGACGAAGCCTGTAAAGGCTACGAGACGTCATAAATAAATAAAGTTTCGTACATTAACCCGTAAAAATTAGTTTTATTTAGTATACGAGATTTTTTTTTATAGTCGCGGCACTCTGTGATGGCCGTTTTCTCACATTGTAATAGTGACGTGAAGAGTCAATCTGTTATCGAAAAATATCTGAATGAAAATGCGAATCACATCAAGGTACCTATTAAACATTTTACCAATATTGCAAGAAATTGCTGATTATGAAGATGGAATAAAACGAAACTATAAATATTTACACACGCTCAGGGATCGTATATGTGATGATCTTATTAATGACATCTTTTTACATTTTAAATTTCGAAAAATTCAAATACCGAGTTATGTAGGAATAAGTATTTTGTTATAATAACAATAAAACAATAAATTAATTCAATTTACTTAATCTTTTTCAAGATTTTGTCAAATGGCCAGTGTTTTTTGTTAAAAATGATATTATATTTAACTGTTGTATACTTGAAAAGATTTTTGTAACCATAATATAAGTTAGACCATAATATTACGGTTTTATAAAAAAACATCTACGCTCTAAAATTACCGATTCGCTAAGAACGAAAAACCAAATACGTGTCTCTAGTGACAATGAAGAACGATAATATTTTTTCAAATTCAGAACTAACTTCTAATTTAAAATATGAAATTTTGCAGGTCGGTCCATAGCGCGGGTCTGCGCGGCCATTCGGAGACGGGTTCCACGACCACACCTACCCTCTCGGCACGCACTAGGGGGACCGCGGTCCTCATAGTGCATGTCGGGTGATGGTGCAGGAGTATTGTCTGGTTTTTAGTGGCCCTGTTCAGGGCGTAGGTAGGGCCTGTCTGTTCACATCAGCGAGCTCCAGGGCTGGCTGAAGAGGACAGGGAGGAGTCCCACATACGGGCATAATAGCGCGGGTGGTTGGCGCGTTCGGCTGCGATCGTTAAAGTTAAGCAACTTTCGCAGTGGTCGGTCATTGGATGGGCTACCAAAAATCTTCTATCTCGAATTCCTCCGTCTTTCGGAAGGCACGTTAAGCCGTTGGTCTCGGCTGCATCTGCAGTAGTTAGCACCCGCCAATCAGCACTGGGCCCGCGTGGTGCGACATGGCCCAATCTTCTTAGTCCACCCATAGGGAAGGCCTGTGCCCCAGCAGTGGGGACATTAATAGGCTGATGATGATGATGATGAATATGAAACTTCAAAAAGGCACAAACGTTAAAACGACCATCGTAGCATGCCGCTACTTTAGAAAACAATTCCACGCGGACCAGGGGGCCATTCGCCTATATTAATATTGTTATTACCAATGTAAAAGAAAAAAAAAGAACGCGAGGCATTTGACCTCAGGCGGCTAGAAATAACAAAATGAAATCGTAAGCGTTAGCGTTTTCCAAAGCATTTCCGTTAGGCGAATGGCCCCCAGGCAGCAGACGGGACTCGAACCCGCACCCTCCGCTATCTGGGCGGATTATCGATATCGGTCAATAATATATCCCATACATTCCTGCCCGTTCTACTTTCTAACAAAACTAAAATATGACTTTTAGGCGGGATCGGGAAGCGTCACTATAGCAGTTTTGTTTTTCTTGTTAAAAATTGTGTTGTGGCGGATGTTAGTGTCTAATAATGGTGGATTATTAACCACTAAGTGTTCGGGAACTTGCACAAATGTTGGCAAGTGAAACAAAATAGCGGAAAGTATCTTTCCACGTTCCCTCAAGAAGTCCGCGGGGAGGTTCCAGTAAATCCCCACACTTTTACTGAAACATAGGGAAAGGGGGATTGACATGACTGCCACTTACTTTGACTTGATTTATTACTTTGACCACGAGTGCTATAGTATTTGTATACATTTTAACACTTGACATTGGCTAAATGCACAAACCGTGCGAAGCCATTTAGAAAAAAAAATAGTATACCCACCTAAAAACCTGAAATCCTTGTATTTGTCGTATATGCTTTTGAAACACAAACCCCCTTGCTCTTGGAACATCACCACACTCTTGATGTGACCAACAAATGGCCACGCCGGAGGGGAGAAGATACCTCTACTAGCCCAGTATCCATGGTCATAAGTTCCCAACGCGTAAACAACACAGCAACTCAAGGGGACTGCGAATATGTACCATATAACAACACTCCCGAAGGTATAGTGTTGCAGAGCCCACGCCAAGCACACCGCCAGAAAACTGAAGGACCGATCGAATCCAAACATTTTCACGTATACTTCGTCATGAATAGGTATCACAGTAAATTAAATAACATGATCTGAAACAAAATAAAACATTATGAAATTCGTCAGTCTTGATAGTACTATCAGCCAAATTTAGTCATGATCCATCTGCTTATTTTCTTAACCAATGCAAAACAATAAAGTAGACTTTCGCCTAAATGTGCGTATCCATGGAAACAAACTTGTTATTAAATGAACAATCATATTTAATGTGACAGATTTTGCTTTGACGCCACCCTGTGATATAGTGTTTACGATACGCTATTGACTGAGATTATTGTTGTTTCGCCCATAGACATTCTATTACATTTACGATTTTTAGTGGTTTCGAAATTCAAACCACTATTCCAATTTTGTCAATAAGATGATGTATTGCATTGAAAACAAAGTTCAAATTACGCAATTTCTATACAAAAAAACTTTTCTGTTTTGATATTTCAGCGATTAAGGGTGAGGACGGGGTTAGTTGTCGAAATTCTATTTAGTCTGTTATTTTATCAAAAAAATATTAAACGAAACAAAAGATACACACGTGATTTTTTTGTTTGATCAAACAGCAAAAAACTGAAAAAGATACAGTGCAACAAAGTTTAGGAGTGGGGCTCGTGACGTCACTTTTAAGTGAAAACTGTACCAAAACGTAACGTCATGCGACATATCAAATCAATTTATCTCTGTGATGTATTGATTAGATATGTGAATCAGAAAAAAAAACATGTCCAATACTTTTTGATAACCTACCTGATATACGAAGAAGAAGAAGTTAGTCGTCATCCCTATTATCGGCCAAGTTGGTCAGGAATCAATTTGTTCTATAGTACTTACTAGATTATATATATATATTAATATATAAGTAATAACTTGTTTAAAAGTTATTTAGGCAGGCACTGTCTCGTACGCTGGCTTCAGCAAGATGGATGGTAGAGTTCTTTAAACTACAAATTATTTTAAATTTATAATACCTACATTAATAATAAAAATCACATTTCCCGAATTAAATAATTTTACTAATGAGTTGCAACTTTCGTAAGTTGAACTTTTTTTATGTTAAAATAAAAAATCTTAACCCAAAAATTACAATAACTAACCAACGTCAAGGTAAACAGTCAGTTCTTTAAAAAGCCTCTTTCTTTCATATTTAATTACCTTCTAAATTACAGTTTTATCCTTTTAACTAGTTTATTGGGGAGTCGCACTTTTTATTTAATTAACATAGAAATAAATACCAAAAAAATACACTAATCACATATTAACACCTCACATAAGCAATAAACGTGACACTACACTACACTACACAGGGATGCACTTAGGAAATAATACCTAAAATTAAACAGTTCCACTCGAGTTTAAAACACACGCTACGTCACACGGAATTTTACAACTATTATACGATCCAGTCGCGCGCCTAAAACAGTCCAAATGTGTTGAATGAACCACGAGCGCACAACGCATGATGCTTTAAGAGAGAAAGTTAAAAACAGGGCCACAGTCGCGATCTCATCTGTTCTGACGTACAAGTCTAACAGCATCCGTACCAAATAAAGCCTCTCGAAAACACACACAAAACTACTTACCGATTTTTTAAGGATGTTATGAACATGTGATGAAAACTTGTTCTTATTGTTTTGTCACAGAAACAATATACATGCACAATGACAGAGCATAGACATAGCATGATTTTGTGAAGAAGAAATAATTCTGGTAATAAGCAATCTATTTTTTTAAGTTTAATTTAACCTACCTTTATTGACGAATTCCAAAACTTATTACATCAAGATATCCCTAATATCCCTTTGCATCGAATTTACAATTTTTATTTTAACACAATTGATCTTCAAATAAAGTACTGCCCTCGCATAAATTTGCCTTTCAACATTTATGGAATCTCAGATTACGCAACAAAAGGTCTATATATCTGAGTATGCAATATTATTCATGTAGAACAGTTATATTCTGTCAGCAAACAAAATATCTCACGGTCGCAGCCTAAAAGACCGTCCGTCGCAAGCACTCATAAAGGGTCCCTGCAACAGATGGTAATGATTAAGTGGCCATTTTGTCTACCTAGATTGCTCCTAAATACGCTCTTGGCTTTTTTCCATTGAATTTATTTTTGATTCCGAAGAAGGTTAAACGAACGAGCTATATGACAATGGAATAATCCCAGACTCCACACTTTTTTAACCAATATTGATCATCATAATCAGCCTATTAATTTCTGTTGAGACAGAGGCCTTCCCTATGAATGGAATAGGGAGATTGTGCTATGACCCAACACGCGGGCCCAGTACTGATTGGTGGGTGCTAATGACTGCAGATGCAGCCGCGACCAACGGCTTAACGTGCCTTCTGAAGCACAAAGGAACTCGAGATAGTTATTTTTTTGTCACCCATCCAATGACCGACCACTGCGAAAGTTGCTTAACTTCAACGATCGAAGCGGAAGGTGCTAGCCACCTGCGCTATTGAGTTCCTAATACCTATTGATAATTAATTAGTATTTTGTAATCATAAGTTGTTACTACCTTGCGTTCCCCCGCAAAAATTGTTTTATTACTCAAACTTGCACGCGCCTTCTCAACCCCGTAAATAATGATTTGTAGGAAAAATCTATCCTATGTTCACGGACCTTTTCAGGTCCGTGCCTATGTCCTTCCCTGGGATTCAACCTATCTCTATACCAAACATCTAAATCGGTTCAGCGCTTAAGTGTGAAGAGTTAATACACAGACAGACAGACACATTTTCTCATTTATAATATTACGTAAATCTTTATATATATAATTCTTCTGTGAGTGTGTATGTCACTGAACTTCTCTTAAACGACTGGACCGATTTTGATGAAATTTTTTGTGTGTGTTCAAGGGGATCTGGGAATGGGTTAGATTCACAATTTTGTCCGCTGGACAACCCCTATTTTTTTAGGGCGGTACGAAGTTCGCTGGGTCAGCTAGTAACACTATAATTTATGAAAATTATTTTTTATTTCATTGATGTTCGTTATTTTCAAAAACTAAAGTTAGTGCGAATGAAGTCACGGGCGGCTGCTAGTTCGATTATATCATCGATCGATGTATATTGTTCTGTTTCCTGAGCAACCTGATACTTTTCTGGATAAAAAGAATTCTATGTCTCAACCCAGGTCATAAACTATAGTGCCCCAAATTTTATCCACATTCGTTCAGTTGTTGTTGCGTATTTGAGAAACAAACATACAAACTTTCACATTTATAATATAAATAGGATAGTAATCATTCCTTTCTCAAAACTGTAAACATAAACAATAATATCAATATTATCGCGTATTTTTAACTGCATTCTTTAATATGGCGAATAACTATTTATAGTCTATAATATATGTCTTAGTTTGAAAAAGAACAATTTTTGAACAACCATGTAACCTCTCCTAGCCCTCATCAGACCAAAAAACATCTCTAAATGGTCTTGACTTACTTTGTATAGTGGTAAACATCTTAAATTTCTTTTAATAATCAAGTCATCAAACATATTAATGGCATTTTGTAAGGAAATAATGAAACCAGACTCTATGACTAATTTACCGTTCAAACGCTTTAAGTTAGATAAATATTCTTTACATTCTTTAAACAAAGTAATACAGTTTTCAATATTACCAGCACACAGAGCTTTTTTAAATCCTGGCACAAAAATACATCGGCTATTATAAATATCAAAAGTATTGTTGACCATTATAATGAATTTTATAGTAGCAGAGCAATCACGAAACTTTTCAATTTTTAAATTATCCTTGCAATGTAGAAGTGCATCTGCTACTGTCCTACTCAGTAATTGTGAAGCAAGCCTTACTTTATTTTTTTGTTTACTAAAATAAATATCAGCTTGCTTCAGTTAGTTAGCCAAATGTAAACCATTTTGCTGTTTAATTCATGTATAATATGTATATCATAATATTATACCTAGTGAGGTCATAAATTCTGTCACATTTTTAATATAAAATAATTGAAACAAGTTTATTCATTATGTAACCATTTATATACTAAAATGACTTCGGTAACTGTCTCCAGTTGCTGGATATCGAAGGGTATCTTTGGTCTCGAATTTCTTTAATTCGAGGAACTCAATGTTCGTACAGCTATCATACCATGATATCACCAAAAAATAAATGCGTTCTCCAGTCTATTGAATGTGCTATCAGCCATTTTGATTCCTGACTCACCATACGCTTATTTTCTTACAATCCTTGCAAAATAATATGGTAGACTTTCTTAACGTACGTATCCCTTGAAAAAAACTTGTTATTTTTAGAACAATAATAATTGACGTGACCGATTTTGCTGCCTCCGTTGGCATAATTTAGACGTTGAATTATTTGGCGTTTTACCCATAGACTCAGGATTTTCTTAGTAATTACCCAAAGTTATTAATAAACTCAAGAAATCGAAAGAGTTTCTGTTATCTTTCTTCATCGAAAAAAAATCACAAATTTCATAGGCTTTTGTTCCACATTAATACAATTTTATAAGAAGGTCCTAAGTGCAATATACATTATCTAAACAGGAAAGCTTGTCTGTTTTGACATTCTTAAGCTAATTATCGGGAAAGTGGTATCAAGAATCAATTTGATCGATAGTACCTAGAATTAAACACTATTCTTTATCGTCTTTCTGGTAAAACTGTTCCTAACAGTGAAATAAAATATGTTGTGTTGTGTTCGTATTGTACGAAGTTCAGGCCTTCATAGCACAATCTCCCTATTCCATTCATAGGGAAGGCCTCTGCCCTAACAGAAATTAATAGGCTGATTATGATGATGAATAAAAAAAGTGTGGAGTCTAGGATTTTCCAATGTCATATAGCTCGTTCGTTTAACCTTCTTCAGAATCAAAAATAAATTCAATGGAAAAAAGCCAAGAGCGTATTTAGGAGCAATCTAGGTAGACAAAATAGCCACTTAATCATTACCATCTGTTATCTTTCTGGTAAAACTGTGCCTAACAGTGAAATAAAATATGCTGTGTTGTGTTCGTACAATGAGTGAAGTTCAGGCCTTCACTTCATGGGGTTAGGGACGAATTCGGGGTAGATACTCTGATACTGCAAACGTCTACCAACTGAAATACCGCTTACTACCCAGTAAACCGCATGCTTGTTATTCATACTTTCCATAGGTATTATCCGTATTTCATACTAGTTTTATAAATGCGAAAGAAGGTCTGACTGTCTGTCACCACTTCACACTAAAACCACTGAACCGATTTACACGAAATGTGGTATAGATAGGTACCTAATAATTTGAGTCCCGGAAAAGGACATGGTATAGTTTTTATGTCAAAAAAAATCATCCTATATTTGTATGGACCACCAATTTCTCCACGATTAAATTAAACCTAGGCACAGAGGCACTTACAACGGTACGGAACAGCACGGAGTAAAACTCAGTTTATATAATAACAAATAACTTTCATTAATATCCATTCAGTATTTTTTAGGTGAAAGAGTAACAAAGATCCATACAAACGTAAGATTAAAATTAAAAGCGCAAGTTAAAAGCGCAAGCGCAAAAAATTAATATACAACTTTAAATCGTTGTAGATCCTAAACAGTCACATAAAATGAAAAATGGTGTAAGGAACCTAAACATGATTTTCAATTATCTAGACTATCTAGATATATCGAGTGGGGTATCATTATACCCGACTCGATATATTTCGTCAACTTATTTTTTCTTTCTCACAATATGGCACCAAATTATCCCCATATTGAATTTCGTTTACTATCATATCTTTAGTAGCATTCCCATGATTAAGACAAATCGATTGACGTATGAGTCATCAAAATCGGTGCAGGCGTTTGGTCTCTAGTACATAAATAGACTGTTAAACATGCGCGGCGCACTTCGCGCTCTTGCATCGCGCAGTCGGGTAAAAAAACAAGTTGCTCAGTGCAATGTAAGTTATGTATTGTATTAGCAATGTTCGCTTCATTGTGATTTATCTGAGACTTTTCCTTTATGTCACAAAACCACATAACAGTTATAGTTATTGTACCATTAACAAAAAATACTTCCCATCATTATGATGATGAATAAATCCACACACGTAACCGTATAGAACTTTATGTCATGTCGTTTCTAATACTTGCTCTTCCGACTAATGCCTTCACTCATGATAATGGCAATGTTTAGCGGAATGGTTACCTATCTATCCTACGTAATCGTTCGCTCCACGCAATTATTTCCTGTAACGTCTCTTCTACAATCATAAATAAATACTTATATTGAGGACAATTCACAACGATTATTGTTTAGTACCAAATAAAGCAGGGCTATGAAAAGTAAAGAACTTAAAGAATACATGTAAAATAACCGTTAAAATCCTACTAATATTATAAATGTAAGAGTTTGTATGTTTTTTAATCAACAACGCAAAAACTACTAAACAGATCCGGATAAAATTTTGCAGGTAGGATATTTGCTTTGGTGGCAAGCAGTCCCCTCTTTCCCAGTGGGCACTTTGGGCAAGTGCCCAGGGCCCCGCGATCGATAGGAGTCTCCGTCAGATCAAATAAAAAGTCCCTAGTTCCTGCCAGATCACCAAACGATAGCCAATATTTATTACCAAAAAAACTTATATAATTCGATGAAATCGAACCTAAATTACTGACTACAATACCAACTTACTAGCTTTTACATAAGTGAAGCTATTCTACTCTCTCGGTATACTAAGCACATACACATTTTAAAGAAAAATCATTAGTAGTAAACTCATCAGTATTGCTCGTAATCCACATCAGTCATAGGGGCCCCATTATCCTAATATGCCCAGGGCCTCCAATAGGTTAAAGACAGTCCTGGTGGCAATCAATCTGTGTACCCTGCGCTAGATCTGCTTTTAGTTCTGTAATGTGATGGAAGGAATGGCATTATACTTGTACGGCATCTGCCGCTTCTCGCAACATGCCGTCCCAAGTTAAGGGGCTTTTGGAAGGGTAAATACGCCTATGAAACTAAAAAACTATTTTATTAACCCTCATTTACAGATAAAAATTCAAAAATCTCAGGGCTAACCAGGACCCTGCCTCAGCATTAGCTAGCTGTACCACATTGTGTCGCACCTGTTATTCTGCCTGTTTAGAGACACAAAAAAAGACATGTGAATTTTTTCAGTACTTGAAAGGATGTATTATAATTATATTAATTTACCTTTGCTTTCAAGTTACAATAAATTAAAAAAAGTAAGTAAAAAACAGCAAAAGCAACAGCATAGCATAACATAATAAAAGCGGAAAACTCAATCTATAATATAAAAATGAATCGCTGAATGTGTTGCTGAACGCAAATCTCGAGAACAGCTGAACCGATTTCAATAAATCTTTTTTTAGAATATTCCTTGAAGTACGAGGATGGTTCGTACGTAGAGAAAAATTCAAAAAATGCTTGAAAAATTCCAACAACAGCACTTTTCTATAGTCCCATACAAACGATTCGTAATAATACTTAAAAGTCAATTTGAACTTTAATACCATACCATAAATTTCAAATGTTAGTGGAGAGGTTCCGGGAAGGCAAAACAATTGAGTGACGTGATGTCAATAGAAGTTTGGAAAAGGCAAACATACCATTTTCAGTTTTTTTTTTATAATTATATGTAGTAGAGTCATTTTAGTCTACACTACAGCTCTACACCAAAGCGAAGCGAGAGCGGGCCACTAGTATGAAATAAATGTTTGATAGGATTATGTGTCGAATGTATACCTACTAGTTTCTCTTTCGTTGGCTGGCGTGTGGCGGACGCGGTCGTCGTTGACCCAGTGACCAACTGCGGCCAGCTCACTTAACACCAACACGGCCAACGCCAACACCCAGCTCACTGTCTTAACTAGGGTTGCCACCCGTACTTTATTATAAAGTCAATTGTACTCTATACTTTATGCCAACGATAAAGTACGCGAAAATACTTTTTTTGTTTGATCTGATTTCTTAAGGATTCATTTGAAATAAGTATTTTGCTTAAAACGGAACAACAGTATGTTGAGTCTATCCTTAGCTCTTAGTCTCCTCTTAGTCTTTAACGCAACTTAACCGAAAATATCTTCACTGTCGTGGTTGTATGGCTTTATACCGTTGACTTTACCATGGCGGATAAAAATTACAGATTTTTATTAGCAATAATTATTTATTAAAAGTACCGTACCGTAAATGGTAGTAGTGCTTGTAGCACCAAAAATATATTCTGAGCAAACTTATAAAGTGGAAGTTACATTATTTTGGACACAACTTACTTTTTTCTACCTTTAATATCCAATTAACGTTATACAGGCAACCCTTTCTTAACTAGGGTTCACGATTTTAATCATCCATACTTATAAAATATGATAAATCTGTTTTGTAAATATATTATAAAGCTGAAGGGTTTGTTTGATTGATGCGCTAATCTCAGGAACTACTAGTCCGTGTCAAGTCAAGGTGTCGCCTACTCAAAGTCCGAATCCCGGTGACGCAAATGTTTGTATGTTGAATACGAACTTTTGTACCTAAGTCACATGTATGTTTTCTATATAAAAAAAATACTTATATGTATGTTTCTCAATAAATTATAACACGATCCCATTACAAGCCTTACAGTGCTCACTTTGAGGTTTGGTGTAAGTGTTAGAAATATTTATTAATATTATAAATACACTAGCGGACCCGACAGACGTTGTCCTGTCTACACGTCTTTGTGAATCACACAAAAAATTTCATCCAAATCGGTCCAGTCGTTTAAGAGAAGTTCAGTGACATACACACTCACAGAAGAATTATATATATAAAGATATAGATAAATTTTGTGACAGCCCTGCCTCTGCTTCGCCGTGACAATCAAAAGCCGTAATACGAGTTGCATCGGTTACCGCTAACGATTGAGTAAGATTTTATATAATCTACACTAAAACGGTCAATATCCACCAATTTGGTTTGTGTGTCATGTGTGATTTTTTCCCTAAAATTCGGACGTTAAGCGGACGCGAGCTGTGAGACATTTGAGAAATAGGTATTTGAAAAAGCTATTGCTGCCACGCATTGGCAAATTCCGTGCGATAGGAAAATAGTAACTCACGCTGAAAATTGCGTATAAAATTTGCATAATTCGGGGTCTGGCTCTCGACAATTTCCTCCTCGAAAATTGGATAAATGTAAAAGATTTTTTTCTTCATGTATAAACTAAAGTAAATATTCTAACCAAATACTATGTTTTGTTGTATTCTGCTATATTCTTAATGATAGGTAGGTTTTAAAACTATATTACATATATTTCATAGAAAAAATTTGATAACCTTAACTTACGTAACCGTCTTACATCAAACCTCAACTAAATTACGAATCTACCTAAAATATGCTTAAACAGCATTGCTGAAGCGTGGTGTACACCAAAAGCACCGGCTTCCCAATGAAGAGAAGAAAAAAAAATGATCTTAACTTACCTTAACTTACACAGACAGTTCACTTAAAATGAGATACATAACTAAAACTAATAACTAAATTAAAATGGAACAGCGCAGCTGCTTTATAAAACTACCATCTAGTCTAAATAAATTGTTGATAAGGACAAACATATAAGTCGAATATATTGTGAAGTGATATAGTGCAGTTGTTTATGCGCCCGGTATGTTCTTAGGCAGACAGCCAGGAACTCCAACTACCCGTAAGTGAGCACGAAGGGTAAGAGACATGGGGGAAAGTATAAACAATTAACATCTTTATTTATATGCCCCACCTGAGTACATATCAATAAGTTTTGATTGAGACAGGATATACACAGATGAGAAGATAAGATTTAACAATATATATAACCATATTTTTATTTATTTTTCAAAGCAAAGCATAATTACATAAAAAATTAGATTGTTTATTAGAAGAGCTCGATGGTGCAAGTGGTTAAGCGCGTTCGGCTGCGATCGTTGAACTTAAGCAACTTTAGCAGTGGTCGGTCGTTGGATGGGTGACCAAAAATTCTCGAACTCCTCCGTGCTTCGGAAGGCACGTTAAGCCGTTGGTCCCGGCTGCATCTGCAGTCGTTAGCACCCACTAATCCGCACTGGGCACGCGTGGTGGGTCATGGCCCAATCTCCCTATTCCATCCATAGGGAAGGCCTGTGCCCCAGCAGTGGGGACATTAATAGGCTAATGATGAGATTGTTTATTAAGGATTTAGAATGGATTAATTAAAATTAATTAACCATGTGCCATGATGCGACCGGTCAGATATTTTTCGCTACCTACACTGATCATCACTGATTGTTTAACTGCTACGCCAATTGACTGGCAAACTATTAAATATAGTTTACTCTCCCTGCGGGAAAATTCGTATTTGACAGACGTAAAGCTTGTAGAATTTTTAATGTCTATGTACTTCTTTGAGTATCGAGGGCTTGCGGCCACTAGAAGTTAAAGTCTATATTTGAATTATTTTATTGGTCGTTTTAGTAATTTATTATGTAAAATTTAAACACTTACTGTTTGTTCCAGATATGGTAAATGTAGTATTTACCTATAATTATTAATTGTAACACTGATATAAGTGTCTTCGTTTGGTCCAGTCATTTTCGGTTTTAGCTGCGGAAAAACTCTTAGTGAGCTAAATTTTTGTATACACCTTTATAATGAAGATGTTATGAATCGACATTGATGTCGTGCCTCTGACATCTCTTGCAAGTTGTAAAAGAAGTAAAACCACTGGTGCATCTAAAAACACTTTATTGACATAAATCTGTCGAAGAGTTTAATTGACGAAGCGGACCGACTCATCCTCTTCGCTGTCGCCGCTCGATTCATCTTCTTCCGTATCGTCTTCTCCGCTGTCGCCGTTCGATTCGTTGCTGTCGCCGTTCGATTCGTTGCTGTCGCTCTCGTCGCTCTCCAGAGGGATACCAGTCACGTCTGAGATCCATTCGCGAGCGGATGCTATGTTCACGAATACTATAAAGATAAAAATGTATATTTAGTAATTAATAGTATTAAATAATTGCGTTTTGATGACGCAGGTAAGGGGTAGGTTCTTAACATTATTTTTTTATCTTGCAGGATCATCTAATCAAAATTTTTTTTTGGTTACCCATCTAATGACTGACCATTGCGAAAATTGCTTCACTCCATGATCGCAGACTGAACGCGCTAACCACCTGCGCCATCGAGGTCCTCTTCTAGAATACTCTAACGTATTTATAGAGGTGGAGAATAACATAATAAAAATAATAAATAAATCAGGATGGCTGGAATGACACATTTTTTTTTTCATTTTTTATAACAAATGTTGGTATTAAAAACGAGGAATTTACCATGATCACGAGTTTGTAAATACCAATAATACCACGAATGTCATACAACGATTTTCAACACATTTGCGAGAAAACAGAAAGTATACCTAATTTTAGTAATGAAGCAAACTTTATCTAAAAAGAACTGCGCGCATTTCTAAATGGCGCCAAGTGCACACTAGTGCACTATAAACTACAATAGACTTTTTGGCAGGATCGGGAAGCGACACTTAAGCAGTTTTGTTTTTCTTGTTAAAAATTTTGTTGTGGCGGATGTTAGTGTCAATAGGGGTGATGACGAGGTACAGTAAATGAAATTCCATTTAGTCCGTCAGTTAGATGATCAAAAAATAATGGACACGTATTTTTTCTTTGGGCAATCAACCACAAAATGACAACGTTATAGCGCGTCAAAGTTTGGGAGTAGGGGCTCGTGACGTCAATTTTGAGTGAATTTTCACTTATAGGTATGTGTAGTCAAACGTGACGTCATGCGACTTTTCAAAACAATATATCTCTGCAATGTTTATATTATGTGAAAAAAGAAAAAATACGTGTCCAATACTTTTTGATAATCTACCTGATAAACGAAGAAAAAAAATAGTCATCATCCCTAATTATTGCTAACCACTAAGTGTTCGGGAACATACAACAAGTGTTGGCAAGTGAAACAAAATAGCGGAAAGTGTCTTTCGACGATTCCTCAAGAAGTCCGCGGGGAGGTTCCAGTAAATCCCCACACTTTTACTGAAACATAGGCAAAGGGGGATTGACTTGACTGCCACTTACTTTGACCACGAGTGCTATAGTATTTGTATACATTTTAACAGTAGACATTGGCTAAATGCACAAACCGTGCGAAGCCATTTAGAAAAAAAAACTTTCCACTCTTTTCCTTTTTAGTATTAATGTGAGCGCTTCCAAGGGGGTTCGACCAAAATAAAAAAAAACCGTAAAGAATACGCACGGCGCCATGTATGGTAGCGTGCGGTAACATGTTTTACCGCACGCTCCGTTGTATTGCCCGTAATTTTGAACTTTCGGACAATGTATACACCCTCCATAAATGCAGTTTTTGAGCAAACATATTGAAAAATACTTTAAAAATTTTATTCGTTCTACTACTCGTAGCAAATGGGATTGTAAATTCCTTAGTATTGTATGATCCACCATTGTGACTATTATAGGTAGTCAGTGCATGTGTTGTCATTGTGTCTTTTATATAAATAAATATTATACTAACCATTCTCCTCTGCAACCTGGACCAGAACTCCGTACTGGACACCGTCAGCCACTAGCGGGGCACCCAGATCGAACTGTTCAAGAAAAGAAAACCATTTTATTTAGCAACCGATTTTATGGGGTCTTCCCCAGTCATCATCATCATCATCATCAGCCTATTAAAGTCCCCACTGCTGGGGTAAAGGCCTTCTCTATGGATGAAATAGGGAGATTGGGCCGTAACCCAGCGGGTCCAGTGCGGATTGGCGGGTACTAACGACTGCAGATGCAGCCGGGATCACCGGCTTAATGTGCCTTCCAAAGCACAGAGGAACTCGAGATAGAAGATTTTTGGTCACCCATTCAATGATCGACCACTGCGAAAGTTGGTTCACTTCAACGATCGCAGCCGAACGCGCTAACTACCTGCGCCATTGAGCTCGTGTCGGCATTAATAGGAGATGTCTCTAAGAGTAACAGACCGTTTGCCGTTGCTCCAAAGGAAAGTGAATTGGGATGTGGCGTAGGCAACGTCGCGAGTCAATTTTTTTTGTATCGTAAGTGTCTATTCTATTGGCTATGGTGGCTGCTTACCATCAGGCGGGCCATATTCTTCTTTGCCACCCTTTCAACTTAAAAAAAAAAGAATCGAAGCACGTTTAAAAATCGTATTCAAATTAAGCGCAAACAAAACGTGAATTCGTTGGTTCATTGGTCACATGCAACCTTCTTACTGGGATCTTTTAAAAGAGGCGTGAAGAAGCAACATGCAGGCCGGCAACGTTGTCACCGTCTAATTGTGGCCACAATTCCAACGCGTACAAAGAAAGGACATTGTTCAGCGTCCATACATAGTTAGCCTAAGAACCAACAATCATGAAATATTATTTTCTAGGTTCGAAATCGTAAATAAATTACTGTAAAAACAAAGATTATTGACGGACACTTCTGAGAACTTAAATTATTAGAAAAACTAAAATTTTTTCGAGGTTATATTTAATATTCAATGAAACATAGGTCAACCTATGAACTTAGTATGAACTCAGTATTAAGTGAATTAATATTATAACAAATTCATTTTATTCGGTGCGATTTTAAAGAATAACTTAATAGTTATTCCTAATGGAAAAACTTGGTTAGGTACTTAATATTTAAAATAAATTATTTATTGACTATTTTTCACATAATTGTATCGTATTGTATTTATTTGTATGTATATTGTGTAAATATGCAGCTTAAATGTGTATCAGGTGTTCTTGAATAATTTGGCAGCATGATCCTCTCAGGAAGTTGTGGCACAAGTTCACTAGCACTTGGTAATAAGGGCTCTGCTCTTTGGTAACATCGATGGCATATTATATAGTCGAAATAGTTAAATTAAAGGAAAAACAATCGCAAATAAACACACACAACAGGTAATCCGAAACGAGAATGCACTTTCCGGTATATTATACTACTCTTTGGAATGCACGAATGCCGCAGATTACTACGAATGCAAACTGCCTGCACCACAACCACAGAGTAACGAGTTTTATGCCGGCCATTCACTTGAAAACAGTTTGTACTTGTCATGCTTAATAAGGAATGAAAAGGACAGACTGATGTCAAGTTTCCAAATAACAAACACGAATAGCCAAGTGAAGTGCCGGCATTAGGAAGAAAGAGTGTTTTGTTTGCAGCGCTGTCATAGATTATACACATAAAATGGTATTTATTGTCTCAGATTATTTTTTAACTTTTTAATTTAGCGGAAACTGGAAGTGTCCGTCACAAGTAAATACTGATAATTATCGCAAAAAATATACTTAGAATTATCATAAATGCCAAATTGGTGTTGGTTCTTAGGCCAATTTTAACATTGTCCTTTGGTAACTCATTTCTTTGTCGCACTATCCGTAAATGGAATGCTCTGCCTGCTCATGTGTTCCCTCCCTCTTACAACTTGGGATCCTTTAAAAGAGGCGTAAAGAAGCAACATGCAGGCCGGCAGGGTGAGGATGGCTGGTGTGGCAGGTAAAACTGCTGTATCAGCTATCTTCGCGTCTGGACTTCACCTTCACTTAACATCAGGTGGGGTGGAGTCATTTGTCGGACCTATCTATAAAAAAAATTGTAATATTTACTCACCTGAGTGGCATCAGCGGAAGCGACCACGCTGCCGTCCTCCTGGACTGCCACGTCCACTTCCGCGCAGTTCAGGTACTCACCAGCAGCTGTTTAAATGTGCTCATCAATACATTCATATTATTGCTAATTTCTCAATCCTACTTAATATTATAAATGTGAGTGTGAGTGTGTTTGTTGGTTACTCAATCGCCGCAATTTTATTTAATCTAAATTCTTTGAAATTTAAAAAACTAATTTGTATCTCGTTTTAGGCATTAAACTAAATGTTATATTTTATGTGTAAATTAATACTGTTATTTCCCAATTAATAAAATAAATAAATAAAAACCACTAATCGGATTTGGATGAAATTTAGTACGCAAATAGTTTATGACTTGGATAAATTGCATTCAGGTGAATGCATTCAGATTTTTTTACTTATCTGAATCCCTGATCAGGGAAACGAATCATGAAACCGCACGTGTGCGCCCAGTCTAAAACTAATTGTAATGTACTTGTATCTTATATAGGGCTGCCATCCGTCCGGGTTTTCCCGGATTTGTCCTAGTTTACGGGGCGTCCGGGGAGCGTCCGGGCGGGCTTTTATTTGTAGTCCGGTTTTAATAATTTACGGCAACACATGAATGGCCCTTGGTGCTGCAAGTGTCCATGGGCAGCATTGACCACTTATTATGAGGTAGACCGCTAGCTCTTTTGCCTAGATCATCATAAAAAAGTTGATTTGTAATATTTTTAACTGTTTTTTATTGGTCTGTCCGGGTTCTGGGCTCCAAAATCCGGGATTATCACGCGTCTTATCCTGGTTGCCACATTTTAGAGATGGCAGACCTAATCTTATATATCAACATGCTGGCGTGCGCAAGGAAGTTATCACCTACTTATATAAATTCTTTGAGCGTGCAAAACTCCTCTCCTCATGTCATGAATAGTTTTTCAAATAGCACAAGTTTGTGTTCTTCGACTTACCGCCATCATCGTTAGCTCCGTAGCCGCAGAACTTAGCCGACGCTGGGACGACGTTGCCGCTAGCGAGCCTTACCGGCGCGATGTTAGCTGTGAACATGTTCAAACAGGTCATCATCATTAGCCTACTAATGTCCCCACTGTTGGGGCACAGACATGGCATAGGGAGACAGGAGACCACGCGGGCCCAGTGCGCTCTTTAGTCACTCATCCAATGACCATTGCAAATGTTGCTTAACTTATACGATCGCAAGCCAAACCGAGCTCCTCGCTTCAAAAACGTAATAAATGTAATGATGAAAGAAACTATTTAAAATAGGTACTTTTACAATACTTTAAGATCTAATGGCTTCAGGAAGCGGCCTGATCTATGTATCCTATATATATAAGCAAAATTTTCAAATTCGGTTTAACCGTTTAACGGGGTAAAACATTTCACATTTTTAAACTTCATTTTTAATTTACCGCCATCAATAATGGAACAACATACAATACAAGCATATTATACATATATAAGTATACCTTAAGTGGCGTTAGAGGTTCAGTATCCCTAACCTGATCATGTAGTTTAAAAGGTATCTAAAAGGCTATGCAATGTTGTACTATGAGATTACAGAACTGTAATATGAAATTATACTGTACTAAATCTGATTAGGCAGTTGCGCAGTTGGTCCTACTGTACGACAGACATTTAACAAGCGCGCTGCAAAAGCGGGCTTAATTTCCCGGGAGGAGTGCATGTTAAATTGAAGCAACCGTGTAATGACACAGTGCTTCTGACCACAGACTCTTACGTCACGGGATTAAAACACACACCACTAGAGATTATCAGGCATCAGGCAGAGCCCTTGACATTGACATGGTGCTGGCCGGCTAAGAGTAAAATAACAGTAATGCTGGCTTGCTCGTGAAATAATGGTGTTTGAGTGAAGCCTTTAATTTACCAGCTATTGGTTTGCATCGTCACTCCATCGTGCCTGAGGATGATTTGCTTTGATTTAGGATGATTTGACAGTGACGATTTGCGCAAGGTGGCTGGCAGGAGCTGGATGCGAGTAGCCCAAGATCGATCTGAGTGGCGTGCATTTGGAGAGGCCTATGTCCAGCAGTGGACTAAAATGGGCTGTTGATGACGGTTTGCATCGATAATATAATATACGTAACTTGCAAGGTGTCGCCAAGCTCCCCTGCCCTAGATATAAAAAATGTAGCCAAGTGTAAAACAACTAAACACCGTTGTTCAGTCATTTGACTTGATTGCCTGACCAAACATTTCTTGCACGTCAAAACTCGAAGGAGTTTACTCGGTGATTCCAATCCTAACAGAGTTCTTGCCCCACTCCCAATCCATCAGCTTGTGCCGCTCTTACTAACATTTATTTTACTACCTATTAAATTAGTCAATGTCTGCGTGACCTATGTCATCATCATCATCATTATCATCATGTCAGCCGTACGACGTCCACTGCTGAGCATAGGCCTCCCCCAAAAACTGATTGGTCCTGCGCCACTCGCAGCCATCGGCTTCCCGCGACCTTCACAAGATAGACGGTCCACCTCGTAGGAGGCCTGCCCACTGAACGTCATCCATGGTCCCCAGTCAAGAACCTTTCCGCCCCAACGGCTATCGGTTCTTGCTACGTGGTCCCGCCCAATACCACTTCAGCAGAGCAATGTTTCGAGTGATAACGGTTACTTTTGTTCTCCTACGGATTTCCTCATTTTTGATTCTATCGCGTAAGGAAATACCGAGCATCGATCTCTCCATTGCTTGTTGTGACCTTGAGCCTTCTTATGAGACCGGCTGGACCTATGTACGTAACATTTATTTTAGGCGATTTGCTTCATTGTCGTTCTACAATTTAGGCTTTCTGCTTTCGAGGTGATATAAATTTTTGACGTTTTGCTTATTAGATTTTCAGTATTATAGGGATTGTTTTAGGCATTTTGCTTCATAGACGTTCTGCAAATTAGGCTTTGTGGTCATAATTGGTATTTTAGTAGATCAAACGATGACTATATAGACAGGTTAGCCCCCCCCCCCCCCCCCCCCCCACTTGCCTTCAAGATTACCGCGTGAACGGACGCACAGCGAGTTTATATAACTATTCTAGAATTTTATTATATCTTTATTCATCACAGTCCATTGTATCATTTTATCGAAGAACCCAACAAATGGTCCTCCGAGCCGGATGATACAATGGACTGATGGTATGCCTAAGCTTCTATTACCACCAGAGAGGCTCCATATTCGTTAGAACAAAACTTACCAGTGAACTCAACGTTTCGATTGATGTTGATGAGAGACAGGCCGAGTCCCGCATTGGTGGTGACCTGGCTGGTTTCCGTCACCAGGCTAGGGCTGTACACCGCTGTCGCGTCGTACCGGAGCCAGATAAAACGCTGGCTGTTGGAAAAATGTAACATAACGCATTAACGCTGATCATTCGATAGGGGCCGTTCAAGTATTACGTAAGCAGATTTATTACAATTATTTACCCCCTCCTCCCCCTCGTCAGCAAAAGTAAGCAAAGCTCTTACCCCTCCCCCCCATCCTTACGTAAACATTGGTACCTATATGCATTTTTCCTTTAATTTATTCTGTTTTTTTTATTGATTCATGAGCTTTCATGAGCTTCATGAGCAGCAGTACTTAAAAAGGCTTAATCGATGATGCTGACGTAATCAGCATCTCTACCCCCACCCCCCATGTCACCAAAAATAAGCAAAGCAAAGACCCCCCTGCCCCCCTATAGTGCTTACGTAATACTTGAACACCCCCATACATAATAATCAATTGAGGTAAGCATCCACCTGATACCACGGTAAAATAACACTACATTTTGATGGTGTTGTGTTTCTGTCATTGAGTAAGGTGAGTAAAGTACTTTACGGGATGGGTTATTGGGACAGAAGCGAATGTTTTTTTTTATTGTAAGCGTCTAAAGGCTAGTGTGTCCGCTTCCTATCAGGCAGACCTATTGATCATAAAAAAGTATTTCCACCCATCTGGGGACAACCTCCAGCGTATAAATAATAAATATTTCCAACACTGACACCAATTAATCTAGCCCCAAAGTAATCACTGTAAGGCTTTTGTTATGGGATACTAGGGTAACGGATAGAATACATATACTGATATAAATACAAGTATATTTATGTAGAAATACATATTAAACATCCATGACTGGAGTACAAATGCTCGTGATTCATCACCCAAACATCTGCTCCCACCGGGATTCGAACCCGGGACCTATCGAGTAGGCCGCACCTTGAAACCCGGCGTACAAACCACTCGGCCACGGAGGTCCTCGAATACTTTTATATATCTTTATATATATAATTCTTCTGTGAGTGTGTATGTCACTGAACTTCTCTTAAACGACTGGACCGATTTTGATGAAATTTTTTGTGTGTGTTCAAGGGGATCTGAGAATGGTTTAGATTCACAATTTTGTCCGCTGGACAACCCCTATTTTTTTAGGGCGGTACGTAGTTCGCTGGGTCAGCTAGTATATACATAAATATATAAACTTATATATATATATATAAATTAAGAGTATTAACTTGAGAGTGCATCGGCTGGAAGTGAGCACCCATCGGTTGTTGAGCAGCGAGCCCACGCAGGAATTGAGCAGGCCGCTGGTGGACACCGCCAGCCTCAGGTGGACCACCCAGGGGTTCTCACCAGGCGCAGCCGCGATACGGTGCGATTCAGCTGAAAAAATAAATCGTCAATAATAGCCAATAAATATCAATAATAACAGATGTCAGCGGATTCTTTTATTTTATAAAATGAGTAATATCAGCTATACATAAAACTAAAAAGCCTCAATGGCACGGGGCGAGTTTACAAGCTACAGGGGGCCATTCGCCTAACGGAAATGCTATGGAAAATGCTAACGCTTTCGATTTCATTTTGTTATTTCTGACCGCCGAAAATTTTCAAATACCTCACGCTAATTTTCTTTAATATTGTTATTACCAATGCAAAAGAAAAAAAAAGAGCGCGAGGCATTTCAAAACCTCAGGCGGCTTGAAATAACAAAATGAAATCGTAAGCGTTAGCGTTTTCCAAAGCATTTCTGTTAGGCGAATGGCCCCCAGGTCGCGGCACGTACTCTAGCAGAACAAAATGCGGTGGGGATAGCTGCGCATGGGTACGACTGGAGAGCCAATCGGCGCAACGCACGCCCACCCGCGCACCTCTGTTTCCCCTAAGACATCTTAATTTTTACTTCTACGCAATAACGGTCAGCGCTAGACACTGATGCCAGATTGGGGGGATTCCCCCCAAATTTGGGGGGTTTTTAAAGCGATGGGGGGATAATTGGGGGGAAATTTTTTTGGGGGGATTTATGGGGGGAAGAAATTTGGTTTTGGGGGAAATGGGGGTTTTTTAATTCCATATTTTAAATGAAAATAATACCACTTCATAAACGTTTGGGGGGATTTCGGGTAAATTTTGGGGGGAGGGCGAAATGGCTTTCTGGTAACACTGGCGCTAGAGTTCCGCGACTAATACAAGCCAGCGAGTTCACTAGCATCTTGTACAAAAACCGATGGCACAGGGCGAGTGACAAGCTGTTAGCAGACTCGCTGGCCTGTAGCTTGTTAACTCGTCGAGTATCCTCGATGCTTAACTAAAACACGGACGAAGGCGCGGGCGGAAGCTAGTATTCAATAGAAACTGGTTTTATGTGTTATCTGGAAATCTCAAATTGTAAAATTATAGGATTCATCATCATCATCAGCCTATTAATGTCCCCGCTGCGGGGGCATAGGCCTTCCCTAAGGATGGAATAGGGAGATTGGGCCATGACCCACCACGCGGGCCCAGTGCGGATTCATCATTTATTTTGTCTGTTATGTGGGTACTTACATTGCACACCAGTGCTGCGAGCCTGAAAAGAAAACATGACTGTTAATGAATGGGAAATTATACACTTAGCATAAACATTACCTATTACCGCAGCAACATTGTTTTTCCTTGACAGATACATAGGTAATTAACTTTTAAATTCAAAATTTAATCTTAATGCAATAAGATTTGTGTAGGTACGTATCGAAAAAAGTGTGAACGAGTCTTTAATACACTTGTGGCAAGGCCACACGCCATAAACTTGAATTTCCCATAACGTATATAATGACGAATAAAAAAAAATAAGACGATAATAGTATGATTATCGTCGTACTTACAGTGTTATTTATCATTTTATTCTAACATCATTCTATTCATTCATCATCATTCTATTGGATAAAAGACAAGATTTCATTTCGTTAATGTGTTATTCGTTAAAATTAATAGGTATGGTTTTTATTTTGATTATTTACTTATACAAGTACTACAACAAACTTATACAAGTAATAATTAAAATAAAAACCTTACCTATTAATTTTAACGAATAACACATTAATGAAATGAAATCTTGTCTTTTATCAAATATGTAAAATGATGATGAATGAATAGAATGATGTAGAATAACATTATAAATAACACTGTAAGTACGTACTTAATCTTATGGCATAAAACGTTGCTTTTGGCTTCGGTACGCTTTTTAAGCATTTGAACCATGCATTTGCAATGGTCTTCTTCAAACTTGCCCAACGTCTAGCTGGACAGGAGCACTTGCCTTGTATCAGTTTGCCTACGGTCGCGTTGGGTTAAACTCAGCCAACATGTGTTGGCGGCTTGAGAGCCCTTTTACAAAATTGCGCCGGTGCACGATGCCGTACTGATCGGCACGTAGGTAGATTTGCACTAGTAATATTGCATTTTATGGGTGATGTTTCGAGTCAATAAATAATTATTAATGAAGTAATTATAAAAATATTTATATTATATTGTATATTATATTTCAGTACTTCAATGATGGTAGATTAGTTTTATGAAAGTTTTTGATAGTAATTCTATTTAATTCGATATCAAAATACGAGGTAAACCTGCATTATTTCTTGGGAAAACTCACGGAGGTTAGATATCTTTTTTGATAATTAATGAGATAGAAAACCGAATTCTAATACATTATGTTACAACAAAAACATATTTCTGATGTCGTAGTAACTAATTTGATCTAATTTATTGATCATTATTTAGAGATTCCGGCGTTTGAAGTTGTGCATATTATCGTTTTTTCCCGTAAACTAGCTGCGGTAGAACGATCAGTACAAAAAAGGAAAATAGTAGGTATTTGCCAATATTCTACATTAACTTACAATAGGAAAAATAAATCTACTGTTTACTTCTATTGGAAATAGTCAAAATCTTTTCTAAGGGGGTAAACGAGGCGCTCAAAAATTACGTTTTTGTGCAAAAAATGTGAAAGGGCTCTTACACGCGGCCACGGTAATAATCTTTATATATATAATTCTTCTGTGAGTGTGTATGTCACTGAACTTCTCTTAAACGACTGGACCGATTTTGATGAATTTCTTTGTGTGTGTTCAAGGGGACCTGAGAATGGTTTAGATTCACAATTTTGTCCGCTGGACAACCCCTATTTTTTTAGGGCGGTACGAAGTTCGCTGGGTCAGCTAGTATCATATAATATTACCGTGTCGCGGCGCTGTCCGACGGCGACGACCTGTGTTGTCGCAGGCGAGGCCGCGCCGCGCATTGTTGCCAAACAAACGTATGAGGACTCTAACGTTCGAGATTTAGCAGTCTCTATACATGATACGGCGTATACGTATCAGATACGCGGTAAATAGAAATCTCTTTTTGGCATATATATAGTAATAATTAGTAAACTTTTTTCAGAAACTGATAAATAAAATGATTTTTGCCAATTAATTATATCTTGATATCAGACATTGTACAATGTTCGAAACAGTTGCGAAACCAAAGTTGGCACTAGTTTCCAGTAATTTCAGTTACTGCTAGACTAGCAAAGGATGATTTTAGCTTAAATTTATTCTTATTTTGGTAGTGGCAAGTTCATTTCGTAACTTTCATGGACATACAAAAATCCAAAAATAAATATCTCAGTAAGTTCTGACTATACATTTTTAATAAAATTATATACTCAGTAAGTTAAATACCATTTTACATGTTTATAGATATAGCAATTTAATTTTTTCTAAAACCTCTATGTAAAATTTCGGCTCGAAAGTTACGCGGAGAACGCTTTTTAAATAATTACTTATTTATTACTAAACATGAATAGACAGGTATGTTATCTAGTAATTATCCGGTATTAACAAGATGACTTAAACATTTTAGATAAGATAGGTAAGTTTACTCAGAAGATTATCGGGGCGGATTAACTTATTATTATAGAAAACGTACTTCCCAAAACGTTAACGGTATCTATTTAATTAATCGATCTGTTTAAAATACAGGTTTTATGACGACATTTTTCATAAACATAATCGGCCACGTGCAAGTCGGACTGGCGCAAGAAGCATTCCGTATCATTATAAGGGTTTCCAGGTGTCCCAATTTGCGCGGGACATCCCGATTTTCAGGGGTCTGGGGACGCGTCCAGATTTGTACCTGATCGGGACACTAAATTTCCCGATTGATCAAAACATGAAATTTAAGTAATTAATATAATACTATACTTGCACTAGTAATTTAAAACGCAATAGATCAAACCCAGACTTAAAAACCCCCTATTTTTTGTTTACTGTCCCGAGCTGCAACCCTAAATCCCGACTTTTTGACCGCATGTACCGATTTAAAACAAATCGGACCTGGCAACACTAATCATTATCTATACAAAAGAAATTATTATTATAATATATCGAGCTCTCCTTAATTATTTGTTTCAATTAATTATTTATAAAGTTAAGTAAGTAAACAACTAAATATTCTGTGAATATTTCATGTGCGTGTACCTGTTGCCATTAATAATATAGAGCTCAAAACAGAAAAAAAATCACGTTTATTGTATGGTAATAAATAGGTATTCATTTTATTCAATTTTTATCTATCACTGTTCATGAGATACAGCCTGGTGACCAAGTGACAGCCGGGCGGACAGTAAAGTCATTGTAATCATCATCATCAGCCTATTAATATCCCCACTGCTGGGGCACAGATTGGACCATGACCCACCACGCGGGCCCAGCGGATTGGTGGGTGCTAACGACTGCAGATGCAGCCGGGACCAACGGCTTAACGTGTCTTCCGAAGCACGAAGGAACTCGAGATAAAAGATTTTTGGTCACCCATCCAATGACCGACCACTGCGAAAGTTGATTAACTTCAACGATCGCAGCCGAACGCGCTAACCACCGGCGCCATTGAGCTCCTCTTGAGAAGTCAAAGTAATAGGGTCCCCTTATTATTTACCTTTAATGGGTACGGAACCCTAAAACTTACTAGCTCGAGCAGTCCTGGCCATTCGCCTAACAGAAATGCTTTGGAAAACGCTAACGCTTGCTATGGCTATCGCTAAAGCTTACGATTTTATTTTGTTATTTCTGACCGCCGAAGGTTTTGATATACCTCACGCTCATTTTTTCAATATTGTTATTACCAATGCAAAAAGAAAAAAAAAATGGTTGCCTGTAAAGTCGGTTTTACGGGCGAAGATTTTACGTGACAACGTCTTTTTCTCGGTAGAATATTTATTGATATGAATATAATTAAATTGCACAATAGGAACAAGGAATTGAATGAAAATAAGAATTGCACAAATTTTAACTATAGAAATATATTTTGTTTACTAAAACATTGTACATGTAAACTTAAACTTAACACGAGAGACTCATCGTAACGTTACCGAGCGTTACACTTTTTCATAAGTGACTCCCAGCCGCAACCTAATTTAAGACGTTGTCACGTCAAAAACGCGAGGCATTTGAAAACCTCAGGCGGCTAGAAATAACAAAATGAAATCGTAAGAGTTAGCGTTTTCCAAAGCATTTCCGTTAGGCGTATGGTCCCCTGCTGTAAAGCCGATTTCGGAGCTTTGAGAGGTGTGAAGCTATAAGCGTGATATTTAACTTCGCTCCCTTATAATATGGAAGGCTCAAGGAGATTTAAATAATTATAGTTTAATGTCTTTGGGTAGAGCCCGCCAATAACACAGACCCGAACGATAAATATATATCTACTTACTTCTTAAGAAAGGAAAGTATCAAAGTGGTTGAACTATCTTATTCTTTGTCACATCCTTTACCTACCAAGTTTTCGCTTTCACGGGGTTATTGTAAAGCTGTTACGTTGGGGCCCAAGACAAATTACTCTTGATAAATAAGTTTACAAAATAGCTATTAACGGGATTGTTACCATGTACTTACCTTGTTTTTTATGAGTCTCCGATATTTCGGCACTGTTGCAAGCGCCATGATCACGGAGTAAACGTTACTCCGTGAAAGTACATGGTAACAATCCCGAAAATAGCTATAATGTTAGTGACCATGAAAGTTTAAAACAATATAAAGTTTACAAAAGTACCTATTTAGTTTATTATTTGCCTTAGTGTATGGTCTTCTAATCATGAGTACGTACTGTAGTGCTCTATCCTGAAGAAATAGGCCATCATTTTGTTAGTTCTGACCGCCGAAGGCCCAGCGGCCTTTTTTTTCCTTTGTATTGGTAACAACAATATAAAAGAAAATGAGCGTAAGGTATTTGAAAACCTTCGGCGGTCAGAAATACCTGTATTTCTGATATAGCCATAGCAATTCCGTTTGGCGATTGACCCCCTGGGATCGTAGCTTTGCTACGGTTACAAATAATAATCACAAAATACATATTTCACTTATTTTATTTTTAAATTGAGAGAGAATTACATGGAATGCGTTCTATCAACTACTCACCTTTTTGCCTGAATTCTATCTGCTGGAATCTTCGATATGAGACAAAAGCTTCTCATATTCAAATCTTTAAAATAATGACATTTACTTTTTAATATAACTGCCAGCTGTAGGCATTATATAAGCAAAGAGTTTACACAAACAAGGAGGCCGTAACACAACGGGCGTTACAGTACCTACTTGGTTTAGAATGTCTTCCAAGTGTTTAAGAAATGGAGTCTAGATCATGACATGATCATAAAAATTAGATTAGATTAGATGAACTTAAGAAATCAACGAAAGCTGCGCACTTGGCCACAACGGCCAGCTTTAGTTCATCTGATCGTTGCGACCACTGGCCTTCTTTATGTGACTTAGGGATCCGTACCATAGTACAATATCTTAAGCTAGATCAAGTAAAACAAGACGGATAAAAAACTTCTTATTGAATGGAGACCCCCTTTATTGTTTAACATTATTTTATTTTGGGTGCTTTTCGAGTTTAGAGAATTTTTGTATTTTTTTTTTTTTTGAAATTTAAATGCAATCGGTTTCATAAAATCTGGTCACGGCAAAATTTATGGCATCAGTGGGTAGGTAAAGCCTAGTGACACCAAAAAAATCTTTATCTATTCCGGTCAGAATTAGTAGAACAGACGCATATCGATTTAGCACACTCGCACCAAAATTCCTAAATTAAGTAAAAAGTATAATCATGTCTTTTTGTTTAATATTTATTTATTAAATTAAAAATGTGAAACATTTGCTGATCACGTTTATTTCTTATCTCAATTTGACTTTAAACAGTTGATAATAGGGTTGCAAGTATTGTACATTATTTCGGGTATTGTACTCTATACTTTATGCCAACAATAAAGTTCGCGAAAATACTTTATTTAATGTTATTTACTTGCTCATGGATTCATTTTACATAAATTATACAAAAAGAGGTTAATAGGAAGAATTTTTGCGTAAAACAGACAGACAGTATGAATATGTCACCCTTAGCTAATTCCTGCAACATTTTCGTGGCTGTATGGATAAATTATATGACCTTTCCCATTGCGGAAAACAACTACAAATCTTTAATAGCCCAAAATTATTTATTAAAAGTTTCTAGTAGCAACGTAAAATATATATTTTTAAGCTTACTAATAAAGAGGAATAAAAAATACTTTATTTTGGACACAATGTACTTTTTTTTCTACATTTAATATCCAATGTACTTTATTTGGACAAAAATAAGGTGGCAACCCTAGTTGACAAATATGGAGTGATGTCTTTAATGTTAAACAAGGACTTTGATTTAAGAGCCTTTTAACTTTCTTTATTAACTCAAGACCATAGATTCAGTATACCAAATCAAATAAATATTATTGAATACTATGTCTTACCTGCGCAGCGACGAAAACGCACAACAAAACGAATAAGCCCTTCATATTTAACCCAAGAAACCGGACAACTCACTAATGACGATTATAAATCAACTCATTTATAAACCTAATGTAATTTAAAATTTTATCATTCATCACGGCATATTTAATCATAATCTCTTGATAACACAAACATTAATTACATTATTATACCTACTAATTGAATACTAAGTTATAGCAGATTTTTACTGCTGGAATTATAATAATCCGAAGTTTTTATAATTTTCTACATGTAAAAAGGGTGACAAACAAGAGTACCTCTACTAAAATCCCGCATGATGATAAACGAATACCGTGACATAAGTACTGCGGCGATCTACCCTGAAGGGGTAGGCCCTTTTTTTTTATAACGCAGGTAAAAAATGCTATTTACAGAAGACGGCGCCTTTAAGAGGCACACCGCCGAACGGACCTCACACCTGGCTCCCGCAAGTCTTACGGGCCCCCCAGTGGCTACCCACCGAGGACCTCGCAACTCTTACGGGCGCTTTACGGCATAATATCCGCTAAAAAAGTCCTGCGAATACCTTCTAAGCTGCTTAGCGCGAAGCCGCAGGATCCCCGTTTAGGGATTCTTCCGCGTCTGAAGGGGTAGGCCCTGGGAGCGTAGCAATAATCAGTAATTAAAATAACTTTGATTTTATATTTTGTTTTATTAGAAATCAGGCGAATATAATAATTGAGCTTAAGCTATCAACGTATGGTTTGGTGCCTGAAGTCTATCTGCTGGAACCTTAACGACAGAAGATTCCCAATTAAAATTTCAAATCTTTAAAAATCATGACATTACCTTTTTAATATAACTGCCAGCGGTAGGCATTACACGAACAAAGAGTTTACCCAAACAAAGAGGCTGTAAGGCAACGGACGTTACAGTACCTATAAAATTCGAATGCTCATCAACATCAAACTTTTGACTATTAAAATAACGAGTAACCGCTGTAGCAGATTTAATTAAGTACTTATAACTAGATAAGTAGACACCTCTTTCTGTGTTCTGTGCCCAACACGCAGGCCGAGTGCCTTTAAAAGAGGCGTGAAGAAGCAACATGCTGGCCGGCTAGGTGAGAATGGCTGGTGTGGCAGGTAGAACTGCTGTTCTAGCTATCTTCACGTCTGGACTTCACCGTCACTTAACATCAGGTGGGGTGTAGTCATTTGTCGGCCTATCTACAAAAAAAGAGAGCAAATTAGTGGGCGGGCACTAACGACTGCTGACGCAACCGGGATCAACGGCTTAACGTGCCTACCAAAGCACAGAGGAACCCGAGATAGTATTAAATTAGAAAAAAAAAGGTTCAAAAACATTTTTTTATATGACACACCAATTAGCCTAGCCCCAAAGTAAGCACTGTAAGGCTTGTGTTATGGGATACTAGGGTAACGGATAGAATACATATACAGTACATATATAAGTATTTATATAAAAATACATATTAAACATCCATGACTGGAGTGCAAATGCTCGTGTTCATCACACAAATCACCCACCGGGATTCGAACCCAGGACCTCTCGAGTCAGCGACACCATGAAATCCGGCGTACAAACCACTCGGCCACGGAGGTCGTCAATTCTGCTAGGGCCAGGAAGTGTCACTCGCACCAGCACCGGCTCAAGGATACGAGAAGAGCAATCGCTCTAGGCGAAAAGCAGCATTGGGCGCATACAACCAAATTCAAAAAATATAATTATCGTAAAGTGAAAGCGTTGACCGAAGGGCGCTAAAGGACAGTCTCGTTCAGCCCTGTTCAAGTGTTTAGGCCGCCGCCTACTCTGAACGCATCCCCTACCCCGTGGGGCTTTGGCAACATACTTACTCTCTGTACAGGAATACATCTGTACCCTTAGCACGAACCAATATCGAATTCGAATAGTTAGCCAGTGCGAAATGTCATTGTCGAATTCGATATTGGTTCGTGCTAGGGGTACTGTACCCTTAGTACAAGTTACAATTTTATCTGTAATTTATTGTGACTAATTAATTTCGATTCATTTTTTTTTTAATATAAGTTGACTTTATTCGATATAACGATTTATTCGATATAATGATTTGATTTTAACCGGGACATTGTTAAATATATGTTTTTTTTAAATCTTACAAAGCTTTTAAATTCTTTTTCATCAACAGTTTACCAGCATTTGTTGCTTCTTTTCCATAACGCATGTGGTCTTCACCTATAATAATTGTAATAACATTAAGCTTAAGTATTTTATCATTACCTGCTAGATTGTTGTGTCAATGTTTATTATGTTGGTGATCAAATAAATAAATAAATAAACAATTAATATATTTTAAACTATGATATATTTCGTGAGCTCGCACTCTTACTAATCGCACTGATTTTATTGTTTTCGTTGCAATAATACAAATAAACAGTGTTTAAATTCTATCATAAAATCATTTGCGTCTTCTTAAATAATGAGTATATTTGGTTACTATTCATCATCATCATATTGGACATAGAAACATAATTTACAATTACGAAAACTTTGATAGTTTTCGTATGCTCAAACTCGTACTAAGGTTACTGTACCCTTGGCACAAACCATTAACGAATTCGAATAGTTGTCCGAAATGTCATATAACGTTCTTCAACACATTTGCGAGAAAACATTGTACAAAATTTCCGTAATGAAGCATTTTTGTGAAATAAGAGGATGGCGCGCATTTTTAAATGGCGCCACGTACGGGTGGTGAAAATTAGAACTACATCTTTCGCCTCTTTTTCATTTTAGTATTAAAGTGAGACACAGACATAACGAGCCCTTACCGCCAAATTATCGTAAGCGACACTCGCCAAGTTATCGTAAGCGACACTTTTGTCGAAATGCGTTTTTTGTGGAAACTAATATTTTAAACCGTAACGGACCCATCTCTGTTGATATTTCCCTCCAAAAGAACACCGTTATAAAATAATAGAGGGAAGAATAGAGGGAAATATCAACAGAGATGGGTCCGTTACGGTTTAAAATATTAGTTTCCACAAAAACCGCATTTCGACAAAAGTGTCGCTTACGATAATTTGGCGAGTGTCGCTTACGATAATTTGGCGGTAAGGGCTCGATAATATAAACTAAAAGAGCTTCCGACGAGATTTGATCGAAATTAAAAAAATATCCGTAAAGATTACGCACGGTGCCTTGTATAGGAGCGTGCGTAATTAATTTTACCGCACGCTCCGCCGTATGGTCCGTAATTTTGAATTTTCGAACAATATATACAACCTCCGTAAATGCATTTTTTGAGCAAATGTGTTGAAAACGTAATTATTAAATCTAAAGAAAACTACTAGAAAAAAATCCACGCGGACCAGGCAGGAGTCGGGACTCGAACCCGCACCCTTCGCTGTCCGGGCGAATGCACTGACCATTATGCTACCGCGGCCCTGACAGTCGTGTCGAAATTTCTCCAGCCTTTCTTAAGCTGCAAGGCAGCGCCATCTCAATGGCACTGTTATTTGGGACTCACAAACTATTCCAATTCGATAACGGTTCGTGCTAAGGGTACTGTTATGTCGAGGTGCAGAGGTACCTTTACGAAAACTCCACTATGTCAGTCCGATTACAAAACTAGAGCTCTAATCTTATCCAACTGCAGCGAGGCGTGAGACAGGGAGATGTGATATCCCCGAAACTTTTCACAGCTGCATTTGAGAATATTTTCAAGCTTCTGGAGTAGAAAAGACGAGGCATCAACATCAATGGCGAATACATTTTGTACCGTTCGTTTCGCCGATGATGATTGATGGCTGAGACCAAACTACTAAACCAATTTCTAAAATTCTTTCACCATTAGAAAAATACATTAATCCTGTTTAACATAGGCTAGTCAAAGATTTGAATGACTAGTTATTGTATTTTTAAGCTAGATTTATATAAAGTTTTTTTTTACTAGAAAAACTTTCTTTACTGGTTTAATTTATTGCGTTTAAATAATGTTCGCCCGTGTAAAGCCGGGGCTGATTGGTAGTAGAAAATAAAGAAAATGAAACAACGTTTGTTATAAATATAAGATATTTATTGAGACGAGTTTTGCTTGTCTGGGCTAACGGTTTTAACAAATGTTGACTCATAAGCTTATTGGGACGTATTTTGTTTGGTTGGACTTTTAGACCATGCTTTCTCGGATTCCTTCGGCAGGGACCAGCTCTTGGTTCTGGCACGGCGTAAAGGGGAACCTTGTTTGCTGGCCGTCCGTACAGGAGTCCCGGCCTTGCTCTTACTGCGGGACCGGCTCCGGGACTTGGACCGCCCGCGCTTCCGGGATCGAGAACGGGATCTGCTGCAATGGTTACAAGATTAGGAGGATTTTAATAGGCTACAATCATATCAATATATATAATCAATGTCAGAAATCAATATCAAAAATTTGGAAAAAGATACAACTTTTGAAAAACGTCTAAAGGAATATCTCATTAATAAATCCTATTATAATATATTAGAGTTATTTCAAGATAAACATATTTGACATATAATTTTTATAAAGTAATAATTAAATTTATTAAATTTCCTGACATACCTCATTGTGTATAACTATCTATAGTTTTTAAATTATATATACTTATATAATTTTAATTTTAGTAAGATACATGTATAATAATTTAACTGAATTGATTTTTTTATAATATATTTGATAGTTTATTTAAATAATAATAATAATTTAAGTAAAATTGCAACGCCCTTGCTGGGTGTCACATATTGTTAACTAAATCACAAAAAGCGCTATGACCAAATCTGAGAGGTATACACCCCGGGAAAGTTCTTGAGCATCGACCATAGAGCTACCTTGAGCCTGCGCATTAGCAATTTTACATACAAAAACGTCTACGCAAGTTTATTTGTTTGTGGTTTTTGTCAAAAAGATTTCCGCTACCTATAAATAGATCCGCTTTTCCTTGTTTTTAAAATGTCAAAAGTTTTAGAACGGACTATGTTATTTGTTTTTGCAATTTATCTCCTAATCCTAGCCAATGAAAACCCTAGCCAGTGACTCATATTACAAATTCAGATATTTAGCGACACCTTTCAATGCTTTTTGCCTGCCCTGCATTTAGTTAGCATTTTTATGATAAGTATAAGTTATATTTTGATATTCTTAACTCGTAAAAAGTTTCTAACAGCCGTACTCAAAATCGAAAAAAATAATTATATAGTTAGTTATATTTTTATTTTCTTAAGCATTTTACTGCTAGATGTTTAAATCTAAATTCGCCCAAATAGCGAAGGGCGCGGGTTCGAGTCCCGTCTGCTGCCTGGTCCATCTGAAATTGTTTCTTGTCACTAACATTACCGTTATTAGCAGGATTGCTAGCATGTACCTTTTTTTTGTGAGTCTCCGATATTCACCACTGTTGCAAGCGCCATGATCACGGAGTAACTGAAGTAATTGCGGGTAGATGTTATTGGCAAACATAATGAGCTACTCTACGACGAAGTCTTTTATTGCGTTCGATGTCTTTTTGTAAAGCTTCAGTATTGAATCCTTTTTAATGTTACAAACAAAATCGACTATCACAGTTTTATTTTCTGGGTTCCTAGTATTAATGCGAAATACACACATCAAAAGTGTCTAGGGATCAACATATATTTTTGCAATAACTTTGCTCCTGATTGATATTAATTAAAATTTTCTTTAAGGATTCATCAAATAAAGTGTTTTCGTTTGTCACAGTAACGATAAACCAAGTCACCTTTGCATTAATAAAGAAATTTGCCATTTTCCTAATAAAGGGATTTTTGACATTTGAACCACTAACACAAAAGTTCGAAAAAAAGACTGAAATAACAGTTTTCTCTAAAATTTTATTGGGTAACTTAAACAATTAATAATCCGTATTTCTACCGCGAACACTAACAACACAAGAACATCGGTTTGGCATACTCAAAATGAGTTCATCCAAATCACGCTGTGGAATGGCCGCCCATGTTCGTTGCAACAACAAAAAATGGTCTTCTTGCGACTGGATACCCTCCATATTCGGCAGAGCTCTTCTCTGTAGCATATCCCATGCATGCTCAATCGGGTTCAAGTCTGGCGACTGAGCAGGCCAGGGCAGGACATTGATGTTAGCTGCGGCGAGAGTCTGTCTTACAACTCTTGCGGTGTGCGGTCGTGCATTATCATGCATTAACTGAAATAAGGGACCGATTTGCACTTGTAGAGGAACGATGACGTCTGATACAATCGTCTCAGCATAAATTTGAGCGTTGAGGTTGCCTCTGATCCAAATCAACTCAGTTCTTCCGCCGATCCAAATACCCGCCCATACCATGATGGTTCCACCACTATAAGGATGGACTTCCTGGCAGGATTTTAATCGCTGTTGGCGTCCAGGGGTTCTCCAGTGTCGTATACGTCTTGTATCCGGTCTCATACCAAAACGAGACTCATCAGAAAAGCACACGAAACGCCATTGTTCTTCTGCCCAATTTCTGTGTTCAAGAGCCCATTGATATCGAATCCTACGATTGTGCATTGCTATAGGTGGTACCCGTAGCGGTCTTCGGGAATGAAGGTTCACTTCATGCAAGCGGTTTCTGACTGTTTGGTCGCTAATTAAGTTCCCTGAAGAGTGATGAAGCCTCACGGCTAACATCATGGCGGTTATTGTTGGAGCTCTTCGAGTTAAGATTTGAATGTATCGGTCTTGTCTCCGTGTGGTGCAGCGATACCGTCCTCCATGGCGCTCAGCCACGGTACCAGTGCTTCGGTATCGTGTCCAAAGTCGACTGATAACACTCTGACTTGTATTCAGAGCTAAAGCCACAGTACGTTGCCGGGAACCAGCTTCTATCATTCCCACGGCTCTGAGCATTTCTTCCCTGCTTAAATGACGTCGCCGCTCCATAATAACGTTGGTTTTAATCAGTAGTAGGGAAACAGTAGCACTAATAATGTCTCCAATGCGTTGTATGTTTTTATAGGGAAAATATTGACAGCTGATTTTCATCTTTTACTCGAATTTGATTCACAGTTCCTGATTCAAATTATGAAATGCACCAAAAAGGATCCATATAAATTTATAAAATCATAAATTTATTACAAAGCCACATCTCAATCTCAAGAAATCCGCATAAAAATGCTTGATCCCTAGACACTTTTGATGTGTGTATATCTTTGACATCATTGATTTGATGCTAACTTTTAAAACGTCTCCAATTTTACTTACAGTTTCAAGAAGACAACCCTTTGATTCGGATTGATTTATCGGTATTTTTTTTCTATGCAAGTCGCTCGATTGCTTCTCTCACAAATTTCTAATTTAGTTTGAAGTGCCTGGGGATGTATTTGAGATGTTGTAAGTTTTCTTCCTTAAGCTCCTTAACTTGTTCCATAAGTGAGTCATATTTGGTAGATAGGAATTAAATACATGATCGGATCTTTGAATTATGCAGTGGCATTATTTATTTGTGTTAAATTAATTTGTACCAGGGCCCAAGAGCTTTGTAGAAGTTTTTATAGCAATAACATCGACGGAGGTCAACTTATTCTGAATAGTCGCTTCGGTTTGGTTCAAATCACCATTCCGTCCACTGTAACTAGACCCTTCACCGTATTGAGTGTAGATGAATGAAAAGATGCACTCGCGTAGTATTAGCGTGGTATTAGCCAGTTAAATTCCGTGCAGATATGAACTCCCAACATTGCGTTCTTGATTTATTGAGAATAATTATTAAATTTAAATAAAATTCGCAAAATACGGGGTTTGAGTACGCAGTACACACGTCTGATCGCCTCAGATGTCCAGATGGAAGGGGGGAAATGAGGTAGATGGTAGCAATCCCGCTTATAACTATAACAAATTAATTTACTGTTTATTTACCCAAGTGTTGCTTCATTCTGTTGTTATTTCAGTGTCAGTCAGTACCAACTTAAAAGTTAATTCCGAGTGCCCTGGGCTGAAGAAGACTCACCTAGATCTTCTGCCCCTAGAAGTGGAACGCCTCCTGGACCGACTCCTGGATCGCCGCGAACGTGACCGCGAACGCGAGCGTGTTCGCGAACGCCGTCGCGACCGCGACCGCGACCGCGAGCGCGAGTACGAGCGGCGCCGCGAACGAGAACGCGAACGCGAACGGGACTTCGTCCGGCCACGCTCGTAGTCGTGCTCGTTCGCTGTTCTGCTGTAACTGGGAAACAAAGAAGCACGCTTCAGTAAATACAGTAGACCCGTGGTAAATAGTATTAATCCTAGAAATCACCTTTTAAGAGGCTGAAAAGGAAGTGGAAGTTAGCGGGCACGCACTGATAGGGTGGGGCGCAAATAGAAAGCAGTTGATTGAAACAGAAAAACAAATGAACACAATGCTGAATGAACACGGGGAGCTAGGGTGTGACGCAAAGCTTGAAAATTAAATAAAACTTCGCACTCGTGCAGAAAAGAGTCACTTTCTGCATAATGTGTGTACATATAAAAGCACACTTACCCAGCAAAGCATTACCGCATTTTAAAGAAACTTGCAAGATTTGACGATGTATTGTAACGTCATTGTCAATGTGAAGTTTCGTTTTAATTTTATGGGGGGGGCGGGGGTGTTCGGGGGTGTTCAATAGTGAGCAAGGCTCGGACCCGGTTATGAAAATAGCGGTTAATAAAGTTCTTTTCGGGGTGCAAAACCGATAATAATTTCGTTCTGTAACCGAAATAAAGTGGTTTAAGATGATTGCTGAGCCTCCAGTGTAGGTAAGTATCCATCTATAAACGCAAACGCATCTACTGAAATGAATTTTCGGTAACGAAGTTCATAGTCCAGTCGACCTGTTTTTTTAGGGTAAAATTTTTGAACCCGTATTTTATGACTGATATTTAAGTTTTTTGTAGGTGCTGAATCCGAATCCGAAATGAGGTCAGAATTCAATTGCGACGAATCCTCCGAATCCGAAATGAGGTCAGAATTTAATTGCGACGAATCCTTAACGAATTCATGATCATTTCTAGCCAAAGTACGTCTTAATTGGTTGAGTTAAACGTGAGATAACTCCTACGGGGCCTATTTACTTAATTTTCCGAAAAACCTGGCATCGTAATATTTGTAATCGCATTGGCCGCCTAAGTTTCAAGATTCATTTGTTTATTCATTATGGATATGTTTCACATTTTTATGCTATACTCACAGGGTAACTGTCATTTGTGTCAATTTAGGTTTATTAGATCCGACGGAGTATACACTTAAATTTGATTATTTTGAAAAAATAAGTGCTTTTTATAATAGCTAAACTCCTCCAACCACCGGTCAGTGACCCGGTAGAGGGCGCGGCCCTGGCCCCGGCCGCGTGGGCGCCGGCTGTACTCCAGCGGGGGCGGGTAGTAATGTGTGCGGTGTAGTGTGAGGCACGTACTTGTTGTGGCAGTAGTTGGGGTCAGTGACCCGGTAGAGGGCGCGGCCCCGGCCCCGGCCGCGTGGGCGCCGGCTGTACTCCAGCGGGGGCGGGTAGTAATGTGTGCGGTGTAGTGTGAGGCACGTACTTGTTGTGGCAGTAGTTGGGGTCAGTGACCCGGTAGAGGGCGCGGCCCCGGCCCCGGCCGCGTGGGCGCCGGCTGTACTCCAGCGGGGGCGGGTAGTAATGTGTGCGGTGTAGTGTGAGGCACGTACTTGTTGTGGCAGTAGTTGGGGTCAGTGACCCGGTAGAGGGCGCGGCCCCGGCCCCGGCCGCGTGGGCGCCGGCTGTACTCCAGCGGGGGCGGGTAGTAATGTGTGCGGTGTAGTGTGAGGCACGTACTTGTTGTGGCAGTAGTTGGGGTCAGTGACCCGGTAGAGGGCGCGGCCCCGGCCCCGGCCGCGTGGGCGCCGGCTGTACTCCAGCGGGGGCGGGTAGTAATGTGTGCGGTGTAGTGTGAGGCACGTACTTGTTGTGGCAGTAGTTGGGGTCAGTGACCCGGTAGAGGGCGCGGCCCCGGCCCCGGCCGCGTGGGCGCCGGCTGTACTCCAGCGGGGGCGGGTAGTAATGTGTGCGGTGTAGTGTGAGGCACGTACTTGTTGTGGCAGTAGTTGGGGTCAGTGACCCGGTAGAGGGCGCGGCCCCGGCCCCGGCCGCGTGGGCGCCGGCTGTACTCCAGCGGGGGCGGGTAGTAATGTGTGCGGTGTAGTGTGAGGCACGTACTTGTTGTGGCAGTAGTTGGGGTCAGTGACCCGGTAGAGGGCGCGGCCCCGGCCCCGGCCGCGTCCCCGGCCGCGTGGGCGCCGGCTGTACTCCAGCGGGGGTGGGTAGCAGGCGCCACGCATCGGCAAGTAAGCTGTATGTATGGGAAGCGGCAATCATATAATTCAATCATTTTATATTGCATTATGACATTAAATATTTAGTTTTTTTTTTTAACAAAAATAAAAACCGACTTCATGAAAATAAAACCACTAAAAAGTAAGAAATAATGAATAAACTCTTTACTTATATCCACATTTGAAGTCAAATTAACATATGGACTCAGTGCCATGCATATTATTGCATGACAGATATAAGTCGCGGCACGAAACTCTAGCGCTAACCGTTATTGCGCGCGCGTAAAAATGAAGATGTGTTGGGGGGAAACGAAGTGCGCGGGCGGTGGTGCCCTGTGCCGATTGTCTCTCCAGTCGACATGCGCAGCTATCCTGATCGTGAAGTTCAGCGATAGAGTTACGTGCCGCGAACTGTAACAGAGAGATCTGAAGTGCTGTTTACTGCTTAAGTTGGCATGGCACCGACTTGGCATCCTTTTTAATTTAAAATTGCTATTACGCAAGCACCCCTGTCTATGTTCGAGCGCTGTCGGGGTGTTCACCTCAAGATACAAGTGTGGATAATATAACAATCCGTAAGTCAAATCGAGAGAGAGCTTTTTCCTCGCCTGCTGGGACAGATGGAAGTTCATCTAACTATGATGAAGGATTTTTGATGGCTATAAGCGAGCGAGTTTGGAATTCTATGAAAGGCGAAATGCCTTCAATGCTAACAGCCGTACTACAGAAGGAACTTGCACCCATCTGTAAGGAACTTCAGGATTTCCGCACAGTTTCTGGAGTTTTTCAATACTAAGTATGAGGATATGAAGAACGAAATTATCACATTGAAAGACGAAAGCGAGTGTTATAAGAAAGCATCTATTAAATTAGAAAACACCGTGAAGGAACTTTCCAAACGCCTAAATAACACCGAACAATATTTACATGAAAATAATTTAGAACTTCACGGTGTCCCTGAGTACAAAGGTGAAAATTTGATAAATATTTTGGAGCAGTGCTACGCTGTTGTAGACTCGAAAATGAAAAATGAAGATATTGTCACTTGTGTTCGAGTTGCTAAGTTAAACAAAGAAAGCAAATTTCCTCGCACAATCATAGCAAAGTTCCGGAATTCAGGATGTCGTGATCAGTTTTATTCAGCAGTTTATAAATACAATAAGGCGAACCCTAAAGCGAAGCTCAACACTTCATTGCTGGGACTAGCAGGTGGTTTATGTATCTGAGCACTTATCTCCAGCAAATAAGAAATTGCATGCAGCGGCAAGAAAAAAGGTTAAAGATCTTGGGTATCAATTCATTTGGGTTCGTGGGGGCCGCATTTAAGTCAGGAAATATCCGGATTCTCCACATATTCAAATTAAGAATATCGACAACTTGGATTTAATCAATTAATTTCTTTTTTCTTTCTGGAAATGCTTGTTGTGTAACTGACCTGTTAAAAATGGCTACTACCATATACTACCAAAACATAAGAGGTATGAAAAGTAAAACTCTTGATATATATAACACAATTTTGTGTAATAGTTACGAAATCATTTGCCTTACGGAAACCTGGTTAGATAGCACAATACTTTCATCAGAGTTATTCGATGATAGATATGTGGTTATACGCAGAGACCGTAGTGACAGTTTCTTAAAGAGGTTTAATAAGTATCATGGTGGTGAAGTTTTGATGGGAATATCAAGAAAACTTAACTTTACTGTAAAAACTGATTGGCAATCCGATTTTATTGAGGATTTGTGGGTGCAGGTTGTCATTAATAAAAATTCTGTCATTAGTCTATGCACAGTATATCTACCTGAATATTTACCTACTAGGGAGTTTCTAAATTTTACTAATAATTGCAATAACATACTTGCATCACATTCATCTCAGATCACATGTATCGTCGGTGACTTCAATTTGGGAAATTTGGCTTGGTTGGGGGATACAGTATTTCCATTGAGTGGGCACTGCGATAAATCTGAAGCTCTTTGTGACTTGTTTTACACAAATAATATTACACAGTTAAATAACATTGCAAACCACAACAACAGAATATTGGATTTAGCTATAACCAATCACCCTAATTCTTTTTCACTACGTTCAACAGTCCCTATTAGTCGTCTTGACGCACACCACCTACCTTTTGAGCTTGAATTCATGTCTCAAACAACTTCGTTGCAGCCAAGTGATCGTGTTGAGAGATTGTGTTTTTTCAAAACGGACTTTGAAAGTTGTATTGCAAAACTTCAAAATTGACTGGAAACGCCACGCTGACACACTCAATTGTGATGATCTGGTCCATTTCTTTTATAACCAACTGTACTTAATAATTGATGAGCATACATTAAGAAAGATATTCCGCAATTCTAATTACCCTATTTGGTTCTCGGCAGGCATAAAAAGGCTTCTCAAGCTCAAAGCCAAATATCATAAACGATACAAGCGTTTTGGAAACCCTAGGGACTTTGATGCCTTTTCAATGTTAAGATCACGCGCTAAGGTTATGATAGAAAACTGTTTCAATCTTTACATTTCTAATATCGAAAGTGATCTTACTACAAATATAAAATCTTTCTGGAGATATGCGAAAAGCAAAAATGTCACTAATAGAATACCAAATTCTATGTATTTCCAAGATCGTATAGCTACGGCAGGTGACGAAATTGTGAATCTCTTTGCGGAGTTTTTTGCATCAGTTCATAATTTTTTTTATACGACTGCAACATTTACTGAGCCCGAATTCTTCTCAAACAGTTACTGTTTAAGTCATGTACAAGTAACGATAGATTTAGTCTTAACTAGATTAAGAAACGTCGATTTATCTAAAGGAGCCGGACCCGATGGCATCCCATCCGTATTCATTCGTCTTTGTGCTTCTGCACTGGTTGCTCCATTGACCTTAATATATAATAAATCATTAAAAGAAGGAGTATTCCCTTCTTTATGAAAGATTGCTAAGATTACTCCAATATATAAATCTGGCGATAAAAGGGATATAATGAATTACAGACCTATTAGTATATTAAATTGGTTTGCAAAGATTTTCGAATCACTTATTTACCAACATGTAAAGATGAACCACGTCAAACCCCACCTTGACCCCAGACAACATGGTTTTATTGAGGGCAGATGTACTGAGTCAAATCTGCTGCAATATAGCACTTTTTTAAGTGACTCGTTCAACATAAGGATAAGATTTTGCGAAAGCCTTCGATCGTGTTTGTCATCGGAAAATGCTGACTAAAGTCTCACGTATGGGCATCCATGGTAATCTTCTACGCTGGCTAACATCATATATTGAAAATCGGTCGCAGTTGGTAGTCTTAAGAGGTTATGATTCTGTGCCATATACTCCAGATTCAGGTGTCCCGCAGGGATCCAATTTAGGACCTCTTTTTTTTATAATATTTATAAATGACCTTCTTAATATAATTGAGTGTGACTGTCTCGTTTATGCTGATGACATCAAAATCTTTAAGCGTATTGTTAGTCCTGACGACTGTGAGGCGTTGCAAAAAAACCTTAGCGTAGTGTCTAAATGGTGTGATCACAATGATATGTCCCTCAACATTAATAAATGTCAAGTAATTTCTTTTACAAAGAATAAATTGCCAGTGCATTATTATTCTATAAAAGGAACTGTATTATTACGCGTTAAAACGGTCCGTGACTTGGGTGTATATTACGATTCGGCACTCACATTTCGACCATATTTGCAATAAGGCCAATCAAATGCTTGGTTTTATAACCAGAACTGCTAGGCCATACAGAAAAATAAAGTCTTGGGTAATTCTTTATAATGCACTAGTAAGGTGTATACTCGAATATTGTTCTTCAATATGGTCCCCTATTTACGCCGTTCACATTGACAGAGTAGAAGCCATTCAACGCAAGTTTGTTCGTTGCCTGTCGGCGAAGTGTGGTTTACGCAAAAAAGTACACGATTATTTTGATCGTCTTCGTTATTTTAATATGATCACCTTGGAGAGACGTAGATATATTAGAGATGTCTGTGCTCTTCATCGGATTGCCAATGGATCATCCGGCAGTTGCCTGATTGAAGCTCTAAAGTTTAAGGTGCCTACACGGTCTGTGCGTAAATCACAATTATTTTGTGTACCCTCCACCACAAATAATATTTCGCTGAACAGCCCATTGAACAGAATGTGTTCATACTTTAACAATATTTGCTCTGATCATGACATGTTTAACTGTAGCTTACTTTCTTTCAAGAATTGTGAATTACAATAATATTTAACTCTGTTATAATGATATAATATTAAGATATTTTATTTTTTGTTCGATGTTTGTAAATGTTGTGCACAATTGTAATTGGGCACAGGCATTCCCATAGTTTTTCATATCTTTTTGTACTTGTGTTGTTTTTTTTGTCTGATGCCTGTTATTGTGCCATTATAAATAAATAAATAAATACACACATCAAAAGTGTCTAGGGATCAAGCATTTTTATGCGGATTTCTTGAGATTGAGATGTGGCTTTGTAATAAATTTATGATTTTATAAATTTATATGGATCCTTTTTGGTGCATTTCATAATTTGAATCAGGAACTGTGAATCAAATTCGAGTAAAAGATGAAAATCAGCTGTCAATATTTTCCCTATAAAAACATACAACGCATTGAAGACATTATTAGTGCTACTGTTTCCCTACTACTGATTAAAACCAACGTTATTATGGAGCGGCGACGTCATTTAAGCAGGGAAGAAATGCTCAGAGCCGTGGGAATGATAGAAGCTGGTTCCCGGCAACGTACTGTGGCTTTAGCTCTGAATACAAGTCAGAGTGTTATCAGTCGACTTTGGACACGATACCGAAGCACTGGTACCGTGGCTGAGCGCCATGGAGGACGGTATCGCTGCACCACACGGAGACAAGACCGATACATTCAAATCTTAACTCGAAGAGCTCCAACAATAACCGCCATGATGTTAGCCGTGAGGCTTCATCACTCTTCAGGGAACTTAATTAGCGACCAAACAGTCAGAAACCGCTTGCATGAAGTGAACCTTCATTCCCGAAGACCGCTACGGGTACCACCTATAGCAATGCACAATCGTAGGATTCGATATCAATGGGCTCTTGAACACAGAAATTGGGCAGAAGAACAATGGCGTTTCGTGTGCTTTTCTGATGAGTCTCGTTTTGGTATGAGACCGGATACAAGACGTATACGACACTGGAGAACCCCTGGACGCCAACAGCGATTAAAATCCTGCCAGGAAGTCCATCCTTATAGTGGTGGAACCATCATGGTATGGGCGGGTATTTGGATCGGCGGAAGAACTGAGTTGATTTGGATCAGAGGCAACCTCAACGCTCAAATTTATGCTGAGACGATTGTATCAGACGTCATCGTTCCTCTACAAGTGCAAATCGGTCCCTTATTTCAGTTAATGCATGATAATGCACGACCGCACACCGCAAGAGTTGTAAGACAGACTCTCGCCGCAGCTAACATCAATGTCCTGCCCTGGCCTGCTCAGTCGCCAGACTTGAACCCGATTGAGCATGCATGGGATATGCTACAGAGAAGAGCTCTGCCGAATATGGAGGGTATCCAGTCGCAAGAAGACCTTTTTTTGTTGTTGCAACGAACATGGGCGGCCATTCCACAGCGTGATTTGGATGAACTCATTTTGAGTATGCCAAACCGATGTTCTTGTGTTGTTAGTGTTCGCGGTAGAAATACGGATTATTAATTGTTTAAGTTACCCAATAAAATTTTAGAGAAAACTGTTATTTCAGTCTTTTTTTCGAACTTTTGTGTTAGTGGTTCAAATGTCAAAAATCCCTTTATTAGGAAAATGGCAAATTTCTTTATTAATGCAAAGGTGACTTGGTTTATCGTTACTGTGACAAACGAAAACACTTTATTTGATGAATCCTTAAAGAAAATTTTAATTAATATCAATCAGGAGAAAAGTTATTGCAAAAATATATGTTGATCCCTAGACACTTTTGATGTGTGTATGTACACTTAATAGAATACTGCACCCCAAGCACGAAAAATAGGGCCGATGACTAACTTTTTTCTTCGTCTATCAGGTCGATTATCGAAAAGTATTGAACATGCATTTTTAATTTTTCACATAACCAAAACATTACAGAGATATATTGATTTCAAATGTCGCGTAACGTGACGTTTTCGTACAATTTCATAATATGATGTCACGAACCACCTGCTAAACTTTGACACGCTTTATTTATGTAATTTTTTCGGTTGATAGATTAAAAGAAAAATAAGTGTCCCCTATTTTTTGATAATCTAACTGACGAAGTAAATAGAATTTCGTTTAATTCACCCCGTCATCATCCATATTAGCGAGAAAGTATTTGTATCGCCATCGTCAAAGTTTCTATGGAAAATCAGTAGCTCCCCTACCGAACTTAAGCACGAAGTACTGTTTCTTATGAAGCATGAATATGATTGTGGAGAGAAAATAAAGTTTATTCTTATTATTAAGTAGCTCCTTCCATAGAAACTTTGACGATGGCGATACGAATACTGTCTCGCTAGTTGTTCGTGCTTCGGGTACTGATCTATTAGGGGTTGCGCCCCATCACAGGAAACCGTAGTTGTGTAAAGTGGAAGCACCTGGGCACAAAGATATATTTATATTGTCACTAACGCTCTCGAAAGAAAACCGCGAAAATACTAGAGACAGAATTTACCTGAACAACGGGAATCGCGATAAAGGTCGAGTGGTGCGGCTTATTCTAATATAAGCCTTATGCAGTGCGGGGTAAGGGAGAAACTGCAACGACATCTGCACTTGTTGACAACTTCTGCGCGTTACCTACATAGGTATAAATAGCTTATGCGCACTCGCGGGTGCCAGTTAACTCTCAATTTAATAAATTTAACTTTTCTAGAATGCGTCGTTTGGCGTATATAAGCATGATTGGCGACGCGCAGAGACAATTGAGTTTCAACAGCGATTTCGGAACGAATACAAAGGTGATCAAATGCATGGAAAGTGTTAAGTGCGACTGTTTAGACTTATATATTGGAGTACGGTGTTAAGTGAGTGTATTGTGAGTAACATTGTGTGTTAACTGTGTGGTGAATGAAGTACTGTCAAGCGTGAACTGACATATAATTTGAACCCCATCCCGACACGTAACAATATCTGCGCCAGGGAGTAACTGATTTCACACTGGTTCTATAAAAATCGAATATTCATTGCTAATTTATCCGACAAGTCTCCACGTTTGTGCAGGTCCTAAGTAACAAGTAAAACCATAAATACGACTCGAGTTTCACAAATGTAAAATGTTTAAGTCATTATAGCTCAACTCTGTTGGCACTACCTAATTTTAAGAACCATTTGTACACAGTTTTGGACAATAAATGATTATCTTATCTTATTTTATCTAACTCGGAATTAAGGCGACTTGTCTTTTATTTACATAAAGTAACGGCTTAGCCGCGATCTGAGGCTTTGAGTAGAGCTCGAGTCATTTAGCATAAACCATGAGATCGTAATAAAGTAAACTTCAGTGTAAGACCATTGCACATTTATTGTCTGCGTAGACGAGGGACTTTCCGCAGCGGTCTTTTTTGTCCGCCGAAATAGATCGCTTACAACTGCATCGAAGTAACACACACGCGGTATTAAAAATCCCCCAAAAGACACTGAGGCAAAATACATACAAGACCACAACTCCGACTTCATACTAGCACCGGAATCGACGCACGCACACAAACAGACAGACAAGCGTCATTTACACGGCCGCTAACCAATCTTGCCAAGACAAATCGCAGTGCCATGTCGCGCGCCGCCGAGACTGGTCGTATATATATATGTGTGTGTGAAGAAAGAAGAAAATGTGCGCGTGCACATTTTCTTTCTCCCTTTCTCTTATAGCTAGTACTACACTACGCTAGTAGTACACACACACACACATACATATATACATACCGATGAAGCTAAAGAAGTTTCCCTTCAGTCGTGTGTTCATAAGTACACTAGTTTTTTTTCGAACTTTTGTCCTGTCCCTCAGTCACAGTATACATACAGTAGAATAACTCAGCCGTTTTCTTGAAATAGATACCTACGACTGAGCGGAGCGCTAGGGTTGGTCCCTACAAAATGTAAAACTTATTTGTGTAGATTTTTGTTGTATGTGTATAGTTACTATTGCCACGTTACAGAATCGAAACGGACGCAGACGGCGCGGGCGGCGCGGCGCAGCTAACTTAACTCGGCCAACGACCAGTCTCGGCGGCGCGCGTGTACAAATGGTTCTTAAAATTAGAGTTGAACTATAATGACTTAAAACATTTTACATTTGTGAAACTCGAGTCGTATTTATTGAGTTACTTGTTACTTAGGCGCTGCACAAACGTGGAGACTTTTCTGATACAAGTTAGCAATGAATATTCGATTTCTATAGAACCAGTGTGAAATCAGCTACTCCCTGGCGCAGATATTGTTATGTGTCGGGATGGGATTCAAATTATATGCCAGTTCACGCTTGATAGTACTTTATTCACCACACAGTTCACACAGTTAATCACAATACACTCACTTAACACCGTACTACACTATACAAGTCTTTAAAAAATCGCACTTAAACACTTTTCTTGCACTTTGATCGCCTCTGTATTCGTTCCGAAATCACTGTGGAAACTCAACTGTCTCAGTGCGGCGACAATCGCGCTTATATACACCAATCGACGCATTCCAGAAAAGTCCCGTTAAATTGAGAGTTAACTAGCACCCGCGAGTGCGTAGTACCTACTTATACCTACGTAGGTAACGCGCATAAGTTGTCAACACGTGCAGATGTCGTTGCACTTTCTCTCTTACGTCGCACTGCATAAGGCTCATATTAAAATGAGCCGCACAACTCGACCTTTATCGCGATCCGCGTTGTTTCATCAACATTCATCTACAATGTTACCAATTTAATACAAAATATTTATTTTTATTAATTTCACGGAAAAAGGTAAAAAGCAGTCATTACGGCTGTGAAAAATAAGCGTATTATTTATTCTCAATAACTGGTTATTTAATCTTTTACCTTTTTTGTAAGTAAATATCAGAAAGTCTATACAAATTGTCATCTTATCTGTATTTTAAAAAGATTGAAAAAAAAACTTGAAAATATCTAACATAAATTCGACAATTATTCTACCATTCGCCTCCATCATTCGCCAACGCGCAACGAGACCACTCGTTGACGTCGAGCGATTCAAAAATACGGAATTTATATGTCAAATCAAAATTAGTATAAATCGAGCGCTGGACGCGAGGCGAGTGATTCAAAAATAGAGCTCCTTTTCTGTTTCTGTCACTCAAATCGCTCGATTGAGTTGCTTATGTAGTTGAGTCGGAGCATATTTATTTGATGCTAGTACGAGCGTACCGTATCTTCCCTTTTTGCTTTAATCTAAGGCCACCACTAGTAGCTCAATCGCATATTGAGCTACTAGTGGTGGCATTAGATTGCTCTTAGTAAATCTATACATATAATAAAATGGTAGGAAAGTCAAAATTGTACATTGAATATTTTTTTAAAAGAATACTTGTGTGTGTGATCTACAATCGACACCGACGCCAAAAATATAGATTTTAGAATTTTTGTCTGTTTGTCTGTATGTATGTCCGGGATAAACTCAAAAAGTACTGCATGGATTTACTTCAAATTTGGCATGAATATTATTAAGAAGTCGGGTCAACATATAGGCTACATATTATCACGCTATCACCTACGGCGTAGGTACCCTTATAGCGTAGGTCCTACAGGGAACGAGCAGTGAACCTTTATTTCTAACTAACTCCACGCGTACGAAGTCGCGGGCGGCCTAAGCTAAATAAATAAGTAATGTAACGATACTCATACTTTGCGGATGGTAGGCGAAGTGCGGCACCGGCGCGAACGGATAACCGAACCCGTACGCTGGCATCCCGTACATTCCTGGAATAACAAGTTTATTTATTTCAATAGAAGTAAGGCATAGCAAATTTTCCACTCGAATGGAAGTAACCGACATCTTACAGAAGACCACAGTAAAATAACACCAACTTTTGGTGGTGCTTTGTTTCTATCGGTGAGTAAGGTTGCAGGGCTCCACGGGTAACCGCCATCTTACAGAAGACCACAGTAAAATAACACCAACTTTTGGTGGTGCTTTGTTTCTGTCGGTGAGTAAGGTTGCAGGGCTCCACGGGTAACCGCCATCTTACAGAAGACCACAGTAAAATAACACCAACTTTTGGTGGTGCTTTGTTTCTATCGGTGAGTAAGGTTGCAGGGCTCCACGGGTAACCGCCATCTTACAGAAGACCACAGTAAAATAACACCAACTTTTGGTGGTGCTTTGTTTCTATCGGTGAGTAAGGTTGCAGGGCTCCACGGGTAACCGCCATCTTACAGAAGACCACAGTAAAATAACACCAACTTTTGGTGGTGCTTTGTTTCTGTCGGTGAGTAAGGTTGCAGGGCTCCACGGGTAACCGCCATCTTACAGAAGACCACAGTAAAATAACACCAACTTTTGGTGGTGCTTTGTTTCTGTCGGTGAGTAAGGTTGCAGGGCTCCACGGGTAACCGCCATCTTACAGAAGACCACAGTAAAATAACACCAACTTTTGGTGGTGCTTTGTTTCTGTCGGTGAGTAAGGTTGCAGGGCTCCACGGGTAACCGCCATCTTACAGAAGACCACAGTAAAATAACACCAACTTTTGGTGGTGCTTTGTTTCAGTCGGTGAGTAAGGTTGCAGGGCTCCACGGGTAACCGCCATCTTACAGAAGACCACAGTAAAATAACACCAACTTTTGGTGGTGCTTTGTTTCTGTCGGTGAGTAAGGTTGCAGGGCTCCACGGGTAACCGCCATCTTACAGAAGACCACAGTAAAATAACACCAACTTTTGGTGGTGCTTTGTTTCTGTCGGTGAGTAAGGTTGTAGGGCTCTACGGAGTAGGGGATAGGGTCAGGGAAGGCAACGGCACGAGTGATATTTCTTGTATCGCAAGCGGATATACGCTATGGTAGCCGCTTGCCATCAGGCGAGCCATATGCATATTTGACATCCTATTAACATAATAGTACATTATGATATAAGTGCGGTAAGTTGAGAATTACTCAACTAATAAATAGTTAATTAATTTTTGCGCAACGGTGCTCGATAAGTGCAGCCATGTTGAGTGATTGAAGTATTTACCCTGGTCATTTTCTTTTCGTATTTATGTGTTTAAATACTACAATATCTATATACATTTATTTTAAATAGTGCTGCAAACCTTTTATTTATTTGAAATCTTAGTAAAATTAGTAGTTTTACGGCAATTTTACATTTTTAACGAAAATGTCTCTACCCTGCCATATTTCCCCTGGCTGTTATGGTGCCAGGCTACTAACAAAACTATAAAAATGATGCAATAGCTCAATAATAGTAATGATAATTTATTAGAGAATGTACAATTGCATATATTTTAGATAATTGTTTCGCTTTATATCGTTATTCCACTAAAATCTGATTGCACGGATAAGTACTTTACAGTGCATCCTAATATGCGCTCTAAGCGCATTGCAATAAAGTTCATCTTGTCTCTACCCTGTACTCAGTATCTCCCCTGGTGTCTCGTAAAACGAGAATAAATTAAAAAAATGACTGCTCATCTTAAAATCATATTAAAATCATTTGTCTTGATAAAAGTAGTGATATAGTTATATAAATATCGATACTTTTTGCTGTGCCACTGCTTCCATACAACCGATTACCTCTTAACTGAGAATCACCCAATTATCAAACCGCACGTATGTCATGCGACGTTTTATAACACATTTGTGAGGAAATAATACTACCTACGTACGTACTTTCTGAAAATGAATTTGCACCTTTGTTTGTTTTCCATAAGATGAAATTTTGATACGCTTGACTGTAAGTATCTATCCGTGGATTTTTCCGGCAAGAGGCTTAGCGTAGCCTTTATCGACTTCTGGCGGTGTCAAATTAATAAATTCCTTACTACCTGACAATATTTTCAAATAAAAACAATACAGCGAAAAGAAAAAGATATAACTTTTTCACAGGCAAAGGAACAAAAAACAGCCAGTGTTACTAATAAAGTAAATTAATATTTTTGTGAATTTGTTACCGATACATGGTTTTAATTTATTGTCAAAATGAATCAAATTAAAGAATTAAATGTTTAATATTATACTCTATCTCCCAAAGTCAATTTTATTAATAATGTTGGCTACCTTTATGACATAAAAACTCTTTGCTAAGATTTAAAAAAGTATCGTTCGTTTTTAGATGGAACATAATAAGCCGTGCGTTTTACTTTACATTACCACACGCGTGTGTAATGTGATAGATTATGATATTGAAATTGGTGCAATAAGAGACGCTTTACGAGCAAATGTGTTATAAAAAATAATTACAGTATCCAGTATTTAAGTTTCATTGTTTCACTTGTTTATGAAACTGCACACATTTCTATCTGCACGCTGGTGAAGTAATCACAGGGAATAAGGCTGCAGACCTGAGTGTTTTATAAGAATATTTGTTTTTCTTAATAGCCAGGCAAACATAATGTTACTTATCCTATAAGAATTCCTTTTTTTATTTTCACGTACAGCAAACCGAAAAGTTAAAAAAAATGTTATTGTGGCCATACATCATACCGCCTGTCGTGTAATCGACGCGACGCTGCAGGCTTGATCCGATCTGAAGTTCGCCCATATACTATTGGAGAAAAATTAAACAAAATGTTGCTTGTATAACTAGTATTCCAAGAGTCTTCTCGTTTTTTCGTAAGTCAGAGACAACGCTACATCTCTAACAAATACAACATACACGATCAGTTTTAACTTCGCAATCGGCAGCAACGTTCAGTTAAAGTCATTGCGTCAACGACGATGTGTTCGACGTCTTGGGAATATTAATCGTGATAAAGAAACAAGAAAATATCGGGCGGTGTGGTGCGAACAGTGGTTAATGAAAAGAACACAACAAAATAGCACCAAAAATCATCAATCGCCATGCACGGTCCAATCAGCATGATCGAATTGGCTTGAGCAAGCCAAAAGAATTGAATTTTGTTTGTTCTATCAAGAATAACTTTATTGTCAAGTTACGCCCACCCACAGTCAGTTAACTTGATCATTTATGACGATAATTGACTACCTCCGTGGCCGAGTGGTTTGTACGCAGGGTTTCAAGGTGTCGTCGCCTACTCGAATGGTCCTGGGTTCGAATCTCGGTGTGGTCGCCCTCACGTTTGTGTGATGTATACGAGCATTTGTACTCCAGTCATGGATGTTTAATATGTATTTCTATATGAAATATACTTATGTATGTATCAGTCTATGTATTCTATCCTTTACCCTAGAATCCATAACACAAGCCTTACAGTGCTTACTTTGGGACTAGGCTAGTTGGTGTGAATCAATCAATCAATCATTTATTTGCAAATACAGGTGATACAAAGGTGCTAAATTATAATACGTTAGAAGCTTATTCCATATTTCACCACAAGGCATGCAAATTAAAATAAACAAATGGGTACATCCATTTACAAAGAGTTGTCCTCTAAAAATTCCTTAATACTATAATACGCCTTTTTAAGTAATACATTCTTTAATTTCGAACAAAATATATTGGAGCTTTCAGATTTTCTAATTTCAAGTGGAATTTTATTATATACCTGAGGTGCCATACAAAGTACACTATTATTCATAAGCCATGTCTTGTTAGATGGTAAACAAAGTCTGGTTTAAGTTGAATATTGGAAATATTTATTTATTTATTATTATTTAATTAGTTCTGTCTTAATGAATTAGCGGGCTGCGTGTCTATAAACGCTGGACGATAGCTTGACTGGCGATAATTTAACACGCTCAAAGAGATTGTCAAAAACGATCAATTTGTATGTAGCTGAAGGAGCTTCATCATCATCATCAGCCTATTAATGTTGGGGCACAGGCCTTCCCTATGGATGGAATAGGGAGATTAGGCCATGACCCACCACGCGGGCCTAGTGCGGATTGGTGGGTGCTAACGACTGCAGATGCAGCCGGGACCAACGGCTTAACGTGCTTTCCGAAGCATGGAGGAGCTCGAGATAGTAAATTTTTTTTTTGTCACCAATCCAATGACCGACCACTGCGAAAGTTGTTTAACTTCAACGATCGCAGCCGAACGCGCTAACCACTTGCGCCATCGAGCTCCTCCAAGGAGCTTACTTAATTCAAAGTTGGCACGCTAATTTTAGTGCATTTTAGTACCAAAGTCACCCGAAGCTTCATCACGCAGATGTGGGACAAACATTAGGCGTTTCCCTCTACTGCGCGATAGACCCAGTAGAGCACAACCATAGAGAATACATAGCTTGTTAAGTAGTTCCGTCTCACCTTTATACTGAATCTCCCTCTCTGGCGTGGTCAGCCTCTCTGTCTTGATTCTCTTCTGTCTCTCCTCTTCTATAGACGAATCGGAGCTGACAGAAGAATTGCGTCTCGGCTTCTTTGTTTCTAACGCCGAACGAATCACTATGCGACCTAATGAATTGGGAGCAATTAACACATTAGATATTTAGGATAACAATACCATTAGTAAAATAAGTCACTTACGTTATGCATAAACTATAAATGTAAAACATATTATGTTAAATTATTGTCACTGTAATGAAAAATAATGTAAAATGAAAATCAAACCATCAATGTTGGGTTTGCAATAACCAATAACTCTTTAGATTATATGTATAAGCAAATATGATTGTAAACTTGTTAGTGGTTCTACAAATAAATTTAAAAAAAAAATGGGTGCGTGTACTTATGTAGGCGCGTGAGAAGTTATCCTTCTTTGGCATCGTTTAAAATTAGTTTTTAATTGCATGCAAATAATTAATTACAATAAATTAGTAAAAAGTCTGGAAAAGGACACAGTCAATAAAGTTCAGTTTTAATTTGAAAAAATAAATAAATAATCAAAATATTCAATTAAAATCGCTACTGAATATAATTTATTAGAACATATGTGATTTGCACTTGTGTGATACTCAAACACGTATTCCGAATATACAAACTAGAAACATGTGGATAAATATTATAATTATGAATACCTATAACTGTTACTTTATTACAAAAAATAAAGATGTGGTTTTTGGTTCTACTACACCAATGGTCAAGAGATGGCGCTGTAGTCCCCTGAATCGCGCTTTGGTTCCGTTGTTCCAGATTAATAAATACTTTTAATAGGCCTTCACAATGCAGTCGTTAGCACCCACAAAATAGAGATTCTATTTCTATTTTGTTGGTAGATTTTCTTAATGTGCGGTAATTTTTGTGTTACAGTGATGCGCGCGTATCTTAAAATTTCACTCTCATCATTTTTTCATAACGCGCCTAAAGAAGTATAACTTCAAAAAAACTAACATACTTTGTCATCAGGGGGCCATTCGCCTAACAGAATTGCTTTGGAAAACGCAATCGCTTACGATTTCTTTTTGTTATTTCTGACCGCCGAATGTTTTCAAATATCTCACGCTCTTTTTCTTTAATATTGTTATTAACAATGCAAAAGAAAAAAAAGAGCGCGAGGCATTTGAAAACCTCAGGTTCGGCTAGAAATAACAAAATGAAATCGTAAGCGATAGCGTTTTCCAAAGCAATCCCGTTAGGCGAATGGCCCCCAGATCTAGGCAGAATTAAAGCGAATCTCTTAGTTGAAAAACGCCATGAAGTCAGCGGCGGATAGTGGATAAAGTTTATTTAAGATACGTGTATGCTATATAGCAGGGGTGCTCAAACGGTCGATCGCGATCGACCAGGTAGGTGGGGTGTGTGTCGGCGACATCTATATGCTCCACATATATACAACGGATCATTACTCACCATCCTTAAGAGATGGCGTTACCTGGACTGCGATCATAATAGTATGGAAGTCTACATCGCGCAAATGAAATTCCGAGGCTAACTCTTCATATATACGATGCCCGACCAACATCAGTCGGGCCGCGGCCCCCGAGCTACCAACATCCAGGGGGCCAATCGCCTAACGGAAATGCTTTGGAAAACGCTAACGCTTACGATATTATTTTGTTATTTCTAGCCACCTGAGGTATTCAAATGCCTCGCGCTCTTTCTTTTTCTTTTGCATTGGTAAAACAATATTAAAAAAAATGAGCGTGAGGTATTCGAAAACCTCAGGCGGCTAGAAATAACAATATAAAATCGTAAGCGTTAGCGTTTTCCAAAGCATTTCCGTTAGGCGATTGGCCCCCAGCTCGGAGGAAGATCTTCCCCTTTGGCCTTCCTACAGGTACCGTGTATGTACGACAACCCTGCATCACACATACTTGCAGCCCCTCAGAGTCGATCGTAAGTAGTCTAAAAATTTCGAGGTAGATCGACAGCAGTTCAAGTTTCAGAACCCCTGCTATATAATCTTTACATTTTGGTGCTATATGTATAGACGCGAATGTCATCTGCTCTAACTCCTTAAAGGTTTTTGTAGTTTGACGAAAATTTCCGAAATTTGACATTTTCCCGCCTTTTTTACCTTAGGTCGCTAGCTACTAAACATAAAACCACAAATAAATTATATAATTACGATGTTACAAAAACAATTGCAGACAATACTTAATTCCAATAAACATTTCTTCTGCTGTAATCCGGTTATTAGGTCTATAAATAACTGAAATCAGACCCCTTTCCCAGTGGGCACTTTGGGCAAGTGCCCAGGGCCCCGCGATCGATAGGGGGCCCCCTCAGATCAAATACAAAATCTCTAATTCCTGTTAAATCACCAAACGGAAGTCATAGGGGCCCCATTATCCTAATATGCCCAGGGCCTCCAATAGGTCAAGACGGCACTGGCTGAAATAATATAAACAGTACTTGTAGGAAACCAGTTACGTAGCTCACCATCTAACGCGCTCTTGAGATGGTTCCTCTGTGCTTCAAGCGCATCCTCTTGTTGTTTCTTCATGCGGTCAACGATACGAGCTCTCGCACTGCGCTCTCCCGCCGTGTAGTAGCGCTCCGGCTTGTGACCGATGCGCCGCAAGTCAGGTCGCAACTGTTTAAAAACATTGCATTTCTTAAATGACCAGGTATCAAACTGGAAACTGTAACCCTCCCTTATTACTCAAAGAATAATAAGTTTGGAGAAGTAATTCATGTTTTGTCTCAGTTCATTGAATTACAAATGGCATTTGAGTGATATGTACAAAACACAGTATAACTAAAGTCTAAGCTTATTGGTTGTTTATTAATAAACGGGAGCTCGATGGCGCAAATGGTTAGCGCGTAGGCTGCGATCGTTGAAGTTAAGCAACTTTCGCAGTGGTCGGTTATTGGATGGGTGACCAAAAATTTAGTATCTCGAGTTCCTCCGTGCTTCGGAAGGCACGTTAAGCCGTTGGTCCCGGCACTGGGCCCGCGAGGTGAGTCATGGCCCAATCTCCCTATTTCATCCATAGGGAAGGCCTGTGCCCCTGCAATGGGGACATTAATAGGCTGATGATGATGATGATGATGATGATGGGTAAGAGCTCGCAAGAGTATTATCTAACTTGCAATTGATTTACGTTCTTTCAATTGCTACAATATTGATATCATTTTGGTCACAGTTTTGACTTAATCTCACACAACTAGAGCATCGCGTCGCCCTAAAGGAGCTTGACCTATTCAAGTCTTCATTTCTCTCCGCTATTCACCCTTAACATTGAAGAACCTACGTAAATTTGCTATAACACAAGCTACCCCAAAACTTGATAGGCACTCACACACAATTAACATAAACAAACACATCTGCATGTGGCACATTTATCAGGTATGGATACAAAAGTAAGTGTCCACTTCTGATAAATGTACCACATGCACATGTGTGTATGTTTTATCCAGGAAATGATTTTTACAACAAGAAAACAAATAATAAACAAAAATCATGAGAAAAATAATAGTTTTGCATTTAATCAATAAATATGTTACATAAAACTAAATAAAATATTAACCATTTAATAAAATAGCATACCTCAATCCTCTTGAACAATTCTTCCAGCAGTCTTATAGCCTGCAGTTTTTTCTGTTCTTTCAAAAGCTTTCTTCTCTCATCAGCAACTCGGCTATTCAGATCTACTTCATCTCTCTCCATCAGCTTGGCCAGTTGTTTCTTTTTTCGTTTCTCTTCTCTTTCTCTCATCTTTTCTAGCTTTTCAAGCTCAGTACGCTCATATTTTTGCCTTAAAAGAAATATATTCTAATGTAGGTATGTTATGAATGTCTTTAATTTTTACTTATTTATTAAATAATAGGAACATTAAAATTTACACTGCATAAAATTATACCTCTCTTTGGCTTCTCGCTTGGAAACCCTCTCCTTTTCCTGCCTCTCCTCTTCTTCTTTAGCTTTTTGTCGAGCTACCAGTCTCTCACGTACGATAGCTCTGCGTTTCACTGCCGCATCAGTCATATGTTTAGTTTTATCAAAATCAATTTGTAAGGTGCACCACTCAGCTATGTCATCTCTCTTCCTTAATAACTTTCGGCCTCGCAATGCGTCCATACAACGAACAAAGCTTACATATTCACTGAATTGTATGTATGCTTCAAAATATAACTGAGCATCTTGAGGGGGTGTAGTTATACCCCTCATGGAAGACTTCATCTGCATCCTGAAAGGGTCAGCAGCTGGTACATCTACTTGCCTTATTGAACCAAACTTCTCAAACACTTTCTTGCAGAGATTTTCTGATGGGGGAGAGTCCTCATTTAGATCTCTTTCATGTACAAACCAGCGAATTGGCAAGTTAGCTATGTGCACTGTATCAGGCCTCTCACCTGGTTTCATCTCATCCATGTCAGTGGCATCACGAAAAAACGAGTCCCATGCATGCCGACTAGGAAAATCCGATTTCGCTTCGGTAACTTTCACCTTCAGAGGATCCGGATAATCATTTAGTTGTACGATACGATCTTCAAGTCTTGATAACACTCTGTCTAGTTTCTCCCGATTTTCCAACTCTGCTTCGAATCGTATAACTTCAGAACTGTGCTTCGTCACTTTTAACAGGGAAAAGGAGTCAGGTTGGATCATCTTCCTCAACTTTTCCATTAATTCCCAATTGGAGATTGATTTGCCGTGTACCTTGTGGGTGGGGAGCTGAACAGAAATATTAAGCTTTGCGAAAGATTTTAAATAAAGACGCTGAGGCAAATACAAAGCCACAGCGTCGCAAGGATCCCTACACACTTGAATACTCATTTTTAAGAAAGTATCCTATCAAATCTACAATACAATACTAAAATTTAACCTAGTTCAAAGTTATAGTAGAAAATTACAATATTTCCATATTATAAATAATAGAAATTTAAGAATCAATTATTTATACAATGAAAAAACTTGTTTCCTAATACTAATTCTAAACATGAAATAACTATTTATTGAAAAAAATAAAAGACAAATTAAAGGAAATGACCAAAGATTTTTTTAGTGTCCGCCCCCATTTTTAGAAATGATTGCAGCAAATCAGCATATACAACAAAAACACAGTTTTCTTCAAGTTAATTTGCACTTTTTCACAAAAAGTTCACAAAAACCAACTGACAGTTCATTCGGCATCGACCCATGACATTGACAACTGTTTTTACTCATTATTTTTACCTTATAAGGCAAAAGAAACTTATTCCATACAGCCGAGTCTTTAGTATTTTTTTAGCAAAGCCGATTCTTTAAACAAAACTTTTAACATCAGTCTCTCGTTTTCATTCTCTATAGAGAATGACAAGAATATACTCTTGTCAACTTTAGTTTTAAAAAAATATTACAGAAGTTTGCGTGTGTGAGAGTTGCATATGTAGTTGAGTCGGATCATATTTTGATTTGATGCTAGTATTAGCGTAGGTACCGTATCTTCCCTTTTTATTTTAATCTAAGGTTATTATGAACGTTATGAAATATTAGAAAAAAGAATCGTAGGCATAAGCCCAAGAGTAGGTAGGAGTAGGAGTAGATCGTAGGCATAATCTCTAAACTAGTCCAGATTAGTTGTACACTAGTTATCAATGTCACTCATTTAGTTCACTCACATATACATAATATAATGTAAAATCAATTTTGAGCTAAAGTGGAACTGAAAAGTTTGCCGCTCGATCGGAGTTGTCTTTTTGAGAATGAGTCTACAGAACTCTTATTAACAATCGTCAGAATCGTTTCCGTCTCGGAAAGTATAAAATTTTGCACGGTCTATTGTTTCGGTTAAGAAAAAAACTAAGCGTACTTTCCGAATTCGAATCCGTTTACGACGTATTATGAATACACGGGACAGATCGTCCTTTATAGTGTTAGCAATAGGAAGTAGATAAAAAAATACGAACGTGCTTATGCCCACACGACTGAAGTGAAACTTCTTTAGCTCCATCTGTATGTACATATATATATTTCATTTACTAGCTATAAGAAAAAGAGAGAAAGAAAATGTTCACGCGCACTGCTTTCTCTGGCTTATATCCCCCACTCAACTCCCGTTCGCCTCGCCCGAGCACACTTTTCGTAACTTTCCCCCAGCTTTCCCCCCAAGTCAAGCGTGCGTAAAAAAGTTTCACTTCAAAATGTATCGGAGTAAGTAAATTGGAAATATTATCCAAATAAAACTACTGAGTTTAATTTGTAGTTTTATTTAATAACCTTTATGCTGAATTTATTTCTTGTAAGATTGCCTTTTACTTTCAATTATTTTTGAAATTGTTTTCAACATAGCAATGTGGTGGAACCTGATGCTTAAATATTATTTTTGAATGACACACCTTATTAAAGTTATGTTCCTGCCCAAAATATTCATGTTTGTCTCTAAATTCATAAAAAACATTGCATTGAGAATGCATTTTTTTTTTAAAATATTCAAAACAATGTGTTGATTTCTTGCGGTTATTACATTTTCAGTCAATAATTTACGAACATCAGATTCACAAATCACACAAATATCAAAAAGATCCTTAAATGGAAAGCGAAGTCCTCCTTTGTTTTTCCTACTAATGAGCTTATGAAAATAGTTATTTATTATACAAGAGTGGAAAGTTCCTTTTTAACCGCGTGCTCGATTTGGATGACCGAGCAAGCGAAGGATTCTAAAGTTGAATCACGAGCGCAGCGAGTGATTCTAAATTAGAATCCTGAGCGTCAGCGAGGGAAACAAACGAGCACAAGGTGAAAAATCTTTCCACTCGAGTGCAATACGTAACTTTTCATCCCACCTCAGCGAGGAAATGACAAAATGAAAAAGAAAACAATTTATAATGACAAAATATTTTTATTTCAATTAAAACACATTAAGATAATCTATAAATTGAAGAAAATAATAAGAAGTAGAAAATAATTAAGAAATATTAAATGTAACGTTGCTACAGTTACTTATGTTAAGTTTAATATTTTTGTTAGGTAATGTTATGTTGGTGTTTGTGAATTGTGCGCTGTTTTGTGGTAAACTACTCGTATCAGTAATTTTAAATAGTTGTGCCGATTCATTGGATTCTATTGGCGTAAATGTTGGCGAGAGAGGGCTATTGTTTCCAATCTTATGGGGGCTCATTTTAGATGTAGAAGGGCGAGACCAAGAATCTGACAGAGGTTCTTTCAGCGTTATGGCCTCCACGATACTATTACAAATTTTTGATTTACTTTGGATTGAATCCTCTATGTATCCCTCTACAACCGAATTAGACTTCCAGCCTCCATGGCGCTTAAGCGATAGAAGATCAGCCCCTGATTCGGCCAAAAGTGTGGCTGAGGTTCTTCTAAAACAGTGACCGGTGTATAACGGGGGTTCTAAAAGTCCGAGAAAAGTTGCTATTTCTCGTGGAATACTGCCAATTTTATTCTGACCCATAGGTTGTCGGATACACTTTCCGTTGCGATATTGTAGAAAAAATCGTTCAATTGGGGTGTTAGAAGGACGTAAAGCTTGATATTTCTGAACAATGTTTACATATTCCTTGCGAATAACGAAGTTGCGGTCTTTTTTTGTCTTGGTATTTAGTACATTAATTAATAGCAATTCATCAGAATTATGAGAATATTTTGATACGTTATTGACATTAAGTAGTGTAAGTTCATTTGTTCGACATGCTCCGGTTATACCAATAATAAGAACAACCTGTAACAAAAGAAGTATTTATAATCGTAAATAAATTAATCAAATTAAAAATATTGTAAGTACTATGTACAATTTTATCAACAACAAAAAATTACACGTATTGACTTACTTTTGCCGCTAAATATACGGAATCAGGTGCTTCATTAATAAACTTTGCAATTTCAGATGCTGTGAAAACCTTCGATTTTTTTGGTTTATAACCAGATGAGGCTCTTTTTAAAAATGCCACTAATTTATGATAGGTGTCGATATGAACGTCTTTCTTCATCTTAATTGTTAATTTTAGCATTGAATACGTACTCCATAGCGTGCTTGCTTTCTTGGTCTCAGATAATTCTATAAAATATGCCAGCAAAACGTTTTCGGAGAAAGTTTTTGCTCCTTTAGCTAGTCGCCACATGTTAAATATATCGTACTGTTTCAAATACTTCTCTCGTGATTGCTGAGGGAGAAGGCTCATTTGCGCATTATTAACTGTTTCAGTTAACTCAGTTGGCGTTAGATAAACTTCATCGTCGCTAATGTCACTCATTTTAGTTGATTTTTTTGTACAGTTTTTAGGTTATGTTAATTATATTAAGCAATAAAACGTGAAAAACTAGAATGGCGCGAAGCACGCAAATAAAACAAAGAAACCAAGAAGGTTCCAAATTTAAATTTTTTCACAATTTAAAAAGTTCTAATCATAAATTTGGCACCATAGAGGTTACATTAAATAGGTTTAATGACGTTTTGAATTTACAATTATATTGAGTACTCATTATATGTGATGTTCTAAATTCAAATCTACTTTGCCGCTCAAGCGAATAAAATAGAATTTTCCAGCCAGATTTCGAAGCGCAAAATTACACTTTCCGAGGTGGTGGGATGAAAAAGATATTATAGATGTTTCGTGAATTATTCTAGTAAGGTATTAAAATTATTTTAAACTTTATTTAAACTGAGGGGGTGGCGGCGGCGGCGGACGAGAGAGAAGAGCTTGAGCATTATCTCTCAATTCTGAGAGATATTGCTCAAGCTCTTCTCCTCTCACTTCCCTCCGTCATTCTCTTTCTTCCTCTAGTCATCGCTCCTCGTACAGGTCTCGGCCCATAACTCTAGCGCTGAGAAAAACGCGTCAGGGATAGCTGCGCATGGGTACGCGCCAGGGATAGCTGCGCATGGGTACGCTCCGTCATTCTCTTTCTTCCTCCAGTCGCCGCTCCTCGTACAGGTCTCGGCCCGTAACTCTAGCGCTGAGCAAAACGCGTCAGGGATAGCTGCGCATGGGTACGCGTCAGGGATAGCTGCTGTTATGGCTATGAACTAGGCAATTGACTCGCAGGTCATCTATATGCGATCAAAATTTCATCCAAATCGATTCAGTACTTTTTGCATGATTGAGTAACAAACAAACCAACTTTCGTATATTATATAATATTATAGTTTTAGAGCATCTACAAATGAAGTTGCCAAAGTCGTGTGCTGGAAAAACTACAAAAAAAACTGTAAACACAGGAAAAGGTCAGATATAAGTAAAAGAAGTGTTATAAAGAATCCTTTTATTTTTAAATACTTACAGAGTCGATAGTCCAGACGGACGTATCGCATGAAAAGCTATTGCGTAAAACTGCAATTTACATCCGATATAATTGTTATATCAATGATCCGTTGCTTATAGCTATGTCATAAATAAATTAACATACACTTTACACATCTTCACATACAATAAAATGTTATACAAGAATTTCGTCCTTAATAACTAGAAAGGCCTAAATATTAAATTTTCCGCCCATCTACATTATTAGTGAATAACGTGTTAACTGATGGTTAAGGCCGTGCGTGCACTGCGGTTCTATTGCCCTGATGCGGATTTGAAACAAGGTTGTAGATTGTAGAGTATGAAATATTGTCTCATCAGAAGCCCGAGTTCTGCGGCAAAAACTAAATCAGCGATTTTGATAATCTTTATAGTAAGTTTAGAATGCACGCCGCCTTCATTCGAGTTGTGCTAGTTAAAATGGAGATTACCAGCCTTCAGAATACAGAATAGAATGTGTAAGGTTTGAGTGTTCTTTATGATTAGCTAATGCCAAATTATCAAGAATATTGCTGTTATTCAGTTTTTAACCGACTTCAATGAAAAAGGTGGAGGAAATTCGAATGTATGTTTATATTTGTAATTGTGAATATTTATACTTTTGGCTTTTACACAAAAATATAACCAACAATGTTTGATTTTATACATGCCTAGGTAGAGCAATCCCAATAAAACACACAAAGAAAACAGTACCCTTAGAATGAACCAATTTCGAATTCCAACAGTTTGCGATTGCGAAATGTCATTGTAAAATTTTGTATGGAAACAACAACAGCAGCGCCATAACGGACGCAACGAGAACTAAATATCAGTACATATTTGACAATGGCATTTTGCACTCGCAAACTATTCGAATTCGATATCGTTTCGTGCTAAGATTACGGCTCATGTTCTAGTTCTCTAGGCGTGTATATAATCAAAAATATCAATTAAACTTTAATGATGCAACCCATAACAAATTTTAATGAGATTTGAATATTAAAGAAGGAAAACATTTACAAGGCCTATTTCGTAAACTTTGGGATCGATTTCTCTAGACTTTGTCTAAAATACATGAAATATAGGAACCAGATTGTTCAATGAGGACAGTTGATTATATAACAAAATCACTTATGTATTTTCACTGGTAGATGTAATGCGACTTTAATCGCTAATAATAGCCAATAAGTAAAGAATTTAAAAATTATAACAATGGATAGTACCCAGTGCCGGATTTAAGGCGGGACCCGGAGACCCCAAAAAAACTTGAACGAATCACCAAACCACAGGGGGGGGGGGGGGTGAAAAATAGTTTGCGGTCCGGCCCAGATTTAGGGATCTCTAGTCCTTCGCTGCCCCAAACGTTTAAATCCGGCCCTGATAGTACCCATATTAAGCAGAAGCATTTCCATGTATTATGGCAGTTAACAATTCCATGACTTTTTCAGCCATTATATTTTCATTACATGATATTTAACTAAGAAATAATTTAATAACTTAAAAGTAAATAGAGCTACACATAATGTTTGTGTTAATTGTGAAATAGAAAGATCATACTGCTTCGCTAGTATTTGTGACAATATGTTGATTCAATATTATGACATAAAAATTGTGATGATAAATTGTAAGCGTTTCTAGAGATGGAATTTCAGCATTAATTAATTCAATGGAATTTTAAAAAAACCAATGCCCCAATTTTTTTGAAGCATTGCAATATCTGAATTATTTTATACTAATAATAAAGTATTGCTAAAAACCACATCTGCTCAAATGCATCATTATAATACAAATCTAACTATTTACATATCTTGTACATTCTTCTAAACATTACAAAGATTCTTTTGAAAACTAAACTCGTATAGCAATTATACAGAACTAAAATCTCTGTGTTCACAACTTCTCTATAGCTTTCGTTTACGAAATAATTATAAAATAAAATTTCAGTCTTCTATTAAATAGTTAATTATAGATCGTTTAACTTAGATCTTTCAATACACAACAATGTAAAATACATTTTTTACAGTATCTTGAAAAAATTGACATATATTAGTAACTTAGAATTATAGGTAATATACACAAGCCTTCATACGTACTGACACCGAGTGTATACTAAACCATCACCTTAAAGTATCTAACATCAATAAGGATCACTTGATTTACCACAATACTCATCTCGGAAGCCCTTACATTTAATTCAACAACTCTATAAATATAAATTGGCTAATATTGTGCTTTCCCAATAGGGGAGGACTCGATGTTATCATTATATTATAATAATACATATTTTACAAGGATTCATCGTTCGTTTAGTGTATTTACGAACACTCAACTGTCAGTTTATATAAACACCACTAGTCCGGACCAGTACAAGAACGGAGCTGTGTCACTAATACTACAAATTGAATTTTAAGTCCCCAGTTTCTAATTCACAATTTATTTTTTATATCGTCGACGCTGTAAGTACCAGAAATCGCCAGGCTATTGCAATCCAGTGAACCCACTGTGACAATTCAACTCACGTTTTATGTTGTCACTGGCTAAGGTTGCTGGTTTGCCAATGTTTTCCCTTTTCTGCATTACCGAAGATGTCGAAAATTATTTGTGCCAACTCGGCAATGTTGGGCGCCAACTGTGACCCGAAGCAACAGACGTCCAATCGATTGATCTTGCACGAGTTTCAAGTAACGCGTCTGTGAACGGTGTACACGTCGTATACATAACCTCTTCAGTTACGGCGAATGCTCATATTAAAAGCTCGTTTACACGTCGCACGTTTTATGTCAGAGCTCACCACACATTGACTTGCATCTCTCATTAGACTAGATGTTTATACGTCGATTCAGTGAAGACTATGTTTAGTAAGCGCACGCACATCAGAACTCAAATTTAGATTGATTTAGTTACTGCAGGACGCACGCGCACATATCTCATCGGAGCTCACTTGTTACTTCATTCGATTATTAAATCTGCAATGTAATCCAGTACGCGTTCATTGGTCGCGCGTGTTTCACATCGTTGTTCACTTGTTACCGCGTTGAGAGCTGCGGCATGTACTGGCATGTCTTGGCGTGCGAGGACTCTGCCCAGGCACAGTATAGTTCACTTGTTACTGCTTTCTTTATCCGGTTCAGGTAGCATGCGGTTGAGACGCGATTGTGAAGGCGACACGAAGACGCGGGCACATCTTTCTAGAGCACATCGTAGTTGACTTGTTTCCGCATTGTCTGTTTGGTTGGCGCGCGCCCCTTTAGCGTTCTTCTTCGCGGCGTGTGCACATATTATTACTTCACTTGTTACTGCATTTTTAACCGGTTCAGTTAGCGTGCGGTTGAGACGCGAGTGTGAAGAGGACACGAAGATGCGGGTACATCTTTCTAGAGCACCTCATAGTTGACTTGTTTTGCGTGCGTGTGCGCATCTCACTAGAGCAAATCGTAGTATACTTGTTACTGCATTTTTTCTCTGATTCCGTTAGTGTTCGGTCGAGACGCGTGCGCGGATAAATCTTTCAAGAACATTACGTTCTCTAATCAAACTTCAATATGTAAACCGATTTGCGTGCGTGGCTGTATCTCACTAGAGCACATCGTGCGTAGATGGCGGATGTGGGGACATCGTTCTACAGCACATTGTAGTTCACTTGTGTCCACATTCTCTTGACCGTTTTGCGTGCGTGCGTGTATGTCACTAGACCGCATGGTAATTCACTCGTTTCTTCAGTTGGCGCGCGTTCGTTTCGTCGAAATGGCCCACATGGGTACAAACCGATTCGCGTGCATGGGAGTATTTCACTGGGGCACATTGCAGTTCACTGATTTCCGCGTTATTTATACAGTTGGCGCGCCCGTTCAACGTGCGGCTGCATCTCACTAGATCACATAGTGGTTCACTAGTTTGTTCAGTTGGCGCGCGCCCGTTTGGCGTGCGGTTGTGGGGCATGCGTGGGCGCAGAATGTCCCGCGTGAGCAGAATGGGCAGCGTGGGCGGGCGCGGGCCTGGGAGCGGGAGCGTCGTCGGCGAGACCAGAACGAAGCATGTACTTAAGTTGGGGCATGTGCTGCATCACGTCGCGGATCTGGACTAAAGCGAGGCCGTTCTCACCCGCGGCCGCGGATTTGCACTTGCCGGAGTTGCGGAGCACTTGCAGCTGCGTTCTGTAGTAGGAAGAAAAGAGAAATAAATATTTCCAACATTCAGACCAATTAGCCTAGCCCCGAAGTACTGTAGGCTTGTGTTGTGGGATAGAATTATATATAAGTATATATTAAACATCCATGACTGGAGTACAATGCTCGCATTCATCACACAAACATCTGTCCCCGCTAGTATTCGAACCCGGGACCTCTGGAGTAGGCGACACCATGACACCCGGCGTCAATAATTAAACTTTATTCAATTTCAGATCACAATAAATTACTTAGTTCTAAAAATAACAGAGATATGTAACTTATGCTATAGCCTGAACTAGGTTAATCTGTGTTTCAGGAATGGTGAAGTTAAAAGATCTGCACGATAATTATTGGACGCGAATCGATGGAATGGAAATGGAAGGTAAATTGTTAATGTCTCTTTAGTTTTTCCCTTTCGAAACTAAAGAAAGAATTACAATGTAGCATAAAGTAATATCTCTTCCCTGACTATGAACTTAAAAGGGATGCAGAAAGCGAAAAAGTTAAAACGATTCGGCTACAAATCAGCACATTGTCTCCCATCGCCTCGTGACGACTTAACATATTCGAATTTTATAAGAACAAAAAAGTCAATATTACCTAGCTTATTAGGTAATATTGACATTCATAGATCACGGCTCTTTTCTATGGATGGTGTAGGGAGACTAGGTCAAGATGCACCACGCGAGCCTAGTGCGGATTGATGGGTGCTAACGACTGCAAATGCAGCTGGGACCAACGGCTTAGCGTGCCTTCCAAAGAACGATGGAGTACATTTTTGGTCCAAAGACCAACCACTGCGAAATTTTCTCAACTTCAATGATCGCAACCGAACGCGCTAACCCACTTGTGAGTCGGTCAAACGGCAGCGTCATCAGCAGCTCCGAGTACTGGTACGGCTTGTGGGGCTCTGGTCATGTATATATACGCACGAGTTGGGCCGGTACAGAGTGAGCCCCAGCGCGTCGAGCATGGCGCGGCAGGTGGCGAGCGCCACGCGCGGGGAGAAGTGGCTGGCGAGGTCGGGCAGCGTCATCAGCAGCTCCGAGTACTGGTGCTGCTTGTGGGGCTCTGGTCATGTATATATACGCACGAGTTGGGCCGGTACAGAGTGAGCCCCAGCGCGTCGAGCATGGCGCGGCAGGTGGCGAGCGCCACGCGCGGGGAGAAGTGGCTGGCGAGGTCGGGCAGCGTCATCAGCAGCTCCGAGTACTGGTGCTGCTTGTGGGGCTCTGGTCATGTATATATACGCACGAGTTGGGCCGGTACAGAGTGAGCCCCAGCGCGTCGAGCATGGCGCGGCAGGTGGCGAGCGCCACGCGCGGGGAGAAGTGGCTGGCGAGGTCGGGCAGCGTCATCAGCAGCTCCGAGTACTGGTGCTGCTTGTGGGGCTCTGGTCATGTATATATACGCACGAGTTGGGCCGGTACAGAGTGAGCCCCAGCGCGTCGAGCATGGCGCGGCAGGTGGCGAGCGCCACGCGCGGGGAGAAGTGGCTGGCGAGGTCGGGCAGCGTCATCAGCAGCTCCGAGTACTGGTGCTGCTTGTGGGGCTCTGGTCATGTATATATACGCACGAGTTGGGCCGGTACAGAGTGAGCCCCAGCGCGTCGAGCATGGCGCGGCAGGTGGCGAGCGCCACGCGCGGGGAGAAGTGGCTGGCGAGGTCGGGCAGCGTCATCAGCAGCTCCGAGTACTGGTGCTGCTTGTGGGGCTCTGGTCATGTATATATACGCACGAGTTGGGCCGGTACAGAGTGAGCCCCAGCGCGTCGAGCATGGCGCGGCAGGTGGCGAGCGCCACGCGCGGGGAGAAGTGGCTGGCGAGGTCGGGCAGCGTCATCAGCAGCTCCGAGTACTGGTGCTGCTTGTGGGGCTCTGGTCATGTATATATACGCACGAGTTGGGCCGGTACAGAGTGAGCCCCAGCGCGTCGAGCATGGCGCGGCAGGTGGCGAGCGCCACGCGCGGGGAGAAGTGGCTGGCGAGGTCGGGCAGCGTCATCAGCAGCTCCGAGTACTGGTGCTGCTTGTGGGGCTCTGGTCATGTATATATACGCACGAGTTGGGCCGGTACAGAGTGAGCCCCAGCGCGTCGAGCATGGCGCGGCAGGTGGCGAGCGCCACGCGCGGGGAGAAGTGGCTGGCGAGGTCGGGCAGCGTCATCAGCAGCTCCGAGTACTGGTGCTGCTTGTGGGGCTCTGGTCATGTATATATACGCACGAGTTGGGCCGGTACAGAGTGAGCCCCAGCGCGTCGAGCATGGCGCGGCAGGTGGCGAGCGCCACGCGCGGGGAGAAGTGGCTGGCGAGGTCGGGCAGCGTCATCAGCAGCTCCGAGTACTGGTGCTGCTTGTGGGGCTCTGGTCATGTATATATACGCACGAGTTGGGCCGGTACAGAGTGAGCCCCAGCGCGTCGAGCATGGCGCGGCAGGTGGCGAGCGCCACGCGCGGGGAGAAGTGGCTGGCGAGGTCGGGCAGCGTCATCAGCAGCTCCGAGTACTGGTGCTGCTTGTGGGGCTCTGGTCATGTATATATACGCACGAGTTGGGCCGGTACAGAGTGAGCCCCAGCGCGTCGAGCATGGCGCGGCAGGTGGCGAGCGCCACGCGCGGGGAGAAGTGGCTGGCGAGGTCGGGCAGCGTCATCAGCAGCTCCGAGTACTGGTACGGCTTGGCGTTGATGCACGGCACTAGAGTGTTCTCCACTAGCGCCTTGTGCACCTATGAGAAATACGGATTATGAATGTTGATTTGTTTCTGAACCCATTCACACCTCCCATTAAATGAAACGAGTTTTTCAATGGGTTTAAAATGGGTAAGTCAGGATGCGTCGTAAGAATTATTAGCATGCTGTAAAGGATGCGAAACATCAAGCTTTGTAAAAAACTAATAAAAGACGCATTTAAACCCGTTTAAGCGTGTTTCATTTTCCTAACCCCTTCATAATCCCTATTAATTCTTATTCAAATTCTTAGATGGAAGGTATCAATCAAGTCTAGCCTAGTGTAATATCGAGTCAAATCTATCCACAAGCTAAAATTAAGCTCTCATTTAACCGAATTGGCGTCTTTTTTAAATACCTGATTCTTGATGCATAGAGAAGACAAAAAGTCATAGTCACATAAAATACGAACTGTAAGTGACTTTATCTCTGCCGGTTTTGGCAACGAAACTTTACTTATAGTAACAGACAGCCAAAAAAAAACGGCCAGTCGGTGACGTGCATACTGATCAATGGGCCACTGTGTAAATGCCACGCTACACCACAATTCCTTGTCAAAAAAAAACTGGCAACATATCGATTGCGCGCCACGATTGACAACTGTCCGCCATCTTATACCATTTCCCCTGTACACAGTGGCGATGGCCTGATGTGGTCAAGACAGGCCCATTGTGTAATCTGCCGACCTCAAACTAAAATGCGGCTAAGTGACATGTGGTCGATTTTTCAGTCTTAAATTGCATCGTATACAGTTTTTAATTCTCTATCGATCTGTCTATAACAAGTATTCGTATCTTTTATAGTTTCAGTCTAAAAATCCGTCATGTGATGAATGGTTACAAAATAGCAATAATTTAAAGTTTACGTGCAGTTTTTTGGCCATATCTCACAACTTGTTTTTGACATTTAGCCGCGTTTTAATTTGAGGATGGCAGTAATGGGCACCTAATAAATCAACGTGATTATCTTCTCAATCTTTCGTTGGTTTTCGTTCGGCCAGTGTGTACCAAGCAACTTTTAGCATAACTCTAGAATCAGATGGTGGAGGGTATTTTTTTATGTTCGCCAGTGAAACTCTATCAGCGGCCATTTTGTATCAAGTTTTTATAATAGGCTATTTGTGAAAAATAAAGTAATAATGAAATATAAAAGTACTTTATGATCTATTGTCACGTGACCAAAAACGCCTAGAATTGGCGGAGCCTTTTTTTAGGTACTTAAATTTGTTTCCTATTAAGTGTTATCCATCACTTCCTAACTTCAAGTTACATCATAGGGAATCAAAAATTGAATAAATCCATCAAAGGCTTTTAAATATTTTAACAGATTTTAGTATTTAATGGACAAAATACTCGACTGTACACTTTTTCATCCTTAGAATACCATGCGAACCTCCTCACTCATCGAACTAATTTTAAATATTCTGGTCTTCAGCCGTCACTTACCTTATACGGCGTATGGTTGCCAGTAACGTTGATATCTGGTATTGGGGTTAGCCTTTTCCGGCTGTCCATCGAGTGAGAGGTTGAGTGGCCATTCATACTCCCAGTCACTTGCGGGGGCACACTGGGCAACAAACAAAAATGAATTCTCTTAACTACCATTATGTGGAAATAAATCTACTTTATTCTTTAATTTATTAAGTTACAGCCCTCTTTTTTTGGACTTAAACTTCCTTAATTCCAAAACGCAGACTAAAATTAGTCTTGGTTTAAATATGTTGTCCCTGGTGTCGATTCTGGCATGATTCTCTAAGCCTAAACTTTAATTTGACAACAGTGTATCCTTGTCACGCTCTATACATAATGAAAAGGAGAGACTCATGTTAAAGTTAGTTTTCAGTTTAGAGAATCATACCAGAATCCGACACCTCCGTCTTCTTTTTAGCAAACAAAAGTGTCAGCATTGGTTTTAGCACAGTTTAACTTTACTCTACGTTTTGTAATAAGGTGGATCAAGTTGGCAACTGCCATTTGTAGCATTTTACGTTCAGTTTCAATAATCGACCTCCAGTAAAAGGTAGGAAGTTTCTGGTTTCGTTTCTTAGCAACAGTTGTTATTCTAATCTCAATAGTAATAATATTGACGCAACAATTCTCAGGCATAACTCTTACTGGAGTATGTAGGTTATTCACGTATAAAAACAAGTAGACTCCCAATCGCATAACAAAATTGCATCAAAAAATTTCCGAGCAGCGATGCGATGTCTTCACATATGCATCCACTTATACAGATAACATTAACACATTTATTCAACTGAACACTTTATATTCTAGCAGTAAGGTTCAATGTCAATTGCATACGAAAGAGAAAGAGAGGGTTTGAGAGAGACATACATGATCATGTGACTCGTAACTATTAAAATGTAATTAATTAACAAAACTATATAAGCCATGATAGTGGCATAATTATGTTACTTTTAAAGCCCAGTTTTTAACCGAAATCTTTGTAATTGCGTGACGTTTGAGGACTGTTTGAAAATTACGCACAATATACACGTGTGCGTAATTTTGGTTCCGACATTTTTGAGAGCGATTATGAGTCTACTTGTTTTTATATGGCAATGCTTTTAGATAGGCGGTAATTTAGAATATTTTCATATAGCTCGGCAGAGATGTGAGCTTGCAAGGGTTAGCTCCCTCCCACAGAACATGTAGAGTTGATTAAATAAAAGGCCATTATAAGTTTGGATAATATGGTATATTATGTACCAAGAAAAAACTGTAACAAAATATTCCATAAATTGAAAAATATACTAACAAACAGACTAAAACTAATCCAGTAAGTAATATTCAAACCAATAGGTACGGTTTGACGTTTTTGCACAACAAAAACATTGTTTTTATATTGGCAATAACAAAAAACAATCTTATGACATTGTTGCCAGATAATTGATATTTGAATTGAATGTAAAATCACAAATCAACATCTTGGAATAGAAAATGGCCAATGGATTTCATTCGAATATTGAGGGACCCTGCACCGTTCAAGCTCACGAATTTGCCGTCTTGATGTCCCATTCTCGGGCAGATCAATATAGAAAACTGACCTTTTCACATTATCTTAATTGGTCGTTGTAACAGATAACAACGAATTAGAAGTGATATGGAAGCATTATTCTCTAACAAAGACAGTTAAAACATGGCTCTAAAAGTCATAGAGTTAACTTCAATACTAACGCGACACGCATACAGACAAATCAAATATCTAAAAATCAATTTGGCTAGATATACATTAGTTAAGTTAAACGGAAATCCCAAACAATCACATGATCAGCGTGTTGATCGCAGTTTTTTCGCCCCACCCACTTGATCGCAATTTGCGTGGAACCACTTTTGAGCCAAATTCGTATTCCATATTATTTCTAATTCGTTACTTGATTTCCAATATTTACATATTAAAATAACACTTTAAGAAATAATATGACTATAACAATGTTCAGTATAACAAAAGATCTTATACGAAAAATTAAACGAAAAATATAATGGTGATCATAACACTAACATAATCAAATTATGGTTTACTACGAGTAACAAACTACGAGTTTGTCGGTTTATTGATAGGTAGTATATTTTATATTAAGATCAGCAGTTTACTTTAGTCTCTCCTATTCAGTTTAGGACCCTAAGACCCACTAAGTTAATACAATAAAGCTTATTTCTGGTAAGCAACTCAATAGTTAGGTATAATAAATTTGTTTGAATAACATAAAATCATAATTCGTAGGGATGCAAGCGAACGATGCGATTTTGTCGCAAGGTAAATGAACTTCGTAGTCAGAAGTAGGCTATCTGTAGTTTTCTAAAAAGGTATGAACTATTGCATTTTGTTTCTTCAATTTAGCTTTTCACGGATATATAGAGACATACAGTTTGCCCATTTATTATTATTTCTTTGAAAAGGGTGGCCAGGTCAAAAAGGCCAACATGGAAAAAAGTAATATTGCCTTGCAGCGAACTGCCAACTCTGTAATCTGCAAGCAGCAATATTTAGGTGTCGCAACGACATCATGCATCTAATCCCCACTGCTAATTTCTTTATGGCGAATAAATAGCATCGTTCACTTATTCCATAGTTTACCAATCCGGACATAAATAGTAAGTATAACGCACCAAATGCCGTTATATTTAAATTTCTACAATGAAATAAAGAAACAAACACAGTGCCAAGACAATGGCGAATGGAATAATTATAATTTGAGATGAGAATAGCTAGTATGTAATTCAAATGAATTGGTAATTATTTACAAGTCATTTAAGAATACAAAAAGAATGTTTAAAGTAGTTATAATCAATCACTACTAGTAACAACACAACGAGTAGTTTCACGAGCCAAGTTCAACACATTAAACGCCCAAAAGTGAACTAAATACAAGCCATTCTCATTCTGTTTTGTCTACAAGTTGATTCTAAGTGATTTTAAAGATTGCTCACTTCATAGTCGATGTGTTGGCTGAGCTCCTCACAAGAAGTGGAGGGGGCTGCTGACCCATCGCCATTGTTATTGCACTGTTCGGAAACTGAAACGAACGATAACACAAACATAATTTATGTGGCACCTCGAAAGAGCAAGACCTAAAACCAGTGCCAAAATAAACTTCCGCTGATTAAAAAAATAATCAAATAAAAAACTGTTAATTTATGCAACTTGATATTTTTGATAACAAATCCGTGTCTAAATACATAAGGAAAAACGGAAACAAAAAAATATGATTAATATCTTTAGAACTGCCATCTAACTACTTAATGCAACTACAACAAAGAAATTACACGTTTTATAGAGAATTCAATGAGTAATTTTGTTTTTTCCTGTATGTTTTGCTTTCTACTAGGAATTGTCTTAGAAGAATTTATACAACGCGCGGATTTAATTTCAAAAATTTGGTAGCTTGTAAATAAAAAGTAAATAAATAATTTTAACTAAGTTATTTATAAGGTGGCGTTGCAATTAAATAATCTCCATCCTTTACAATGCTGTTGTCAACGACAATAATTATCGTTGGCTGTAATGTTGTGTACCTACAATAAAGTGTACTCTATACTATTGCAACGGCATTCGGGTCTAATTTTTAATGTAATAGGTCCTTTCTCGAGTATAAAATTTTTATCACTTTGGTACTTATTTTTATAAATGCGCTTTTTTAATATGGTATTATTTTATTTAAGTGTGATAACCATTGAATAACCTAGTACTACGCTGTACCGTACCGTGTGAAGACGTGACATTCACCTGTACATTCCGTTGGTGTTGGTTGCGGTGTTGCGGTATGGAGTTAGCCACTGCGGCGGCCGCGATGGCAGCATTGTTGTACCTCGCCGCCGCCTGCGCCTGAGCAGCGACTTGCGCCTATTGACACACCACTACTTAGCATTCACGAATTTTGACAATTATTCACACGAAGGACTTTAGTCCGCGGAGAACAATCAAATCTCTGAAGGGTAAAGAACTTGTCACGGACTCAACGCACACGACGTGCGAACATTTGTGCCCGAAAATTTAGAAAACACGCGCTATGGAATTAAATATTCTTAGATTACGTTGTGTTGTAATTAAAAATAGAATACTAGGTCCATCGCTTTACATAGGATCAAGCGCGCAACGCATACCGAAGTTAGCTGTGTGCGTTTGCCGCGCCTAGTCACTTGAGTTCTATTTTTTCGGGGACACCCGCGTACTTTTGCCCTGTCCGGTCTCTCGATTGTTCGGGGGACTCTTTGTACGCGGTGCTTTTAATGCGCTGTGTGCCTTACTTTATGAAGTTGTAAGCGATCTATTTTGGCGGACAAAAGACAGCGGACAGAAGTCCCTTATCTATGTATTAAGGTATTTTAATAAAATGTTGTTTATTTGGTACAATAAACTGCTGGATTTATAACCCTAATAAAAAAATACTAGAAAAACGGCTCGGACAAATTATTTGGATAAAGACATAATCTGTTTAAAAATCAACTTTCAAGTTTCAGCGTTTACGTTCCTATAGGAAAAATACTAAATAAAAACTACTGATGATACTTATATTCTTAACAACTAGTTGAAGCTTGAAGGGCAAATATCGCGCAGTACTTGCTTGCAATATCGAGGTACCACTACCGTCATTTTTTCAACTATGGGTATGCTCTTGACCTGAATTCGTGCGAAAGTTCAAGATTGTATATAATTGAGACAGAAACCACTTTATATAATATGTTTATGGACGTTATAAAAATCCTTTTCAATGTTTAGCTATCCAAGCTCCAAGCAAGTGGATAAACTCCACAGTCGATATGGATAGACTGCGCACACTGTCGAAATAGTCGAGATTATGGCATCATTATGCCATAATCTCGACTATTTCGACAGTGTGCACTTCGACTGATTAAGGCGTGATTTTTCGGGAATTAATTGGTAAAGAAAAACAATATGTTTACACACAGGGGAGCGTCAACTTACTGCAGATTTTGTTGCAGTCAAGACAACTGCATCGATTCAACAATGACTCGTATTTAAGACGAACTGCACGACAAACTCAAAACTGCAGTTCATATTTAACGAAGTTATCAAATACTATCAGATATTATCATCTATAATGTTAGTTACAAAGCTAGCAATTCTAATGACTTTTCATTTCATTTCATTTCAAAGACTGCAACCACACGGCTGCAGTTGCAACAGTTTTGATGCTGCTGTTTCAACTGCACTCACCAACTATAGGTAGGAGTTATAACACAAAACTTATACTCCTTATTACGAAACCTGGCCAGACGTTAAACCCGGTCTAAATGATAAGCAGGTCTAGTAAAGAAGGTGCTTGACTTGCTATATCTGGGATCCTGGTGGGCTGATCGACCAGTTGTGTCAAAATCATGCGTTAGAGTAATTGCATGGGCAGAGATCCCTGCATGGTCAGTTTTGGAGGATCCCAACCACAAACTGTGGTGGGTTAACACCACTAAAGTCCCCCCAAAACACCAGTTCTGCGGTGGGAAATTGCGCCTGGACATCATCTGCTACCGTACTAAGATGGTCAAACAGTCGAGTTGTCTCAGCGTCGACGGTGAGGGAACTGTAGAGGGACACGTAGACTCTGGCTGAAGGACCAGAGTCTACATGTACGTATGTATGTATGTGGAGGCACGTATGTATGTATGTGGAGGCACCTAAGAAAGATATACGCTGACCCACCGGACGGAATCGGTTCGACGGATGCCTCCACTGGACCAAATCCGTCGCGGCAATCTCCACCCGAGCTATGGTTGTACGCTAGCTGATCTCGAAACGCGAGTGAAGCACTTCACAGGTTTTTTACCATACGTACGGTGGTAACAAACCAGGCGGGTGGTAGGTACCCTGCCACCAGAAGAGCAGATGGAAGCTCTGATATCCCTCAATCACTTCTTACGACACCCGCGGGAAGTGAAGGGGCGGTGAATGGTATTCTTTCTCCGTCACCGCACGGAAAAAACCGCTGCGGAAGAGAAATATTTACCACCAAGGATTGCACAAAATCTTTACTCCTTTTCAGTGGACAGAATTAATGCAATCCTATTGGTTAATGTTTCTTCGTTTCTCCGCTCCAGTGGACTAGCATCCTTAAGCTGGAAACACAGGGCCTCGTAACTCACAGACCACCCCAGGCGTTTCCACGCCCGTCTAGGCCTGTCGTAGCCCATGCCAAGCCTCCTATGCTTTACCGACTCGACTCGATCTGACGAATGACGGGACGGCACGTCTCATTGTATGTGGTTGTTAGTCGCGATCTGTAGGCCAATTAGCAAATTTTTTTGACATTCACAGAGTGTAACTGAAGATTAAATTGCATATTCAAGACAAGTTCAGGACAGACATAATCTTTGTGGCGTTAGGTGACGATGGTTGGTGTAGCAGTTTATCACTGCTGCACCAGCTATCTTCGCGTCTAGACTTTACCACCACTTAACATCAAGTAGCGCAGAGTCATTTGCTTACCTAGCTATAAAACAAGGCGGACAGCGTTTAAAAGTGCTTGTATAATACCTGTGCCAGCCGCAGCACCTGCTGCGTCTGCGCCTGTGTAAGTGATGCGGGCAAATTCCAGCTGTTGGCGAGGGCCTGAACGGCGGCGGCCGAGATGCCTCCGTGTGGGATCTGCATGGCGGCGGAGGCCGGCGAGTGCCTGCTGTTGTTGGCGCGCCGCCCCCGCGTGGGAGCGTTGCCCACGCCCATGCCCACAGCGGAGCCCACGCCCGCCACTCCGCCCGGCGGCGGCGCTGGCGGCGCCCGCGTCCACTGCCCGCCGCCCGATACTGTCCCTAATAACCATAACACATGATTCAACCTCAGAATGCAAGCAAATCAGCTGCTAGCGGGCGACTTTCCTGCCTGGATAAGCCAGTCCCGTTGCGCGAGCATTGCATATAATATTTATCAGACTTTTGGAACTCTCAATTGTTAAAGTAGGTACTACGGAGTTTGATAGTTAGCCATGATAAAAACACACAGAAAGAGGTTAGAAGGGTGGTCATAAACGGAAACCGATGTCGCCGGCTCGCCCCCCCTAACACTTCCACCTAATAGATCAACCGAACCAATCGGCTCTCACACCCGTGAGCAACGACGCATACAGAACCAAGTTTTGGTCAAGTTATGAGCATTCGTTCAAACATAACTGCGGCGCACCTGCCCCGCCCACAAGGCTCTTCTAACCTCTTTCTGTGTTCTGCGGTAAAAAAACAACTTAAATATCATATCGTAGTCCTCATGCTAGAGAGTTACGAAGGCAGTTTCGTCGATAAATATAGAATAATATAGAAGTTTCGAATAGCAATCTGCTGTTTTAATTCATGTAGCAGATAATGTGCTTTTGTCTGCTGGGTTTTTCTCTGTTGCCTGCACTTAATTTGACCCGCATTTACGTTTCGAATAGGCTATTAGTGACTTTATCAACGAGTGGTAAAACAGGCCCTTCATCTTGTCTTGGCAGTGCTGGAAGCGCCCACGTTCCTTTCAACTGTCACACACAATTCATCCGCAGAATTCAAACACTTGGTGACATTCCAGCGCGGATAAGTCAGATCATTAAACGTTTAAAGGCGCTGGCGGCTCCTGCGTCCACTGCACGTCGCCCGGTATTGTCCCTAACAACCATTACACAATTGAACCTCCTTAGAATGCAAATAGCTGGCGAATTTTCCGCGATCAGATCATTTAACATAGGTAGAGTTGCCAGACTGAAAAATATAATTACTTAGATTCTAGATAACCTTTCAAAGTGTGGAAATTTTGGAGATGTTCTGGAGAAATGAAAATATATGTTTCAGTTTCTGGTACTTAAGTCTCATTTACTACTTTCTAATTATCTATATAAAACTTATACATGACGATAAGTAGTTTTCTAGAAGATTTTGTTGCTTATCAGAAGTCTGCACTCCTGCATTCCTGAGCATGTGGCTACCTTATAAATATAGGGTTAGTTTCACCAGCTCCTGCTAAATTTTAAGATTGTCATCTACGGGTATAACACTATCATATTATATGCTTTATCAACTAGATTTCTTTCCAAGACTTTTAGAATATATTTTTTTAGTTTAAGTCCCGACCAAGTTATTATAGACTTCATCAGCAAGTGGTAAAACAGGCCCTTCATCATATTAGACAATAAATAATCTTTGAAGTGCAGAGGAATTGCAGCACCTTCCTGGCTTTACTATCACTATACTTCAGTAATGGCAAATATGTCATCATCTAGTGGGATTCTTAGAAGAACATTACTGTCTGTTCTGAACCAGTATATAATGCATATAATGAAATGGCAGTTGATCAGTTTTAACTATTGAATTCTAGTTTAAGGCCACCTATTTATGAAAGTCTAGTCACTCATAATTTTAGGAATAGTAGCTTTAAATTGTATTATAGTTCTGGCATCTTGCAGTCCACACTTCTTTTTCTTTCTTTCTTTTCTTTTCAGATTTCTTCTTTTCAAGGTTCTCAACACTTACTGTACAATCTTGTGTATCATGAGTATAGCTTTTATCACAGAACTTCAAATGACATATTATTATTATAAATAAGCATATCAGCAGATCGCACTGACTTCATTTTAGGCATTCACTCATTTATTAGATATTCAAAACTCAAAATTTTGTATGCCAGAATCATAAATTAGGCATAAATTTAATATCCATAATAATTAAAAACCATCATATGGTAGAAGCTTTTCTGAATTGTCTTTTAGAATACAAATATTTAATTTTTATATATCTAATATCTATGGTGGCTGGCGCTTCACCGACAGTATTCTAACCTATACTACTGATCACAAACACTGATTATTATACTTAGCAAACTTGTGCAGAATAAAATTTTGCCCAAGGTAATAATGCTTTAAAAAATTGTGCTATCTTAAAAGTATGGCATTATAGGCATGCGTCCGATATATCAAAACGAATCCAAAATCCGATTTCAAACACAAATCGATACCGAACGATTTCTCAACAAGAAAATCCGATTTCAGAAATCTAACCGAACCAAAACGCGATTAGCGATCTAATACCACCACAAGTATCCAAATGTAAATCGGATTCGAAATTCGTGCTTTCGTTTTCGGAAGTCCGATTTCGTGCTTCGAAGTCCGATTTCGGTTTGCTGTTTACGGAAATCTATTGCTCTTCTCTAAGGTGGGATTATTTATCACTGAAAAGAGATGTCGTCTAAAATATCAAAAGTCGAGCAACTTACATTTTTGAACGCCAACCTGAAGTAATTAGGTTTGATTTTGTAAATGGTTTGAAAAATAATAAAAACAAACAGAAAAACAAAAAAAAAATACTAACAAAATATGTAAAAAGAAATCATTTTATATAAGCCGATTTTTAAATGCGCCGGAAAAGTTTTACTCTTAACCGTAAACATAACTTTTCTGCTAGTCCTAAGCCTAGATTTAAAGCATGAAAGAAAATCGCGCAAACCTACGAGTATCCTTGCTTCCTACAATTAATTGTTTGTGATTGTCGTTAGCTAATAAAACCAAATCATAACACAAACTAGTGAATTGGCTAAGTTAGGCACATCTGAAATCCGATATCTAAAAACGGATTTTAAAATCGATTTTGAAATCTGAAATTCGATAAATATCCGTTTGCGTTCAAAACCAAAAACGCCCATGTCTATGGCATTATGAATTCAGACATATAAACATTCATAAAAACTAAAATTATATTAAAATAATACAAAGCTCTAAATATTTTTTTGAGGAATATAATACCAAGGATGTTATGCCTAATGAATTACAGAGCAACACTCTGCCAGACTCAGGAAACCCATCTGCCATAAAAGATAAATTTCTAATAACCCTTAATATTTGTTTTTATCTAATAATAATGAAGATGTTGACTTACAAGTAAGCTGATTGTTTACTAAGTTTTGATTATTTTATCCAGAAACCTTATTTGAATTTCAGTATGTTTCTTTGACATTAGGTACACAATTCTGACAATATGCAGACACCATGCTCTTATGAGAGTTTGATATTTTAACTCCATTCTTTAAAAAAACTGTTTCAGTCCTCTTTTTTAAGTGCATGCATTATAAATAAATAAGCAGGAAAAAAATATTTTCAAGCATATGCAGTGAAGGATAAACGAATTGTGCATTGTTAATGAATATGCTTTATAATTTATCCACTGTATAAATAAAGAGATATCCAGTTACATATAAAAATAATAATAAATAAATAAAAGCTATTGTAACCAAACTACTACATCCTGCTTAGGCCTTAATTGTGTACTTCTTCTGCATTCTGCGATTCCCTACATTTTATGCAAGGGAGATTAATTTATGGTATATCACATCTCATGTACAATGGTCCACTTAAGGACTAAGTGCAGACAATGAAGGAGATCACAGAAACACTTAAAGTAAGACAAATATATCCCTGGTTGAAGCATGAAGCTCTATTTAAAAAGGTAATTAAAATTGTATATTCACCTTTGGCAGATATGAGCAGTTGCGAATCGACCACTTTGTTAGGCCAGTACTCCTCAAACTCTGTACCGGGTGGGAAGTAGCTTTTAATGTCTGATAAACTGATCACAGAACATGTCTCACTTGCAAATAATTCATTTCTGATCCCTTGCACTTTACAACAAAACTTCAGATAAGATAAGTCCCAGCCCTTCAACTGATCTGCTTTCAACTTTAAATTGTCCGTTTCACCTTCAAAGTAGAATAGAGGAACAAACTTTTGACCATCCCTAACTGTATACGGAACCACAGATTCTTTGTTTATTCGAATAAAACCACATTTGTCCTTGCTGTTGGTCGTACCCCTCAACAGCTTATTGTAACACACATCCAAGAAGTTGTAAAACTCATAAGCGTCTGATAACCGAACCACTAAGTCTTTCTGCGTGAAGGGTTCACGACCAAACTGTCCATCACAATGTCTGTTGTTGATCTCGTTGAGAAGCCGCGCTTCGATTTCTGTGATATAGTAGCTCCTGATGCAGGTGCAAGAGTAAATGTCCGCATGCAGGTAGTTCAGGTACTTGTTGAGAAGTTTGATCTCCACCATTCTGACCGCCACGTACTTCTCGCCAGAGCGGTAGATGTAAGGAATGTGACATTTTCCCAGCATATCCCATCCGAAGTGACCCTTCCAACTCGCTTCGTCGGGCGCTGGTGTCTTTTTCTCGGCGTCCGGTGCGGGCCGCGTGTCGGCGGCGGCGGGGGCGCCCGGTTTTCGCGCCAAGAAGTTCAGGATGCCTAGTTGGCCGCCTGCGCCCGGGGGCGGCACCCCCACGAGGGCCCCCGGCGGTGGCCTCGCTGCCGCCACGGAAGCCGCCAACGCCTTAGCCTTGTTGGCCTCCACCATTTTTGCAGCCAACTCCCTGATTTCGGCCTCGTCTGGCCTCTCAGTCTTCACCTTGACCAACGTTGTGTCCGTCATGTTTCCGGCACCCGACACGCTCCCAGGGTAACCTTCAAAACACTGAGTCCTGAGATTTGTTTAGGCGCATCACACAAAATACGAGCACGACCCAGGACTACATCCTGGCAACGATCCACGAGCACTTTTCGATCTTTTAGTATACGTAAACAAACGCACTGAACGTGCGTGACATACACTTATCACTCCACACTTTTGACAGATTAGAGTATTAAAATTGATATCATTTATCAATGATTATCAATCAATATTTTATCCTAAATTCACTGCTGTTAACCACACATATCCAAGCGATGAGGGTGAACACCGATGGAAATTCCTGTATCCAAGTTTGTTTGACACTAACTTCTCTTATCAGTTTTCCAGGTGTTTGCGTAATTTCTGTTTGTTTTCAACATAAAAAATACTTATCGAAAACAGGCGAAATTGTAATTAAGTTAGCCACGCCGTGGTAGCTTTGGAACACGAAACCCAAATTTTGTGTTCTGTTCAGGGAAATACCAATACCGTTGTGTAGTCTCGTGGGGAGTGCGCATTAATTCAGTACATTTTTCACCTTTTGGTGACTCAGCATCGACAAAATGGCCGCCAACAAGGCTTTTGTTGGCCAATCGAGCCATTGCTAGTGGTCATACATACCTACAAAACTTCTATCAGCGTGACGTAGACGCACTCCCCACGAGACTACTTCTCAAGGACTTTTCATTTATTCAAAATTCTCTTGATTCTTTCAAAAAACACCACTTAAACTATGTTATTAATTCATTACAGAAATATTATCTAAAATAAAACAGTTATTATTACTCAAACAACTCGAAAATTCTTATTCCACAATTAACCTAATAATAATTTATGAATGTACTTTTACAAAGTTAGTCACTATAAGTAGTCTCGCTACAGAATTTTCGCATACGTTTGACGTACTACCGTAATGTGCTATAGAAGATTCAACCTTATGACAATACAATAAGCTCCGCCTATGACATAGCGCTAGCAATTTTGACCCTTACGGCCGGGTGTAGCGAGACTAGCCGACGCGCGCATTCCTCGAACAAAATCCCCTACGGGAAAGAACGAGATAGCGATATCTTAAAAAGTAGTTGTCAAATGTTTAGGTATTTTACTATGAACAACGAAAAGTAGGTAGGAATATAATGCAATTACAAGCTTACGTAAGTATTTTAACCTACTTAACCGCCGTCGGTAATGTTATTGTTTGAAGGATTTTTTTACTTCGACTCTACCCACAATAATTAATCTAAGGTTTTTGTAAAATTTATATAGAAAAAATCATGTTAGGTACCTACTTTCGAAGGTAGACAGATACCGTTAAATTACTGTTATTTCGGTAGCTACAGATACAGTACGCGCGATGTGAATACACCAAACTTAAAAGATTTATTTATAGATACAGCATGCTCTAATTTGCACCAAATTTAACCAAGAAAATAATATCCTTTTTTCCGAAATGGCCGATAGTATGTAGACTCTATGATTAAATGACATAAAGATTAAATTATATAGTCTTATACTAAGGTGGCTAGCAGATTGCTTAAAATGGTACCTAACTGAGATTGAAAACTAAAATAAATGATTTCGATGACCTCGATAGTAGAGTCACAAAATAGGTCTTTTCTGTGGTAGAGTGGTAGCTCGAATCCCAGTAGAGCCAAATGTTTCTATATTTAATACGAGTATTTGTACCTATTAGAGTAATTTTATTAAATAAACAAGTCATTACTGGTAATTTTATTTTTAGGGTTCCATCCATACCAAAAAGTTAACCCCTGTTACTGTCACTCTGTCATCTGTCTGTCCGTCTGTCCTTAAGTCACAGGTCTCTAGATCGTAAACGGAATGAGTTACAGAACTGAAATTTTTGTATTTTATGTAGAATGCTTGTCCAAAGCCAAATATTTAGTTAAAAATTCAATTAAATAATTTTTCATGGGGAGTCCCATACATGAAAAGGAGACTAAAATTACTTTTTAGAGTTCCGCACCCAAAGGGTAAAAACGGAACCATATTACTAAAGCGGGTTACTGACATCCCTGTCGCAGGGCCAATCTAGGGCGCACGACGGACGGGGTAATATCGACTTGTCTCTACACATATGCCTGCTATTCAGTCAGTGTTCGGGTATAAGTTGACCTAAACACACGCGTTGATAATATAATGACCCTAGTATTATCAAAATATCGGTAGGCCGGGCCTTGGCTCTTTCTATGATGTTAGCGCAAAAAAGGAAATACTGGGTTATGAATTGGCAACAGAAAAAAATGTATTGTAAATAAATTGTTTGTGTTTTTTACACATGTGGGGCAGATCTTTATATACTCCTATCACTCGAGACCAAACTTCATGCTCATTATAATCTGCTGTCATGTTGATCGAAATATGTGCGCTCCGTGTGATAGTTACCAACCAACTGATTAAGAAATTGCCCCGATTGCGCAACATACGTGACAACGTGCAGAACGGCAGGGACAATCTAGGTAGCAAGAGTGGTCTCGCGCCCCTGCCGCCCTGCCGCTGGGCCAATTTAAAAAATTGCCCCTGCTTACCAACACACATCACAATTAAAGAGGCCGACTGACGTGCATGCCGCAGGGACAATCTAGGGTGCACGGCGGTCGGGGCAATATCGGCTTGTCTCAACACACATGCCTGCTATTCAGTGTTCGGGGGTATGTTGAGCTAAACACACGCGTTGATGCTTGTCCCAGTGTTATCAAAGAATCAGAAGATCGGTAGGCAGGGTCTTGGCTTTTTCTATGGTGTTACCGCACAAAAGGAAATACTGGTTGAGGAATTAACAACACAAAGAAATATATTGTAAATAAATAATGTTTATATTACTAGAAAAAAATCCACGCGGACCTGGCAGCAGACGGGCTCGAACCCGCACCCTTCGCTATCCGGGCGAATGCACTGATCAATTATGCTGTGGCGGCCGTGACGGCCGTATGGAATACTTTTTAGCCTTTCTTAAGCTGCAAGGCAGCGCCATCTCTTCGCATTATAAGTAACCCACAGTGTCAAATGAATTCCTTTACAAGTATTAAACATTTGAAAGAAGAAATAGCAATTACAGTTATAATTTTTTTTTTTTAAGCATGTAACTGCTCAATATTTGAATCTAAAGAAAATATGATAAGAAAAAAATAAAAAAAAAGCTTTTTCTATTTTTCTAGTAATATTTTTTTTAGATTTAAACATCGAGCAGTGACATACTTAAAAAATGAAAATTATTGTAAAAATATACATAAATGTTTGTTTTTTTTATCCCACACGTAAGGGCCGGTCTTTATATACTTCGATCACGCGTGTGAAAATTTCATGGTCATTTTGATCTGCCGCTATCTTAATCTAAATACGTGCGCTCCGTGTGACAGCTACCAACCGACTGATTGAGAAATTGCCCCAATAGCGATACATACGCGCAACGTGCATTGCGGCGGGGACAATCTAGGGACCAAGGGTGGTCGCGCGCTCCTGCCGCCCTGCCGCAGGCCTGATTTAGAAAATTGCCCCAACTTGCCTACATACATCACAATTCAGGAGGTAATTAAAAGTGTCTACACACGTCCCTTAAATCAGAGGCGATATCGGGAGAGGCGATATCGGATGATGGTGGGGATGAAATCGGCTACTACTCTACACACGTCCCTGCCAATCAGTACGTAGCCCACCGTGCAACATAACGCTTGTCGATCCAAGATGCCGCCCACACTTTCAAAACAACAAAAAATAGGCATCGCTCTGGCACTTAATACGGTGCGACCAAAACAAAAACTAAAGAGGAAGACTTGGGTTAAGACGTGGTTGATGAAACGTCATGAATTCAGTCATATGAACGTTATGAGACATTTAGAACCAGTTGATTTGAAAAACTTTTTAAGAATGGATATTGAATGTTTTGAAGATCTACTGAATTTGGTGACACCATTAATACAAAAACAAAATACCTTAATGCGAGAATCCATAAGTCCAAGAGAACAACTTATAGTATTATATTCTAATAACATTTTAAAGGCCTCCTGCCTCATGTCGCGATTAAGATAATCGTTGTGTTTCTTATCCCATAAATACGCCAACTCTTTATAAATATCTATGGTTTTCGTCCAGGCCTCTCGCTCCTTTTCTTTCGCCATACCTCCGCAAGAATAAAAAGGAAATAAAACCAACACGGGTCCTCTTCGCACTACGCTCGCACGAGCACTGCGTTGAAATCGAACCCGATTTCGCTACACACGCACTGACAACGCTCCCTAGATGATAATCGGCCCTAAATCGTGAGCTCGCCCGATCCAATTTCTGAGTTAGGGGTAATAATAATAATGATGATTACGATTTGCCTACACACGAGGCGGTCTAGGGAGCGATTTAAGGTGCTCCCCACCACTTTCCCGAGATTGCCTCTGATTTAAAGGACGTGTGTAGACACTTTAAGGGTCATCCCCACTCTTACACCCTAGATTGTCCCTGCGGCAGGCATGTCAGTAGGCGCTTTAAGGGTCATCCCCTCTCTTACACCCTAGATTTTCCCTGCGGCAGGGATGTCAGTAGCCCGCTTAAGACTACGCTGTCCATCTGTCTGTCCGCCTGACTGTGTCTGCCACCAGGCTGTATCTCATGAACCGTGATAGCTAAAGAGTTTAAAAAATATATATAAATACTAAAAATATAATAAAATAAATATCTCCCATACAACAGACGTGATTGATAGTGATGCCGTTTTTAGGGTTCCGTAGTTCTGACAAGGAACCCTTATAGTTTCGTCATGTCCGTCTGTCTATTTGCACTAGGAGACTATTTGCACTAGAGAACTTTAATTTTATGGAGAATTGATTGAAATTTTATTGAATTTTATCGATCACGCCGACTAAATGCTGGTATAAAATTTTGTAAAAAAAAATATCGTAGGGTAGTTCCCCTACATGTAACCTGAAGATGATTTTGTTATTTTATGTTTTTTTCAATCATCTTCCCCATAGTGTCGGATATCGTGGAATAGGCCCTTCAAAATTATTTTATTAGGCGTTCCTAACAACAATATTAAATACCCTAGATACACCAACACGAACAAAATCGTGTCCGAAACCTGTTCAAAGGGTAGACGATCCACGGAGGTCCGTAAGATGATCGCGTTGTCAAAAACAATATAAAGGCATTATTTAAACATGGAAATTCACCTTTAAAGCCTATCGTATAAGGCCTTAATTAAAACGCATGCGTCAAAGAGTTGTGACAGTTCGTATTTATACGACTTATTGCTGTATGCGGAACAATATAGACCCTATTTCCTTGATTCTACGCGCAATTTTGAATGTGCTGTTAGCAATACAGCACATCTTCATTCGTATTTAAAAAAAAATATCAAATTTATTTTCAGTTTGATACGCAGTTTGGCCTTGATTTAGGTAAGTGATCTAGTTGAGATAAATATATATTCATGGTTTTTCTAATTTCCGATATAGAAAATAACTACTCCTGCTCAAATATATTGTGGTAAATACAGGCAACTACGGAACACACTACACCGTGCGTGGCTCGGCACGACACGCACTGGGCCGGTTTTGCTCTATATTGTAATATGGCGTCTGATGTTGTTTAGATAATGGTACCAAACCCTTTGTGAGCGAGTCCGACCCGCACTTGCTCTTTTTTTATCTTTTTACCCCGTGCTTTTGACAACTGCATTGTCTATAATAGAGCTAGTTGAGTAGGATATACGTAAATTAAATGTAAATAAATAAAAATTTTTTTTTACTAAATCTTAATATTCATATAATAATAGACAAAGTAATACAAACGTTTAAATGTGTTCGTATGGTAATTCGTTACCAATTGTATTTGTCCTTTCTCGTGACTGAAACTATTTTTATATCAAATTTTATCTAGGTTCTGCGGTTTAAGCGTGAAGAGATAACGGACAGACAGACACATTCGCATATAAGTAATAAGAATGGTTAGTTAAAGTTTGCTGGCATTTTTTATAAGATTTTATTTTTATTCAGCCTTCACCTGTCGCGGTATCTCTGTCTGCTCTGCCCACTCCACAGAACACTAAAGAGGAACCACTTTCTGTGTTTTGTGCAGTGGCGGACTAACAGGGGGGCGGAAGGGTCTTGGGGGCCCCCCAAATGCCTCCGCGTTCCCCTGATCAAATTCTAAACAAGACTAAAATGTGCTCAGAACCTAAATAATTTCATCAAGATCAAAACACTACAGCCATCTAGACTTATTACGCGCTACTAATATTCTTTTAACTTTGCTGAACGCGTCCAATATGCTGTGGGAATTCCCGTCTTTGTAGCGGGTACTTCCTCAGGAATCCCTGAATGAATGAAGTGCATATAATTGACTCTTGTACGACTACATTTATTAACATTCATTAAATTTACGTCGAAAAATAAACATTGGCCTCGTTTAAAATATAGGTATTAAATTTCATTACGTTAATATACATATAATAGTGTGTTCCGATATTTTAAATAAAGGATAAGCCATTTTTCAAATTGTAAATTAATAAACGCGATCTTATCCGTTCAAAGTAATTTCATTAAAAAATGTAAGTGTTTTTCATTTTTGTTGTGGTATAAAAGTAAATGAGTGGTATAAGAGGAATTGAGTTAGTGCATTTTCGAGTGTTTGGAAAAAGTAAGTATGTAATTCTTCGTATAATTTCACCCAGAAATTATAATCCGTAGTTTCTAGTCAATATGCACCTACGTTTCTAGTCAATATGTACCTTAATGTAGGTATGTATGTTTATTTAGCCGAAATAATTTGCTGAGGGGCCTCATTCAGCTTTGCCGCCCCGGGCCTCTGACGAGTTTAGTCCGCCACTGGTTTTGTGCCTCGCTTGGATCAAATGACCTGAGTCTGTCTGTCAGTAATCTAATGTTGCTAGTTAAATCCACTTCCCGATTTCCGATCCGTTCCAATCTGACATTTTGTGTGCAATATAAAAATCCTCCAAGTGCAAGTCTGACTCGCACACGAAGGCTTCCGTAGCATTTATACAACTAATTCATACAGCATTAGACACTAAATTATAATATCGAGCAAAAAAAACACCAAAAAATCACATCTGTTGTAAAAACAACTCCGTTAAATATTTATTTCGGAAAGTAATAATAATAATAATGCTACTTATATTATAAAGTGTACTTCCATTCCCCTTTTCACCCCCTCAAAGGATGATTTCTGGGATAAAAACTACCCTATGTCCATTCCGGGGTCTCGAAAATATTTTTATACCACATCTGAATCGGTTCAGCCGGATACGGGCTTCGCGTGCAGTTATGTCTTTCATAGAGACCCGCTGCTTGGGAAACCTACCCCACGCAGCGTGCTCACCATGGAGCAGTCTCACGGTGCCCCGTACTACGCTACGGGGTGCAGATCTGCATGATCATGCCGATTTCGCTGCTCATACGATACGTACGGATTATGTTTTAGTTCATCCTTTCAATCACGCAGTAACAAAATATGTAAGCCCAGTGCATGATCTGCGTAGATACATAATCATTGACGTGTTCAGATATTTTTGAAAAGTTGTATGTTCAGATATTATTGACAGGCATCTGCTCAGATATTATTGAAATAATGAATGTTCAGATGTATTTGGTCACCTTGTATGCTCAGATATATCTGATGGCGACATACGCCGCCAAGTCCTGCATAAATATCATCATTTGTATGCCCAATTTGTATGGGTAATTTTTATGCCCATTTCGATAGAATGGAAAGCTGTGTATCTCTACTCCCCTCCTAGCCGCGTCAGCCGTGCTCTATATACTCAGTCTTAATCCGATACGAGTACACATCAGAGTACATACACCCGTCCTCCTCTAGCGTACTATGCAGTAGTTCAAACTAAGGCAGACCGCATCATTCCACCTCAGGGGCTAATGATACTCATTGGGAATTTGGGACATAACTTTACATATTTCTGATAGTGGCATTAGTAACACGCATTTTGTGAAAATTATTCACCTTTCCGGTTGCATTTAAAAGATAGAGCCCTGAGCTTGTGACGGACAAACAGTCGTAGGGTTTCATTAGTTTCATTCTGCCT